ATGTCACATTAACAATCTACAATAGAGGTCATCACAGGTGGTAAAATGGAAGTGAGAAATATGGAAAATCAAGGGTTAATCTGCAACAACAAATTGCATGCAAACTGTTGAGGATCTGATCTGACAAAATAGCCACAGTCCTAACAGTTGAACCCATCTGCTATTATAGTTTGTTATCACCAGCTGTAATGGTGTGATGAAACTGTCATCTCTATACTGAGGGTAAGCAACTTCGGAGGGTCAAGAGTACTTCCTCCTGCACCCTGGGTCCTGCAGACCACCTTCTGTGGCTGATGTGTTTCTGAAATTTAGTGCAGTAGCAACAATGATAGCTGATTTGCTGGCACATTTTTGCAGCAAACCACCACAGAAGGTTACGAGGGAGAAATTAATTTATTTTCGAATCAGCAAGCCACCAACATTTTTGGCTGCACTGGAAGCTGGTGGTAGGCATATATTCCACAGAGGGAACATCTTGCTGATGTGAGTATTTCCCTGGCTATAATGCTCACTAACAGTGTAAGCCTAAGTCTAAGCCTAAGCAAGTCCACTAAAATGCTAGTCTCAGTAAGTTCACTGGGGCTTAGTCTCAAGTAAGCAGATACAGGATTGCAGCCTCTGTTAACTGAGTCTGGTTTATACCTTCATGTTCCAAGCGGGGAAGAAATGGAGCTGCACAATTGAAATCTTAGCTTTGCTCTGGGTTTTCTTTGCAGGCTCAGATGAAGCTGAAACATGCCCAACAAGAGCTGAAGACCAAACAAGCTGAAGTCAAAAAAATGGACAGCGGTTACAAGAAAGATCACGATACATTTGTAACTGTCCAAAAGCAGAAGGAAAAACTAGAAAGTGAAATGAAAGCACTCAACTATGAAGGTTTGCCTGCCATAACAGTTGGGGCATAGCGGGATGGGAGTAGGAATACAGAGATAATGTGCACGAGGAGAGAAATTATGCCAGTGTGAAAGTGGCATGCCATGTCTCAGAAACTGCTGAGAAAGCCGGCGGCCCTGAATTCTCTGTGAAGCTTTCCATGGAGAGCTTTGTATGCACAGGGGTGCATCATGCTCAGATGAATTTCTGTCTCTGTAAAAACAGCAGTGCACTTTGTTAGTGAGAAGCCTCATGGCCCATGATGAACGAGGCACGAGCCAAAAGGGGAGCACGGACATGATACTGCATGCCTGTGGGCCGGTGAACATGTAAGCAAGATTGGAACCAGATGGGACACTTCCATGCTCTGCCCAGAGCACATCCCATCTTTAAATTGGTTGTGTGCCATTGTGGCGTGCAGGCCAAAGTTGCGACATGCATTTTCCCCACTACATTACACTGACTTTAGGCAGAGCTGTGCGTTTGCTCCTAAACAACTTTACTCTGTACCCTTGTAAAAAGATGGTAAGTGGATTTTCATTTTATGTCTATATTGGCTGTTCTAGACAACAGAGAAGAAAGCCTTTTAGAAAAACAACGGGAGTTGTCCCGTGAGGTTAACCGCTTGAGAGAGTCCTCTGAAACTTTAATGACCAGGTTCCCCAATCTTCGCTTTGAATACAGGTAAGCCTACAGAGCAACCTGTTTCATTTAAACAGCCTTCCCTGATCTGGTGCCTTCCAGGTGTGTTGGAAAAGAACTCCCATCACCTTCAGCCAGTATGGCCACCAGCCTGTTGGCTGGGGATCATGGGAGTTGTAGGCCAAAAAATCTAGAAGGCAGCATTAAAGTGCAAAAGCTGAGAGGAAACATTCTGACTTTGGATGGGATTCCTTCAGTTTACTGATTACTCTGGCAGTGGGCGACTTACTGCTAACACGTGTTAATTCATTCAAGGGATCCAGAAAAGAACTGGAACCCAGACCATGTCAAAGGCCTTGTGGCGTCTCTGATCACTGTGAAAGATGTCTCTACAGCTACAGCACTAGAAGTAGTTGCTGGCGGTCGACTCTACAATGTAGTGGTGGATACAGAGGTATGTTTGTCATATAGGTGACTGCCTAAAACTATAATATGCGAAACAGCCCTTGTTTCTTACAAAGTTTGAGATGTTCAGCTAAACTCATGCTTCTTCACCTTGTAAGCTACAGAAAGCCTTCAAGAGTTAGGCAATTTGAAGCTTGTAAGCCATTGGAAGCATCTTCTGTTATTGCTGCTCTCTTTCATTGATTTAAGAATTGCTATAAACCAAATGGATTAGCATGCGAGTGTGAAATGTGCCTGGTTTTTTTCCCCTCCTTATATTAGGTTACAGGCAAGAAACTGCTAGAAAAGGGTGAACTGAAGCGTCGATATACCATCATTCCGCTAAATAAAATCTCAGCCAAGTGTGTTGGGAAAGAAGCGATCAGAGTGGCCAAAAACTTGGTATGCTCTATTTGTACAGGGATTTGCAAAAGCATTTTTGCGGCGTCTTGGGGTCTTTCCCTTTTCCACACTTGCCCAGATGTAGAGTGGTTAGCTACACGCTTCAGCCTCTCGCCATCCGCATGCCCTTCGGATGTACTGGGCTACAATTCCCATCATTCCCTTCTGGCTGGGGGAACAGCAGGTGTTGTGGTCTGGGCTAGATGATTATTACCCTTCTTACTACATGCTTTTCAGTCCTGTTTTCTGATTACCTTTTCCCTTTAAGACGGGTGCAAATCTTGTGACCTGCTAAAAGTGTCTTGAATTCTCCATTCCCTTTCCCAGAGATCCTTATACAAACAGTTCTTTTCCCTACTGCTTGTAGCCCCGAAGAAAGAGCAATCTGTGTCACAACTGGCTATGGGGAAAGAACGTGTGTTGTGTGTGTGTTTTGTGTGTGTGCGTGCATCAGTGCAGCCCTTGCTCCCCAAGCCAGTATTGCTTGTGACCCTTTGGGGAGGGGGGCAGTTTTGTGCACCTCTCCTTTAAGAGTAGGGTGAACATGCCTTTACTACAGGCCATGTGAGGCCCTTATGTTAGACGAGATCCTCATCCAGGCTGTCCAACCTCTCTGAGGAAAGGATGGGTGGCGGATGGTGGGACAACGGCCCCAACCTTGAACCCAAATCTCTCCCCTGGGCCACTTTGAAGAAAGGCAAGGAAAGTCCTTGAATGCAGCCCCTTCTGTCAGCATAATCCTCTTGCCTTTGTCCTGTGTTCATACTTTTTCTTTTGAACATTAGGTGGGTGATGACAATGTCCATCTGGCTCTAAGTCTGGTGGGTTATGAATCTGACATTCAGAAAGCGATGGAATATGTCTTTGGGGGCACACTCGTTTGTGACAACATGGATAATGCCAAGAAAGTCACCTTTGACAAAAGGATAATGACAAAGACAGTTACGCTTGGCGGAGACACCTTTGATCCTCAGGGCACGCTTAGTGGAGGTAATGGCTCTCTTTTATTTCGTATCACACCTTGTACGCCGTTCTATTAGATTTGTTTCAGAAAGAAAGCTGTTTTACTATACTGACATGTTTGCTAAAGGCTGCACCTCAAACATCCTGTGACTGTTTCCCAGGGCTGGGGATAGCACACAAGATTCTGTGATCTGCATTGATTTCTAGTCCATTTCTGGACCCAATGCAAAGTGCTGGAATTAACTTTTAAATCCCTAAATGGCTTGGACTAGATTACCTAAGGGTTATCTCCTACTATATATACCTTCCTGTACCCTAAGAGGATGCTCAGAGGCCCTCCTTCACTTGCCTACACCAGATGAGGTGTGGGGCCCCTAAAGAAGGGGCCTTTTTAGTGGTAGCCCTCTGTTTGTGCAGTGCCCTCCTTAGAAAGGCTCACCTGTTGCCAATATTTGTGGTTTCTTCAGTGCCAGGTGAAGAGTATTTATTTTCCCAGGCTTTTTAATTCCCTCAGTTTTGCTTTTGTGTGCATGTGTGTGTCGTGGAGGGTGTTTTTGTCTAGATCTTTACCAATTCCTGGTTCTCCCTCTGGTACTACTATTTTGTTTTAAGCTCTTAAAGGTTTCCTATCATGTTTTATCATGTTGTATGGTAGACTTTTAATTCTTGTGACCTATCCAGAGAGATCTGACTATTGGGCAGTATGAAAATGTAAGAAATAAACAGAATCCACAGGTGTGTCCGTTCCCATGGATCACTCAAGGATGTGAGACATCCATCACAGGTCTGGCCTCCAAAGGTGGTTTTTATGTCACGATTCCAAAGACAGTATTTCCAAGCAAAACAGTGCAGCACGTTTAATTATGGAACAGCGTTGTAATTGTCCAAGAGACTTGATCTCAATTCAAGCAGCTTTATCGGTCTGCCCCTCTGTTGTATTGCTATGATCCAGGTGCACGGTCACAGTCTGCATCGATTTTGTCCAAGCTCCATGAGGTACAAGATGTGCAGCAGAAGTTAAAAGCAAAGGAGGCCGAGCTACAAATGTTAGGAAAGGAACTGGCAAGTCTGCAGGGAACTGCTGAAAAGTACGTATGGACTTACTTCCTTTGTGCAGAACTTGTGCATAGAAGGGAATGTTCTTACATTGTGTAGTATGAGCATATTATAATCTGGTGCTTTGGGTGGTGAGGGGCTCTTTTCTAGATTAAAAATCTCTAAATGAATAAAAACAGCAGTGTATTGGATTTTTACACATGACTTGTGGCAGCTGACCACTATCACACCAAGTAAAAAACAGTTATGTAGCAACTGCAGCAATTTAAAAAATGTTACTATTATCAAAAGAGGCTTGTTACAGTATGTTTTTAATATTACTGATATCCCATTAAATTGATTTGTTGGGGTACTGAAAATGTGTTGATGAAGAGCTGAAATATGTTCTGAAATTATTTCATTTGTTAAGGTATCGTCAACTGAAACAGCAGTGGGAGCTGAAGTCTGAAGAAGCTCAACTACTACAAACCAAGCTGCGGCAAAGTTCCTATCAAAAACAGCAGGAGGAATTAGAAACACTGAAAAGAACCATTGGTGAGGAGGAAAAGCTGTTACTGTAGGTTTTAAGTAACTGTAAATACTGAGCAGGAGAGTGCAAATCTATTTCTCGGAGGAGGAAAAATCTTCAAGCCAGAACATTTAATCATTTTAAAGGAAGTTAAATTGAATGCAAATGGTGCTTTGGAACTTTATCACTTCTTAGTGGCCATTAAATGTTGAGTTTTCGCATAACATTTTCTCTCTCCAAGGGGAAGTAACCGAGCAATCCTGTAGCCCCTAAATCTGATATTGCAAAGGAGCTCTGACCTCAGAAAGAGCTCCAACCTCAAAGAGCTGGGGATTCGCACTCAGTTCCCCGCTTCCTCTTGGAGCAGGCATGGAAAAGACGGTGTTTGCTGTTTCTCCATGGCTGTAAGCATGACCTCAGAGAAGAGCTTCTGGGGAATATTCCAGGGGATTGGGGAGAGGAGGAGACTGACGTCAAGGTACAGCCTATCCTGGTGGCATCTCAGCCTGCTTCATCCTTGCTCCAGAGTTCTGCCCGTAGGTAGCCGGTCTGTTCAGTTGCTTTGCAGAGTGAGAAGAAGGCAGCAGCAGCCAGTGCTCCCCTTGCTCTGCCAAGGATGCCTGTAATCCTTCCGCCTACAAGGGACTGCGCCCCTGATTCTGCCCAATCCCCAGGAGCATTCTGGAAAGTGAATTCCTCTTTGGGTCACTTCTGGCTGACCCGTCCCATGTCAGCCTTCACTCAAGTGGTGCTCTGGTTTTGGACTACAGCCACTATCATCCCTGACCAATGGCCACGTTGGCTGATAGGAGCTGTTGTGCATAAAAGCTGGCCCATATCAGGCTGAGGAAAGCCACAGTATATATGACACAAGAAGTCCTACAAATATAAAATTAGTGCAAAAGAGAATGATGGTACAGTGTAAACTGGTATGTGGTTTCAAAATGATGGAATTTTAGCCATATATTCCATTTTCTTTCCAGGTTTCTAAAAAGGTTTCAGGAGAATTATTTAGCTTTCCATATGATTACAATCAAATTTTTCTGCATAAAAGCCTGGAATTAACAGTCTTTTGCTTTTCAGAGGAAAGTGAGGAGACTTTGAAGAAAACTAAGGAGGTACAAATAAAAGCAGAGGAAAAACTGAAGGTGCTAGAAAACAAAATGAAAAATGCTGAAGCAGAAAGGGAGAAAGAGTTGAAAAATGCCCAGCAGAAACTAGATGGAGCCAAGAAGAAAGCAGATGCTTCTAGCAAAAAGATGAAAGAAAAGGAGCAGGTAAAACTCTGAATAGCAATTTTAAGAAGGCTGAAAAGCAGCCAGCATGGAAAAGAATCAAACTGGAATTATGTCTCTATGCTTATTTTATTGAAGTTCATTCTTGTTGCATTAAAGTTAGTAAAATAAGTAATATTACGGAAGTGCTTGGCAGCTTATGGTTGAAAAGATAGTAGCTTCCACAACCATTGTTAAGATTAATTGCAAGTTAGAGTTTGGGCACAATGTTAAATTGTGGTTAATCAAAACTGGAAATGAATGCTTCTAGTCCTTACTTGTGGCCATCTGAGAACCATGATGCTCACTCCACTTTGGTCCTGACATGGTTTAGTGTGATGTCCAAACTGGCCCGGACTGTTTAATTTGGCTCTTCCCTTTCTGGAAGGAGCCCAGAGCTCTGTGTTCACCCTGCAAGAACTCTGGACAAAAAGGCAGTGACTTGTCTGAGACTCCACAGTTAACCCCAGCACTGTTTCAGGGCCATGAGCACCTGAACGATCCACTGTCAAGTCCAGCCATAGAACTGCAATGTTCTCCTGGCAACTGAATTTCAACGCCGCCTTCTGCTCTGATCAAGTGGCGATGACTTGCAGTAGCTTTCATCATGCTACATGGGAGGGGTGTTTCTCAGTTCAGTTTAGGTACACAAGTTTCAGCCAACCCTGAGTTCTCTTGTTGTGATGTACTGGTGGCTTCTTAGCTGGGTTCTGTGGAATCCTGAGTTCCTTTGGAGCTTCTCAGGCTCCTCGGTAGAAAAGGAACATTCCATAAAGGCTAGCAAGCTCCCCTGAAAACAGCATGTCCCAGGCTCCCCTGCAGTGTGGAGCTGTAGAGGAGAGTGGGGCATATTCTAGAGTATGTGTCCATTCCACATACTGGAATGGTGGCCAAGAGAACTTGCTAGCAGCCCTCATGAGATCAGAGTGTGTCTATATCCCAGAACCCCCTGAAACAAGGAAGGACTGCTTGGTAGATACTTGGTGGATCCAGGGCTGACATTTTAATGTGAAAATGCTTAATTGACAGCAGAACACTCGGAAAGCTCTTGGAGAGCCAAGCTTACTCCATCCCATTAGATCAAAGCAAAATAAGGAACCACTGATGCAGCCCAAGTTTATGAAAGTTTTCTCACTAGATCCTGCAGGCATGTGTGCATAGGATTTTCACATTTATTTCCCTTTTCTTGTTGTTTAGGAGGTGGAAGCACTAGTGTTGGAACTTGAAGAGCTAAAACGGGAACAAAACTCTTATAAACAGCAGATTGAGGCTGTCAGCGAAGCTATTAAAGCATTCCAAGAGCAGATTGAGGTGATATCAGCCGAAGTAGCAAAGAACAAGGTTAGTCTGGCAACCATGAGTAAAAAGATTCTGGAGCATTTCCACCTAGCACCTTTCATCTCTGGTCTGGAGCTCTCCAGGGGGATCTCAAGATGCTCAGAACGCCCAGTCATCAGTCCAGCTTTGCTGGTTTGAGGGAGGGGCTTGGGGCTTCAGCCCGCCCCCTCATTCCATCCTTTGCTGGTGGTTAGCTTGCCACACTTGGAAGATGTTCTGCTTCCTACTTTTATCTTTGCGTTCACAGTGGGAAGGCCAGGATTTTCCCTTCAGCGTAGCTGTTTTTGAGAGCTGCTCCCAGATTCATACTTGGCAGTCTTCTCTCCTTTTGTAGCAGTCATCACACTGGGGGGGTTCCTGTCTTGTTTGCTGTCCAGGAAGCTGTGAAGAACGCTCAGGAGGAGCTGGCCAAACAAAAGGCAGTGGTCACGGCCCAGGACAAAGCAATTAAAGCCAAATCTGCAGAGGCTGTGAAATATAAAGAACAGCACAATGAATCACAGCTTAGGATCAAAGAGCTGGAGCACAATATCAGTAAACACAAGCGCGAGGCTTCTGAGGCTTCTGCAAAGGTACGTGAGCATCATCTCTGCTTCTTCCTGGTCTCACTGTGAAGTGGCTCAGTTATCCAGACCAGCAGAAGAGGTCCTGGCGAAAGTGTCGCTGCTTGCAGGGTTCTGCTTCTCAAGAGCACAATGAGGGGCTTTGTCCAGCTTGCTCCCAAATCCTGGAAACTGGTCCCTGCTTGTTTATGTTCAGGAGGAGGTCAAGCTTATTTAAATTTGGCTTTTTTTTTTAGGACTTTTCAAGCTGTTTTAAGCTTTTACAAGTTTTTATTTGTGTTTTTCTGAACCTTTTGTAAAGTGCAATGGATGGGTTCAGAAAGAGTTAAAAATACAATATATAAATCAATCCATTACCTTTGATTGAGTTCTCCCACTATTCACCTTATTTAAAAGCAAAAAGTTGCTGTAAGTACTTCCCTCTCGCATCAACCCCTGTGCCAGGAACTAACCCTTGAATTACACTTCTTCCTAAGTTCTGCCATTCCTGCCAGCATTCTTGCACTCCCTTGGCCTGATAAAAGTAAGAAAGCTATAAAAACCTTGTTCCACTGGTACCTACAAGATCCCCACAGCACAGCTTGGTCTTGCCTTTGGAGGATAAACTTTGCCCTTCCACGCCTAAGAGGTATCTGAGAGGCCACCTTCCACTGCAGAGGCCTCCCACGCCCTGTGCTCTGATGGGCAGGCCCTGCGTGCGAAGGTTGGTGTGGCCATGGCGAGGAGGAGGGCCTGCTCAGCAGTGAGAGATCAAGCAGGCTGCTAGTGTGGAGTGTTCCTGCTTAAGTCCCCTTTTTTTTGCCCAGGCATTTCCTGACTGCTGGCATGGCTTATTATTTTATTATATTTTAATCTCAGGCACCCAGAGCAATCGTGGACATGGCCTCCTGAGATCCTGCCCTCCCTTTTTGGCTAGCCAGTCAGGACCCCTGGATGTAACGTTGCGTTTCTGTGCAACAAGGAACGCTTCCAGGATTCACCTGCTCCTGCTTGGGGCACTGCTGGCTGCATTAAAGGAATTACATCACACCTTTGTTCACACCCTTGGAATGGCGCTGCTGTCCAGTTGTTCAGGGGATCCAGGGAATGCTGGATGAATCCACAAAGAGTGCTTGTGTTTGTTACTTTATATCCCCTTGGGCTATAGTGGTGCACCCAGAAAAGAGGAATGGCAGCACAGAACACAGGAGAAAAACTAAAAGACAAGGCTAAGATATCACAGTAGGCCAATGTGTTTTCCTGTTGTTTCAGTTTCCAAAGGGAAGCTGCAACAGAAATGTTTGGGTTTGTTACTTTTGATTTATGTAAGTTTTTATCCTTGGAGCCATTTTGAGGCCCCACATTTTGTGTGTGTGTGGGCACACCTCCCCTATTAGGAATAGTTGTGCTAAGAATTCTAGATGCGCTTACAAATCTCCCCATTTGGGTTCTTCATCTGTGCATTTACAGGTAGCTAAAATGCTCAAAGACTATGACTGGATTGCTTCAGAAAAGCACCTTTTTGGCCAGCCAAACACAGCATATGATTTCCAGACTAACAATCCGAAGGAAGCTGGTCAGAGGCTGAATAAACTGCAGGAAAAGAAAGAGAAGCTGGGCAGGAATGTCAACATGAGAGCTATGAACATGCTTTCTGAAGTAGAAGAAAGAGTAAGTTCTTATTTTGCTAGTTTCTTATGCTACATGGTCACACCTCATCTTGCATTGTTCTATTCTAATGCAGAAGCTGTGTGTGGGGGAGAGAGAGAGAATGAATCCAAAGCAAGGAGCAGATGCTGTCCTCTCCCGCTACTCACCTTAGATCAGCTGTGCCAACCCTCTTTCAATCCCAGGGCTGAATTTCATTTTCGAGAAGCTCCTGGTTGCATTTCAGCAGTGATTTTAGCTGAAAAGCTCTTGCTGCCAGTAAGTCAGGCTTAAGAGAGGCATTTCGATGTTTTAGAATGAGGGAAAAAATACACAAAAGCCAGGAAATACCGAACAATCAGGGGGCTCTAGAGAAAGAGCAAAAGAGCATCATCATTTTGGAAACCTGAAAGGGCCAGGTTTGAGCCCCTTTCCTGCATACAAAAGCAAGAAGTATATGTTGTACGTATCTAGCAGAAGGCCTCCAATATCTACTGACAAAGTAGAGTTGCACATGTTCCCTTAGTTACTGTGCTCGGGGACATCCTTCAACTCCCAGCCTGCCCGAAAATAAAGAAAACCAGCCGAGTCTACAATTGAATAATCTCCGCAACACCTTATTACAATATCTTCTGCCCTGTCTGTTCCAGTACAATGACTTGATGAAGAAGAAAAGAATTGTTGAGAATGACAAGTCTAAAATTCTTGCAACAATTGTGGAGCTCGACCAAAAGAAAAATGAAGCTTTAAACATTGCCTGGCAAAAGGTAAGACTCCTTCATGGATACTTTAATCTGACCTTCCATTGTGCACAGACTCAACAACACACCTGCTTTCATTCTTGATGGATTAGCCAGGATGACCACATTGTCCATTTTCAGTACTGCTTGGCATGCCCAAACGTCTCATCAAGCAACACGAGTGCTTCTCTGTTGCTGTGGAATGGCTTTATTGCTGAAATGGAGATCATGGATCAGGTCAAATGCAATTCTACCAAAAGTGTTTCTGGAGCTGTGAGTGTTACATTTCATTTTCTAGGTAAACAAGGACTTTGGATCCATTTTCTCGACCCTTCTGCCAGGGGCCAACGCACTGCTGTCTCCTCCGGAAGGGCAAACCGTTCTAAATGGCCTGGAGTTCAAAGTTGCCTTGGGAAACACCTGGAAGGAAAACTTAACTGAATTAAGTGGGGGACAAAGGTTAGTGTGTTTCAGAGCTGGGGTGGAGCAAACAAGGTAGAACATCACAGACTGTCCAGGTTTGAATTTTTGTGGTGTTTTTCCACCTGGACTTCTGCTTGTCTCATCTCTTTCTCCCAAAGTACAAAGTGATCAGTAGGTTTTGCGCATTACTACCTGTAACAGGATCTGGAAGCAGACCTGGTTAAGATGCATGAGTTCCATCTTCAGCTGGAATGCAGCATCAAGTTTCTGGGGCTCATCATTCTGATATCAAGAATACCTATTATCTATCAACTGTATTACCTGCTTTCATTGCAAAATAATCTCAGTGTGGGAGCTAAAATCAACAAAGCACTGTGAAATCCACTGGTGTGGGCCAATTAAATCAGGGGAGAAGACCAGGACAGATAGCCAGTGGCTTACAGGATGCAGCAAGCTTGTTTCATTCAAAAGCCCTGGGCATGGACTCTGAGCAGCATTATCCCCACCTGCCATCACTCCAGCCAACGGATAGTGGGACTGCGGCTCCCAGCATTTTCTGGCCAGTCATGCCGACATGGAGTGATGTGTGAATGTGGTTACAGACCTAAAGATACACTGGAGGAGGCAGGGAAGATGGCATACCTATTCATGAACAGCATCACTTGTTCCTGGTTCAAATCTCTGCTTGTTCTCGGTGAACCCACCAGTAGCCGTGAGCAATTAGCCTCATCCCACTCTTGCTTTGAAATGGAAAGAATACGCTTTTAAAAGAAAGTGCAGTTGTTACCAGGATGAACAAAGTGTGCACTTATATTGAAACTGAAATCTGCTCTACATCCAAATTCATCTTATTTATATCTAACAAAGGACTTGGAGTTTACATGAGGATTTTAAGAGTGTGTGTAAAGGCCCAGTTTGATTAGTAATCTCAAAGAGAACTAATTCATAGTTACTTGTACATGTTTTTCCTCTAGAAATGAAGTTTCTAATTTCAGAAGGACAAACTCAGTCTAATTATTGAAAACAGGACAGTCAGCATCTCCACATTGAAGGTTTCTTTTCTTCTTTTAAAGATCCCTCGTAGCTTTGTCTTTGATCTTAGCCATGCTTCTCTTCAAGCCTGCCCCAATTTACATCCTGGATGAGGTTGATGCAGCCCTCGATCTCTCTCACACCCAGAATATTGGGCAGATGCTTCGGACGCACTTCCGACATTCCCAGGTAAGGAGCTAATATCAGAGAGTGCCCTCTAAGATCTTGGACAAGGTCCAGTCCTGGCTGTGCCATGGAGCTTGTTGGGTTTTCCTGGGTTTGTTCTCTATGCATCAGTTGCTCTCCCACCCCTAGTTTTTTTACAGTGCATCAGCATGTTGCACTGTATCCTGCATCCCCAGGAAAAGGTGCTATTCAGACCTCTGGTGGGGAGGAGCGGAAATTCGGGAAGCAAGAAGTGAGGAAAGAGCACTTTCATTTCTTCAGCATTCCCCAAGGCCTTCCTCTGTTGCCTTCATAGCATGAGAGAGCTCAGAATTGGGGCTGACTAGATCAGGCTGGAGAGTGGGAAAATGAAAATAAGGGCCGTGTTTCAGATGTAAGCTTAACAGTGCTGTTTTCCCTTGTCCCCAGTTCATTGTGGTATCCTTGAAGGATGGCATGTTCAACAATGCAAATGTGCTCTACAAGACTAAGTTTGTGGATGGTGTGTCTACTGTAGCGCGCTACACTCAGGCTCAGAATGGCAACACTGGGGCCGGTCAACAAAGAGTTGACAAGGCCAAAATGAAAGAGAAAAGATAAAGAGCACAGGTGGCTGCTTGAAGGGGAAATGTTTCTTGCATCGCAGTAGCTTGGTAATATTAATCTCTTTAAAAACAGACAGCTGGCAAACTGTTGGATATTGTCCATTTTTAAAGGATGTTTTTAAATTTCTGGCAGCTTCTCAATATGAAGGAGCTTAAAATACAGTAAAATAATCACAATAAAATGATTGACGTCTAATCTATTTTTCATCTAGGTTAGAAATCTCTTGGGTTCAGAATCTTGCAAATATTCTTGATGTTCTTTCTCTTGTTAACTGACTTCACAGATCTTTTCAGCTAGGTAAAAGCCACTTATTTGAATTTAAGATAACCAAATAACTCCAATGAAATTTGCTTCTATCTGAAGGTCTGAGCAAAATGAGCCATTTAGTGGAGTCTGGCTTTCAGGAGCTTTTTGTTACCCAGTGAGTTCATCCCTGAAAGAGATGCATTTAGGGAAGCAAACACACATGGTGCGATTTTGCTCTAGTAATAACTTAAGGCAAGATGGGAATGAAACACTTAAGGTTTGAGCTCCCCAAGCCTAATCCCAAACTGGCATTTACAAGGAGTGAGAAAGCATAAATAAGTGATGAGATAGTGTGAAGTGCTGGCTGACTCATGGCTCGTTTCTTGTTTTTAAAGTAAACTTTACATGCACCTCTTTCTGTAGTTCACAATATGTTGTTCATCTAATAAATCAATTAAAATACAATGGTGTATTTTGCTCTTTATCTTAGAGACTGCTAAAGCTGGCTCAAAGCACCATCCCATGCAAGTGCAGACAGAAATCAGGCCTAGAACTGCTAGCTTACCCCAGGCCAGCAAAACTGTTATCAGTAGGAATTTCCATAGGATTTTGTCCTCAGTGCCTTAACTAAAAGTCTTTTTGTGGCTATCTCAGCAAGAATGGGCTAGTGGCATAGAGATCCTGACCAGGCCTCCATGCAGAGAGGAGAAACCACTTTCATTATAATGGAAAGTAAAAAAAAGGGAGCTGGGACTGTTATGTATGCTAACTGTGGAAGGTGGCAATAGTAGGACTGTTGCTATTGCAGTGAAAACTAACAACTCTGAACCTTAATTTTCCCCAAAAAAAGTCTTGTTAGCTCCAGTGAGGCTGAAGAAAGAATGCCATTTTTCCCTTTCCTGATTCAGCTCTGAACTTTAGCACATCAAGGCTGGATTATGTGGCCTAAATAGGCACTTGCAGATGCAACACCTGACAGAATGCCTCTCCTGAATGCCCATCTGCTGGACACCGTGCTCTGCATCCGAGGCCTGCCTTCAACTGCCCTCTCCAAGGAAGTTGTGGAAGGTGGTGACAGCAGGAAGGCCTTCTCAGTGGTTCCCCCATCCCCTCCCCCCAGATTGTGGAAGTGTTTCCCCACTGAGGCTGGCATGGTGTCAGCACTGTCACTTTTTTGGTGTCCTCTATACCCATGCACTTAATCCCATACAATGGGAAATGTCAGTTGTTTAGAAGGACAAGTTTTTATTGAAATTGCTTTGTATAAACTGTTTTACATTTTGTATGTTGGAATTTTACCCTGTGTGTTTCTGTATTTTTATTGTATCCATTTTTAATTATATACCAATGCCTATGAATTGTGAATCACCCAGAGAGCTTCAGTTATTGGATGGTATAGAAATGAAATTTCTAATTATTTGGTTTCCACATGTTTCTCCAATGAACTCCTTTCTCTACATACTAAATATTGCAGTTTGAATGTCCTGCTAGTATGAACTAGCACTCCTGGATGAGAGCAGTATCTAGCCGAGGGTCAATATTGTAGCCACAGTTGCAAAAATTGTACTAGCTGGTTTTATAAGCAGGATGTTTTAGGGAGAGTATGGGTTTTTTACGAATAGCCTACTCACTACTGCAAAGTGTGTTTTCCAACAGGGTTCTACACTGGGCTCAAACAAGCATGGGCATCCGTTGTTAGATTCTAGGCACCCTCTTGCAATGTCTGCTGCAAGGTGGCCTTTGGCTCTTAATTCTTGTTTATTTAGGTTTTCCCCACTCTAGTTTAAGATGATTTCCCATGCATGACTCTTCTAAGAAGGGCGTTTTTTGTTCTAATACCAAAGATGTGTTCTTACATAAACAAAGTAGCCCTTTGACCTTCTTTGAGAGGGCAGGTCCTGCCTTCCATTTCACAAAGCTTTTCTGCCTGTTTCTATGACACTTTTCCTGCAGTGAATTTTGCTCATATTCCCTGTCCATCTATGAAAAGAAACCCAAGACTATCTCTTGAAAAGACAGTTCTTTCAGCTGAATAAGACAAGAGTGATGTAAAAACCATAGCCTATAACAGGCAAATTTTTCCATGGGAGAACTTTCTGGAGCTACAGGCTTTTGTTTCCACATGACAATTACACAGATGCAAGCAGTACCAGCAATAATAAGACTTCAAAGACAAGAAACAGGCTCTGGCCAAGTGTTAAGCCTGCTAAAACCCCATGTTGCCATTTCCATGCTTGGGGGATCAATGAGAGAGGGTCCTAATGTAGAGGACAAAAAGGCCAGCTGTCTTCCCATCCAGCTAATGATGGAGCCAGGGAGGGCTTGTCTTGCCTGCAACAAATGGACAATGAAGGCCTCAGTGGGCAGAAACATCATATACTATCTCGCTATCACAAACCAGGGCCAGCACTGGGAGGGTTTATGTCATGATGGCTACTTCAAGTCTAGCTTTTGTACAGCCCTCTCAAAATTTAGTGAGAGGAGACAACCTGCTCTACCTTCTATCTACCACCAACAGAGTACTAGCAATTATATCCAAGAAAAGATAACGCTCCTTTATTTGTCTTTTATGTGGGAAGGTTTCTTTGAGTCAGTCCATTGACATACTTGACATCCAGATACAGAAATTCAATGTAGTGAATTTAATGGAGACCTTTCTTGCAACATTAGAAATCTTTCAACAGAGAACAGTTTGTAAAGTCAGGAGGGTGCTATAGGGTCAAATTTACACACTTCAGTCCAGGTATACAAAGCAGCATTAAACAGCAGCACAAGCACCCATATTTGGGCAACAGTGTTTTATAGTGCAATTGTTTTCAGAGGAAAACATAACTTTCCAAAGGCCACTTTTTTTCTGATCAAGTCAACAAATTTAAGAGGGACGGGTATCTGACCTCTAAGTCAACTTTTTGCAGGTAGGGTTCTCATAGAGGCACACATTTTGTTTGAGAAGTTCAGAATCTAAATTTGGAAGATAAAAGGCTATTCAGAGAAGCTATTCACTGAACTTGCACATTCCAGATAGTTCTTATAGTTGTTCTTAGTCTGGAATTTCTAGTCTTCAGTAAATATAAAATTCCACTTGGAAATACCTATTACAGTAGCTGTTCCAAACTCAAACTTGGATCCCATCTCAAAATACTGCAGCCCTTGCTGAAGAGTCATGTCAGAGACCTAGCACATTTAGTATACAGTTGTTGTGGGTTCTATAAAACACTCAATGACTGTTGCAAAAAGAAAAAAAGCAACACTTGACAATTCTGCTTCATACAAAAAAAAACCCTCAGGCGACACAAAATGGGGAATTTGTTAAAGATTATGCAAAGATCTTGTGCCTACAAACATTCAGTTTTACAGATGTGCTTGGCAAACTCAAAACTAAACATAAACCACAAGCAGCTTTCTGTAATACATTTAAAATCTTTTAGACCAGCTTACAGCACCTCACATTTCCTTAGCCACAAATGCTTGGTAGAAGACAAGGCTTTGAACAAACAGGCAGAGTCTGACAACACACATGCCAGTCACAATTTCTCAGCTGAATCCTAAGGGATGGTTCATAACGTATGCCAGCAGCCCTGAAAATGTGGTGGGTCATCAGAAACATGCACTCACCGCCACCACTTTGAGGGGACATGTAACTCAGGATACAGGTAACGACATGATGCCCCTCTGCATATTCAGGATTTCTGAAGCATTAAGCATGAAGCAACCCTAAAATTTCCTTTCCTGTGCAACTGATTAAATCGCCAAAATTTGCTGGTTCAAACAGCTATCGTTCCTGCTCATCACCTCGGGATGCACCAAAATTGTCTGAGTCATCACTGCTTCATGAGAACCACTAAAAGGTCTGTCAGAATTTGTAAAATCAAAACTTAGCGAAGGGTTTATTGTGGCAGCTGCATGTATTGCCTCCTTCAGGAAACATTGGTGGCCTTGCCTGATGCCACAGTGAATTGGGTGGGGACTGCCAATGGTGGAAACAGTCCCAAAATGTATCAGCTGTCCAGAGGACAGCTCCATACATCGCAAAATTCCTAAATGGAAAGCACTTTCATGAAGGAATCAATAGGCTACCTGGTATATAGATCTTCGTGTGAGACATGCTACAGACATGCAAGAACATCACACATGACAAATTGTCATGGGGTGAACAACTTGTGACTCTCCCTACTTTTTTGGCCTACAACTCCCATGATCCCTCACCATTGGCTAGGAATGAAGAGAGGTTACAGGCCAAAATTTCTGGAGGGCCACAAGCTGCCCATTATTAGCAGGTAGCATACCTGATCCCACACAGTACTTTCTTTTGTATATGTATTATGATAAACCTCCCCAAGTCTTGCTGAACTTCACTCTGTGAAGAACATCTTACAAGCATTGTTGTAAGAACATTTAACTTCACTAAGAAATCTTTATTAAAATTGGAGCAAATGTCATTTTTAAGCTTTTGCAAATACAGAAAAGAAGGGCAGGGTAATAGGGCTATTTAACACAATTGTATTTTTACTCCATGTTAACGGATGTAATGTCAAGTCTTATGGTGCAAATTAAAAGTACTTCCTAGGAACCAGAAGATGCTGCAGTTGATATTATAATAAATTGCATAATCTTAATAATATTAAAATGTTACAGTTTTCCAAAGCAAACGATGGCTTACAGAGGAAGGGAATCCTACTATGAAATCTTTCTACAGAAATGTAGAACATGCTTGAAAAACCTATTTTAGACAAGGGTTTTGTTACTATTGTCAAGCAAAAAATGTTGAATGAAGAGCAGTGCTCTGTTTCACCCTCTCATTTCTTTTTAAACAAGTCCCCAGATACACCCTTGTTTCCAGGCAGCTAATTAAAGTGCTTTCCAGTGTGCATTCTTATCTGGGATGATTGCCACCTATAACACAGGAAGGCATGGACTTTCCCAAATCTTCACATTACTTTACAACAGGTGAGGTGACAGTATGGGACTCAGAACAAACAGCACACAGCCAGGGGATGCCAAAAGGCCAGACTGAACAGAGCTTGACCTGCATCAGCATCAGTGCCTTACATCCTTCTAATGGGATCCCCATGTGCTATCAGTAGAACACCAAGTAATACTTGCTCCACAGAAAGGTGTTTGCTCTCCTGTGCCCCCATAAGTACCTCTATTAATTCTTTTAACCGGGGTTGTTCTCATGTACTCACTACAAGTGTTGTCCAGACTAATTTACCAGTAAGGTGCTTCTTCTTCCCCGCCTTATTCACACACAGACCAGAACAATTTCCCAATGATTCATTATGGATTTTTTTTTGGTGGGGGGTGTTTAATACTTTCAAGGCTTGCATACTGCTTGAAATGGTTAAAAAAGAAAAGAAAATTAATGGGGAACAGAATTAAAGGTGTTCTTTATTTTAGCCAAGGAATGATGCATGCTACAAAGTCATCTTTACTTTCCCTCTGTATATTCAGAGCTCACTGTGTACTTTCAATTTTTGCTTGCTTTGTTTTGCATGGCACTTGGTTGGTTTTCAATTCAATCAAGATTTTCTAAGGTTTTCTTTAACAAAGATGCTTTGTCTTGTAGTTCCGGCCTGCTATCCAGACTCAGGGTTGTTAATGAGCCAATGAGAAGGTCTCGGCTTTCTGTGCTCAGACTATCCCACTGTTTGGATTCTAGAAAAAGAAAGGGAATCAAAAACCATTGTTATTTTTCCAGATCATACATTTCTACTTGATTTTTCAGCCCAAAACTGGTTTTCAGTGTGGCTCTTAACAATTAAAATCCATCATAAAATCACAGGTTAAAGAAAACGCATCAACTTACTAGATAACAGTGGCCTTGGTGAGGCCACTCCTGAAAAAATCTGCCCCAGACTTCAAAGATCCCAGTAATTTTAGGCTGGAGACAAATAGCCCTTTCCTGAGTGAGGGTCTTGAGCAAGTGGTAGCCAACCAGCTCCAGGTGCTCTGAGATGAGATTACTTATCCAGTTCCATTTCAGCTAGAGTTCAGGGCACAGCTAGGTCTAGCAAACAGCTTCGGCCAAAAACCTATATTGGTGGCTTTTGATTCCACTGACCATAGTGTCCTCCATAGGTGGCTGTCTGAACTGGGAATGGAAGGTGTTGCACTCCAGTATCCTTCAACCCTTTAGGATTCTTGCTCCATTCTTTTTCCTTAAATGAAAACTTACCTTCAAGTTTTGTGAGCAGCACTTCTATCACTGACAAGGCTTCAGTTCTTATGGAGGTGTAGCTTCTATTCTCTAAGGGGGAAAATTAGGGTTCTCTTTAGGGTGAAAAGCAATTATTCAAACGATGACAACAAAAAGAAGCAAGTTGACAGTATGAACCAGCCTTCAACATTATTTAAGGAGAAAAACTGCAGTTCTAAGCAATCCTTTGGATTACTGGAACTAAAGAATCTGGCCCACCTCAGCTGGCAAGTCAGAAGCATACATTTGCTCTTCATTCAGCCCATCCATTTCCAAAAGGGATTCAGTACAGATGGATATAGTAAATTTTAAAAGCAAAGAGCGCCCCATTTTTTTCCCCTTGGTAATACTGCTTTGGTGGCCTAAGAGATCGGACCCCATGAAAAGATACTTACCTAGAGAATGGGTAATTGAGGAACAGGTTTCCAAAAGTATTCTTGTTAAAGCCTCAGGGTCTGAGTGCTCTGCTTCAAGCAACAGCAGCCTGCCAAATGCAAACACAGACGCATTAGTCTCTTCAAATGTAGCAATGTGCGGCCTGCTCGGTCCCTCAGGTCACGCCACGGCCCTTGGAGGCAGTCTGTGCGGCCCATGCAAGTGCCAAGGGTGCCACTGCTGAATGGAAGCCTGCCATTCAGCTGTCTGGAAGGCTATGTGGAGCAGCGGGGGATGTCCTGGGTGCTGCCCACCGCGTTGTGCAGGCCTCCCCCCTCCACCCAAGCTGTTGCAGGAGCAAAGAGAGAGGAATGGTACACCTTCCCTTCCCATCCCATCCCCGCACATTGATATAGGAGGGAGTGTAGGTGTGCCCATCTAGGTGTGTATGGCCCACTGTCACAGGCAGCCTTTGGAGGAAAGACAGGCTGGGTTTCTGGTAGATAATATTGGAATGGAGGTGCTCACACAAGCGGTTTAGAGTTGCAGCACTAAATCGCAGAAGACAGGAAGGGTCTGTAGAACAGGCAGGAAATTTTTTTAACACCCTGGAAAAGCTGGAAATGGCACAGCCTATGCTAGTCCTAGCAATGCCCACAGATTTTTTTTGGGGGGGGGTATTCTTGACGCAAACCAGTAGGTAGCAGTAAGGACTATGCTGGGGAGTTGCACTGTATGAGTGCATCTGTTCCCAGATATAAGCACTGTTAATGGACAGCCACTTTACCAAAAGGCTTCTTACAGCAATGGTGTCCATGCAATCAGTTAGGAAGCTGTTTATCTGCACTGCACTGCAAAGAAGTTTCATTTATTTGCTTGCAGAATGTTGTTGCACGCCGGAACATTGACTGTTGTACAGAAATACAAATAAGCACCGGGCAAGGCAATACTTGTACGACAGGTGTACAAGTGCTTGCAAAGACATGAGGGTGGCTTTCCACTTGCTCGCCAGCCCACGTTAGCAGGCAGTGCACTCACAATGACAAAGGCTATGCAATTTGTCAAATGTGGGCTATGGGATTTGTCACACCCACATACAAAAATGCAAAAAATCCCAGGAGAAAAGCACCACAGCAGCAGCTTGAGCACCCAGAGTCAACTTACCCCTGAAAATAAGCCTTCATAGCTTGGAGCACTCCCAGCTGCACTTTCCAGGTACTGAGTTTCAGCCGCTCACACATTAGTTTGCACAGTTCTTGTCGATAGCAGCCTGAAAAACAAATTTTCAAGTAAGCCAAGATAAAGTGAAGTCAGATGTTAACAGTCCCTCCTCATTTGGATCTTGATGCACGGCCAACAAGTTGTCGCTGCCTCCTCCTCTCATACCTTTATCTATCTTTCCCCAGTCTGGTGCTCTCCAGAAGTTTTGGACTGCTATTCCTGGACTTCCTGACTATTGATCATGTTGCCTAGGACTGATAGGGGTTAAAGTCCAAAACCTTTGGAAGGCACCAGGTTGGGGAAGGTTGTGTTAGCCATCTCTGCCAAGCAGCCACTCACTGGAAGAAAGGCTCACAGATCAGAAACCATCATTTCTAGGTGGGCTTCAGCCCAGCAAACTCTCAGTTAGGCACTGCTTGGAAAAAAACGGTGGTCAGAGGAAAAGAGATGGAAACATACCAGTCAAGGATTGGATCTCACCTCTCTCATGAAATATTCAAGTTCCTTCCCGCTCTCTCATGCCCCACCCCAAATGAAAGCTGGCTCCTAATTGTTACACCCTCAAATGACCCCCCCATATAATTAAGCAATTTGCATCTGTATAGGTCTAATTAGAAAGATCATCCTGCTTGTACAGATGCAACTCCCCACTATGCATGTGGCTTTGTGTGGAGCCTAGAAATGAAGCTATCTAGAAAGTTTGAAATAGTTTTTCCAATCCTTCATTTAGTTTCTCCAAACTGATTTCTGGTAAGTACAGCAAGGAGTGTTGCAAATGCAAGCTCCTCTCACTTCAGTTATCAAATTCCAAACACACATAAAAGCAGAAATAGATTAAATGAGTATTTTTCCAGCAGTCACCATTTTCTATTGATGACAAAATTATATTTTTGTGTCAATATACAATCAAGTTGCAACACTATAATTTTCCATTGTTACTGTCATATTACTGTGATGTATTAAAATTCTATATTCTTGGGGTGTTCCCTTTCTTTTATTTTCTGGAGGGACAGGCTTTGGGGCTTCAAGACAGAGGGCTCCCTAGCACTAATGGTCAGAAGACATGGCACAGTTTTCCTATCTTTTTCTCCTTAACAGATTTTCTGCAGTAAGGCAACAGGCACAAATTGTAGGACAACACAGGGTGTTACAAGCGGAACAGGTTGTTTTCTGGACCTCCTATAAACTCCTGTAAATGAAGCACACTTTGTATTTAAGATAAAATTATACTGAGTTTTTGCTGGATGAAAACCTACGCTGAGTTTCTGGATTTCTAGGCCATGCTTTGCCCAAACTCTCGAAGGCACAGAGAAGAGATTCCATCTGGAGTTCCTTCTCATTTTCATTCTCATCCTCATCATCATTCTGTGGCGAGCTCACTCCCATGTTCTCAGGATAATTCTGCGGTGTTAAATTTGGAAGAGAAAGGAGGTAAGAAGAATATGGGTCAACCTTTTTGCTTCTCCAGTTCAGGCATTTCAGTTTATATACTGTATTGCTGCTGCTGCTGCTTTTATTCATAACAATGCACTCAGGCTAGCGCTTAATAAAAACTAAACTCATCATGGTTTAAAAAAACACTAAACCTAAAAAACAGCAGTGGAAAACCTAAGGCAATAAAACTCAGCTAACTCAGTAACAGCTTGGCAAAAATAGAAGGGTTCATCCAATAAGGCACATCAAACTTATTTTAAGTAGTAATTTATTATGTAGGATTTAAAAAAAAAATTAAGCCGAGATGCACTGGGTTTTAATATTTTTAGTGTATAATTTTTGTATGATTTTGTATGTTTTTGTTGTGAGCCGCCCCGAGGCTTTGTTGCGATGGGGGCGGCATAGAAATGTTTTAAATAAATAAATTGATAACTTGATTATTGTTTCCTGAATTATTTTTTAAGCCTCTTGGAAAAAAGGCAGAGAGCGCTAATCTTGCATTAGCGAATCAGGAACAGCAAGTCCTAGCTTGGAGTGCCCTATTACTGCTGAGTCATGGGTGGTTGTTGAAATGCTGCTGGGTTAGGTACCCCAGCAACAATAACAAACCACCCACATTTCACAACCTAACAAATCATGCACTCTCTTCATGGGCTGTTCATGGTCAACAAACTATGGTTTGTTATTGCATCTGGGTTTGAAAAATATGACACCCCATGACAAAGTTTGCATGTGGGTTATCATGTGTGAACCCAGTCACTGCCTGTATATGCTTTTGTGTACATGTCTATATATAGAGAGACACACACATGCAAAACAGATATGCACAGAGTAGTGAGCATGTGTATATTTGTACTCCCAGAGGCCTAAAGGAAATTACAAATAGTTCCACCTGTCTTTTTGTATGGACAAAAGAGGAAATTTCAGTAATAATCAACAGTGGGTTCTGTGGCTCTTAGGCTACAAAGGAAACTTGTGTGGCATATCTGAAGCAAGCAAGCAAACTGGACAGGACACAGGGCCATGATGTAATGACTTGCACCCATTTGCAAAGAACATCCAAGGAGAAAAGTTAAAACATAGTCTTATGTCTCAATTTAGTTCTCACAAATGGACTTAAATGAACATCTTGAAAGATTAGGATTTGCTGGTTTTCCTTTTGGTCAGATAAATGAAAGTTAATGTGCTCAGGCAAAGAGTGTGCAACAAACTAGGGAGTCTTTAATAAAAATTGTACTTGTGCAATGAATTTTATAAATGACCTTATCAGCCAAGCCCCTTGCTTCTCAACTTCAGCCCCTCATCCCACCTGCAAGATGTGGAAATACTGAGCAGTCATAAAAACTGCTGAGAATATAATCTCAACCATTTTGAATATTTTACAGAGCTATAAAACCGCTACACAGTATTTCTTATTTGTTTGTGATCATTACAAGTAGCATTACTAATAGTGTAAGAAGCAAGAATGGGTGAACTTTCACCTTCTTTATTAATGGAAAGATGATGTCCGTCAGTTCCTGGAACCGGTTTTCCTGTGTGGTCTTCAGCACATCAGCTGTGCACCGGAGGGCCACAATCTTGTACCTGAGGTTCTCCTTGCGACACTCCTTAAGCATGGCCTGTAGGACATCGTCAATGCTAGGCTGGTCAGGTACTGTCTTGTACAGTTCCACACTGAAAACGCAAAGGACAAGGAGAGGAAGACAGGGTCACTATCTGCTTCTCTGTTGCTCTCACCAAGCTCACTGCTCAGGTTATTTTTTATTTAGGACATAAATGCCTCTTTGCTCTTGCTTATTATCTGCCTGGCTCTGTAAAGATTTTTTTAAACCACTTATTGCTCCCCTTTCATCTGAAAGGCTCTAGGACCTGGTTATATTTTCCTTTCCCTTCCTTTAGTGTAAACAAGCTTCTGCACTAAATATTTACACTATGCCACACACACACAGAGAAATTTTCAGTGATGGGGTTTGCATGACATAACAAGCCGTGGCAGTTTCAGTCATTGTATTTCAACATGGTATATTTGATCTTCCAAAACCACAATAAGAAACAGCGAGTTGTTCTATGGTTTCTGCTTATCACAATGGTTTCTTGTGCTATCTGAACCTGATCTCCACAGTTTTGATAAACTCCCACAGAGCCCCCTGGAAGGAACAGTCATTCTAGGAGCCTCTCCAGCCATCCAGCCTCCCTGCCTAGTAATAGATGTGCCACCGCTTGCCTCACTCCTGCAAGCTGCTCTCTTTCCCCAGCCCTCTCTGTTGTTCTCCAGATGTCTACCTATCATTTTCTAGCAGCAAAGAAGTGTACAGCACTGCCTCAAGGAGTGCAGGTGGAGTTGGCCCATCTCGGAAGCGCTATCTACTGGTTGTGGTTTTCACAGTTTCCAGCCTGAGCTGTTGGGCCTTTTATTTTCATTCTCAAGTAGCTCGATGCAAGGATACATGCTAGCATGGAAAAGGGTGCTATAATGAGTGGGGACAACACAGTTAATTGGGTAGCACAGTTTGAGCACTAGCATAATGTTTTAGCAGGTATTCTTGAGGTCATAGCCTGTAGCTTCTGTATGAAGAAATCTTTTCAGCAAGCAATTGCCTTTCTTCTACTGTTGCATGCTTTACAATAGACACGTTTTTCTTGGGGGGGGGGGTTCACTTGGGGTTGGAAGGATTTGTCCATGCTAGAATAAGAAATGCAGCGCATGTCAATGGAGATGGTGAGGAAGGTTGGAAGAAAACTGAGCAGCGGCTCATACACGGAGACATTTGGGAAGACATGGTGTATTTCTGGGCAAGGGAAAGGAAGGAGGACTGGCCCTCATGCTCACCCAAAGGGAAGGGAGGACACATGAGGAAGAGGAACTGGCATGTGGGATCATGGGAGGTGGAGGAAGGGCAAATAAAGCTGAGGGAGAAGTACAAGGTGAGGACTGGCATGCAGCGAGGGGGAGGTGAGAGGCAGTGTGTTGTGATGGTTAGAGCACTGACCTGGGGCTCTGGGCGACACCGGGTCAATCACCCAGGAAAAAAGGTAGAATACAAAACCACCACAACCAACATAAATGCAGCATAATCTGAAAATGTAGTATCAATGAGGCAAGAAAAGAACAAAGGAGAGAGAATGGGGCTCCAGGCCATTTTCAATGCCACAAACTAAGCTGAAAGATGACAAGGAGGGGAGGTGCATGTAAACCAGCACAGATAGATTTCAGAAGATACTGGCTCTAGGAATGAGTACTTCCAAATGCATCCTAGACCAAAGCCTCTAATGGGGGGGGGGGGGGGGGGGGAAGGGGTGCTTTACAATGTAATAAAGCACGAGATTACAAAAACTGCCATTTTAAAAAAGAAATTGTACAACTTATTTATTAATCCTGAAACCTCTTACTCCAGAGCACTCTTATTTCAATTGACAGTTGATAATGTACCTATCTTTCACCAGACAATTTACTGAGCCATCCTGTGAATTAAATTTGGCTATTTTCAATGGGACTTTCTTCCAGGTTAAGATGCAATCCTAGAACCTTATTCATCTCTCACAAGAAGTTTTATGCCTAAATCCATTCATACCCTTACATTTCTCAGTATCCTGTCTGAAACACTCTTCTCCATTTACTATAACTAACTGAGACTTCCCCAAACTGGTGCCGGGACTTCAATATTTTGGACTTGAAATCTCACCAGTCCCAGCCAGTATAGCCAATGGTCAAAATCCTTAAAGTTGTAATGCAAAACATCTGAAGGGTACCAGGCTATACTGATCTCATTCATTCCTTTTACATAACAATTGCTGTAACATCTTCTCCCCGGTTTGAGATTTTACCTGTCATCAAAAACCAGAAATCTCCTAATTTGTCTTCACAATAAAGAGGGTTTGTGCTGCAGCTCTAGACCAAGCAGAAATTGTGCTGGTTCCCAAATCATATTCAGTTCTTCACAAGGAATAAAAAGGAATCTGTACCCAAACTAATATAGGAATGACCCTGTTTGCAAAGTTAAGAAGTTTTAGAACCAGAAAAAGATGAGGTTTTTCTTACCTGCATGAACAGACGACACTGGCAATAGCTTTCAATAACTCCTCCTAAACATGTTATCACAAAACAAGACATGAGGAGCGTTTTTAGCATGAGTTTTCTATGATATGCAATAAATAACCCTTTTTATTCCCTCATTTTATCACAGTTTTTACAGTATGTTCTTTTATTATAAAACTGAACACACCAGTATGATATTCATACTAGAGATAGCCAAAGGAAAATGATTACGTATCTTCATGGTATCTTTTATCATATTTTTGGGCCACAGGATTCATCACCTGACAAAGCACTGCATAGTAACTGTGCTTTTACCTTTCCTGTCCATGTTCTTCCAGAGAGACCTTGCAACAGAGCAGTTAACACCATGCCCAAGTGTGGAGGTGCCAAGGAGCCAGTTTGCTTTGCTATAGATGCCATGGCAGCTGCTCCTTGAGCTTTCATCTTCCAAGATTGGGACTGCAAAGCTTTCTGCGTGATTGCTATCAATTCTTCCATATAGAGCCTTATTCCTCCATAGGTGCCTAAGTTTCAAAACAGAAAGCATTTCATGAGATGATTAATGGAGCTACAAAACTATTTTACCTTTACAAGGTAAGTTTGGGAAGACCTGCTGCAATCTCCACCAAGAGAGCATTGGTAGAATGCAAAAGGTTCCACTTCCATGAAGTACAAACAAGGCTGACATTTCCTATTTCACTGGGAGAGAGCAAGCAAGAAGCATTGTTCTCAAAACTAACATAAAAAATACTACTTCCAAAACACACGTAAGAAATCCTACTCTCCCCCTACACAGAAAAATCCTTTGATAAACTGGGTTCCCTCCCGCCCCATTCTTATACAATCTGTGTCTTACAAAACCATTAAGGCCAACTGCAGGACCGGGACCACCCATTTCCCAATTTTACTTTAGGCTTACTCAGTTATTTTAGGATTTGCATCCTGCCTTTCATAAAACAAGGCAGCAAATGGAACACATTACAAATTCACTAAATCAACTTACCAGGCACATTTTCCTGCCATACTTCAGTCCACAGGTTGCCATCCTCCTTCTCTCCTTTTTCTTCCTCAGGGACTTCGTGCATCCCAAGAAAGGCCAGGGGCAAAACATGTCTGGCTTGATTCTTCAGTACATCTGGGCTGTAGCGCCCAATAGCATGTATAGTTAACGCACAGGCTGTTTTATAGACTTGTTCTGCATAAAAGAACAAAGATACATGTGGATACCCTGGAGCCTCTGTTTTCACCGTGGCACTGGTGCAAGTTAGGCTCAGTGTCACAGAGGGAAATGGCTGGAGGACTTGTCAGCTAAAACCCGTCCCCTAGTACAGCACAGTGCATCAATCAGTCAAAGATGTACTTAGTTCATTTGGGAGGTTCAAACATTGAGTTTAAACCAGATGTGCTGGGCTGTAGCTCTTCCCATCCTAGCTAACATGGCCAATGTTCATACTGGCTGTGTTGATGCAGTTTGTAGCACAATACATTTGGAGGTACCAGGTAGGAGAAAGCCGGTTTGAAGCATGCAAATGAAAGAAAATCCATACTAGATTGTGCTCATGTCAGTGGTTAAGGACTCCGAGGGCTAAAGAAATTATTTCTTTTGAGACGCTAAAGACTAGCCTGGAAGCAGCTAGTCTTTCGTAGTAATAGTAATTACTATTACTTCTATCTACATTATTTCTACCAAATGACTTACTTTCTTACTTTTGTTTGGATTGTGCAAGGATAAACAGTATTATTACCATTTCTCACATGGAACTGAGGTTAAGCCAGGCAGTGAGTTTATGGTTAACCAAGGACATTCTTTAACCTGATCTCTTAATATCATTCCCCAGCTCCCAAGTCTTCATGGTAACACAAGTTCTTCAAAGTGCACTTTGAAAGTGGGCAATACCAATTTATGCAAGGGAGGCCCCAGGCTCTCAAACAGGGACACAGGAGAATATGACTGCATAGCATGTACACAGGCAATGTTTGCTCCCAAAAACAATTTCATGAGAGGAATGAAGGCATTCTCTGATGGACACTAGCACTGACAAGGTGCTTGCCACGCCTACAACTGCCAGAGTTGTGTGAAAAAAATAATGTGCCCGCTGTGGGTACTGCTCCAGCCTAGCTAGCCCTGGCATTCCAGGTTTCTCTGTAGAGGTCTGAGAAATTGAGCAATGGAGTCCTCACCCTACAGAGATCCTGTGCTGAGAGGTTGGTGTTCTGGGTGATCGCCACTTCTCAACAAATCCTCAACTATTCCCATTTCCCCTCTTTACTAGTGGAGCCACATTTATGTATTTTCTGCTCCCCCCACCTTTCATGGAACTCATGGAAACTTACAGAATTCCTCTCCTGCTCTCAATCTTCTCCTCACAACAGCCCTGTGAGGTAGGTTGGGTTGAGAGTCTGTGATTGGCCCAAAGTCACCCAGTTAGCCCCATCACCTGAGTTCCGGTTCTGCGCTCTTAACCACTACACCACATTGACTCTGCAGGGCTTGGGAAAGTGTTAAAGTGAGTTCTGCCTCTTTTTTTTTTTTTTAAGGGAAACCAACCTATGAAAGAACATTCTGAACAGAATTTTAAACATTAGCATGCAGCTCTGCATGCAAGAAAATGGAAAAATACTGGGTAGCCATGGGGAGCCTCTAAGGGACAAAAACAGCTGCCTTGAGCGAAGAACGGCTTGGCATCAATACAGGGAGGGAGAGGGAGCTCATCGCCCCACAGTGTCCTCTGCACTATTGCCTGGAAAAACAAAGGGGGGAGAGTAAAATACCCACAATGAGTCGATCGCATGTTGGACTTGTTAGTACTGTGCTAACTAACCGAATCATCATGGCAAACTGCCACAATGTGTTGCCATGGCATGGGAACTTGCTTAATCTATTATAATCACAGAGAACTGTGAAATAAAAAGGATATGCTTTCACTCCTTCCTTTATCCCCAGTCTCATGATGTTTGTTTTTTTCACAAAACCATGTGTGTGTGCGCATGCCCACATATCTAGAGAGGGAGAGAGCTACGCACCTTCTTTCTCCATATACCAATTGTTCAGTTTCTGCAGTAATTTATCTGTGCTGGTGTCCCGTGAAGTCTTAAAAAAAGAAAGAAAGACTCAAATACTTCAGAATACCTCAACACAGAAATCTAGAGGTAACAAATGCAAAGCTGAAGCAGTGTCACAGTGCTACTCACCCGAACTAGATGTCCCATGGCAAAAGCAAAAGATTTTTGCACCACACTGTTGCGATCAGCTAGTCCACTGAGCAAAGCACTCATGAGTTTGCCTGTGTTAAAAAGGAGGTAGGGCACAATGTTTACACTGATAAACTGTGATTCTTTATTTGGACAAGTGACAAACTGAGAATTTTACATTAAATTAGTGTTCTTCACACTTACCTCTTCCTGTTAAAATACAGTTATTTCTACATAGATATTAGTTGCTAAGCCTAAGCCTAACTCTTTCTCATTGGTTTCTATTTAAAAGATTTCAGTTAGAAAGACAGACAGACAGACAGACAGACAGACAGACTAAAAGTATCATTTTTTCCAGCCAGAATTTCCACACTAGTTTACAATAAATTCTTAATAAAAGGAATAATAAGCACTTGAACATGGGCTAAAGAACCAGGAATTCTGACTCCATCCAGAGTCTCACATAGACTGAAACACAAGCAAAGGCAGATGATCCTGACAACCACAAGCTGCCCTCTACTGACACCTAAACTTCCTTCCTCTTATTAGTTAGGTAGCAGAACCAGAAGACAGAGCAGATAACTAGCAATTAAACGGCAATGAAATATTATCTCAGTAAGATTCAAGGAATACAAAATCAATCCAAACATAAAAGCAGAAACCCTACCTGAATATGGTGTCAAGTCTTGGGGACACTGAGTGGTAAGTGATACAATTACACTAGCACAGCCACCCTGCAAAAATTCAAAGAAGAAATACAGTGATCAGCTTTTTCTGCTAGGTAAAATTCAGGCTACATGCATTTTCTTGGAAATAACCCCCACTAAATTCAGTAGGACTTACTGTGAAATAAATATGTAAAGGACAGGCCAACATTCCCTTTGAATTCAGGCAACACAGGATCTGCATCAATTGCTATCATGCCATGGGGTATTACAGTAGTACTTGTACCTTTCTTAGGGGAGCAATCCCCACACAACTTGCCATAATTTCCTCTGCCTCTGACCAGTGTTATTGCCTCACTCCTTACCCCCTCCATAAATCACACTCACTTTTAAGGCCAATATAAGAAATGGCATACACGTATTTTTCCAGTTATCCTGGCCATGTTCATCATCCCAATTCTGACAAAAGACTGTCACAACTGGAAGCATAAACATACCTTAGTGCCGATGCCTATTCCACTCCTGGTCAGCTCACACAGCCTAGGAATCAGCTCACCCAAGACAGACACATCCAGATACTGCAAGCACTGCAAAAGGAAAAAAGGTAGAAGATGAAAACACCAACTGGACTAGTAGCATAACAGAAAAGCTGTTTGCAAGCTGTTTGCACTACTGAAACGCTTAAGATCAAGCCAGTCATTCGATGGCAGACCTAACCGTGAGAACCTGGGTTACAGCTGACCAGCTCCCAAGCAATGTAAGAAAAGTGTGACTTGCAGAAAAATAAAAAGTGGATGGAAAGTGGATTAACCCTTTTCCCTGACTTGCCATGTTTGGCCCATGTCTGCCCTCCTGCACCTGCTTCTCCCTCTGAGCAAGCAAACAGGTATCTAGACCCCTGTCTGGAAGGAAAGAGGTTGGGGGGAATATAGGAGAAAAGAAGAAAGTGAGAGAAGCGTTAAGCACAGACAGGTGTGCACACCCAACTATAAAGTGTAATCTACTTTGTAGGCCGGAGTGCAGCCCAGATTTCCATACCTAGATCTATGTATAACTATATAACTTGGTCCTTTGGTCCTATGAAAAACTGAGCAGAAATCTTAGGCTTCAATAGAATATTTTGGTCACAGTTTGGCACTTGAATTAAGAGATGCAAAGGTGACTAAAACTTGTTCTGAGTGAGCCTAGTTTCTAGATTTTTAGATCTGTTAGTGAAATCTTCAGCAGATGAGTGCCTGGCATTATGACAGTGAAATCTGGAAAACAAGTCTGCCAATGAATGAATAAAGAAGTCCCATTTCGATTTTTATTCAACTGAACAGAGTGAGATGCTTTATATTTTCAGTAATGGGATGGACTAGAAAAGTTTTAAATAAATAAATATTTTCATAGGAGGCAAAAAATAAAAGCAAAAAACCCTGCATGTGTTTGTATGCAAACATATGTTCATATGCTCCACTAGAGAGATTTATAATATATTTTCCAACATTTCCATGGATGGGTCACTGCAATACCAGACTCTCACAGAAGAAATGAAACTCATTGTGCCACATGAATTACTCCAAAGGAAACAAGCAAGCCAATGTTTGGGAGAAAAGCTAACTTGGAAGGAAATCTACAGTGAAAAAGGAGGAGAAAGGACCCAATTCTCTTCATGTAGTTAACATAATACATATTCATTTTCTTTTCCCTTCCATTCCACACATACTGAAAAACACCAAAACCTTTTAGATTACATCTCCATAATCTATGCTAACACATTGGAATCCATTGCATAGATAAATGCAAGCAAAATATTTTATTAACAGCCAAATTGCTGTTTCTACAAACTATTTCTGAAGCTTAGTCCCCTAAGGGAAAAGTAATCTTCTAGAGGCTTTTAAATATCATAGATTGCTGTTTGGTGTCTCTCTCATGCCTACAATCATAATATGAGGAAGGGGCTCTAGCTCAATGTCAGTTGCATATGGAATTCCCTCTATCTACAATAAAATGATCTCAAGTTGCAAGGCTACAAAAGGCCTGAGACCTTGAAGACAGTTACCAATTGGATAGACAATACCAGGCTATGGGATGACTAAGCTATTATCATGCACCTACATCTGTTAACACACAGGATGAATGGGGCACTTGCTCATATGCCTGCATCTGATAACTGGAAAAAAAAGACAGCAGCAGCTGCAGGAGCTGTAGTGGTCCACTTTTATCCAGTGCTTTCTGTGCAGAAATATTGAATATGCTATTTATAGCTACTGATGCATCTATTCGGAAAGTAAAGCTGCCACAAACACAGAACAGGCATGCAGTGGCCTCTTTTATAAGCTAATAGTATGAGAGTCAAGACAGAATAGCTTAGACACTCCTTTTTAACTCTGCAGGCCTTCCTACTTGCATTGCACAGAACAATGAAATACAAGCCCGGTGCCCCACGTGTAAATAGAGTCACAATTGCCTTGCTAAATGGGATATGGGTCTGTGGACTCTATGGAGCTCTTGGCTGCTGCCAGTGCTCTCTGGAACCATAAAAGGTATTGCTTTGATCCCTCCAGTAGGTTCCCTTTTACTATGCAGAGCTGACAGGGAGAAGCATCTAAGCTGCACAGCTTCACTGGTTTCTCTCTGCTGATCTTGCCTAGACAAAGGGAAGGAAAGGCCAGACTATACTGAAACTCCAGATCCTTGCCACAGGCAATGCTGTGGGCCACCTACAAGAGGCAGGAAGGCAAACTGAGATTTAAGAGCTCAAGAAATCATTTTGTGAGCCACATCCCACTGGCTATTGAAGGGGACCTTTCTAGGACAGAATGGCCTCTTGAATGCAGTAACAGCTTCAGCCCTGCAAATGAATAAATGCACTAAATCCCACATTCTGTTATCAGTCACAGTCAGAAGATGGGAGTCCCTCTTGCCCAGCTTTGAGTCCCCTGCTTCTTCTTAGGTGAGTTACCCACCATATTGATAGTTTCCATCATGGGGGAGGATTTAGCAGCACTTAGTCTTGCTGTATCCATTGCAGCCTGAAGAACACAAAAACAAGAAATGGATGCAATTAGAAGCTGGATTTTTAAAAGCCTCAAAAAGACACCAAGAAGGTGTATACAGCAAGGCGGATTATTTAAAGAGTACATGACAAATCAGAGGAGCAAGTGGGAATGCAGGGAATCAATCAGACTCATGAGCTGATTCTCTTTTATCCTTTCCAGCTAAAAGGACATATTTAAAAAGAACACCATACTTTACTCAGGTCTCTCCATCTCATACAAACAATTGATTCTATATTTCTATTATCTCAGTCCTTCATGTTCCTGGACAGCCACCAATACACAACCATTGACATCCATTTGTGCATGAACACATGTGTGCCTTGCCCAGGCAGTTTCAGTTATTGAGCAGTACAGGATGATGATGATGATAATGATGATGATGATGCATGTTTAGCTCTAAATCTTCAACATGCTTCTCAGATACTGCATTTACCTTTTCCTGTTCTGTAGCACGCAAGCTCAAGTAATTCAAAACCTGAGGCTCCAGGACACTCAGTGACTCCAACAGAGCTGGAATGAGTTTGGGAGCATGTGGTTTGAGCATGGCCCCAGCACTTTTGCTGATCTTCACCAGGGTGTTAATGCTGTGGACAAACAGCACAGAAAAATAAGAACAAAAGAAAATGAGGGACAGCTCAGTTCCTTCAGTACACCTGAATGAGAAAAAAATAATCAGAAATTAAAGTATCTTCACAGGAAGTGATCTAGCCACTGCATAGAAAATATTATTCAGAAGATCATACAAAGCCGTCTAGAATGTAACTGCAGCTCAAAACCACATAAAACATGTGGAGCCTTCATTCATAGGCCAGAAGCAATAGGTGACTCTAATATCTGGGGGGTTCTTACTGCTCCTACAGTCACCTGTAGACACTTTATTGTTTATTTAGGACACAGTCCTATGGGAAGGCCTTAAGCCACCAAATTCAGAAAACTCCAAGGTCAATGGCAGTGAACACACCTCAGGGTCCGCACTTCAGTCACCGTGTTCATCATTCCTTTATCAAGAAGGCATGGCAACAGTACAGCTATTGTTCTCTGGCCTGCAGCTCCTTTAGATGGGTCACACATCTTCACACACACCTCAAAATAGAAAGCAGACACTCAAATGTAACTCCATGTAAACCTTGATTCTTGACTCAAAATACATGCAACTGTGAAGAAAATAAGAAGCCCTTTAAAACATTCCCTCGTTTTTAATTAGATAAACCAGAAGCAAAGGAAGAATCCCCGAAATCAGTATAGTTTAGGTTAAAACTCTTACTGCCAGGAACTAAGGATTAGGGCATTCCAACCACTTAGACTGGGGAAATGATCTGCAACAATTAGGAAACTATAAACTAACTATTAGAAGTTGGAGGAAAGGGGACAGGACCATTTGGGGAATCCCAAAGAACCAGATCTGGGCCCCTAGCCTGAAGTTCTGAATACACTGAATCAAACTGAGTTATGTTAGGAAGTAAAATTCTGTTGAAACTTGAAAAAGCAAGTATGAAAATATACCTTACTTAGTGTTTTCAGGGCTAATTCTGCTGCCTTTCGTACAGATTCCTGAAAAAAGAAAAGGTTAAGCTTACAATATAAACTGCATCACTATCAACTGTAAAAAGTAATTATTTCATCAGTAATTAATAATGTTATGCATTTCAGGAACATGTCACCTGCTCTACCCACATCAGAATTTATTCTATTTACTGTTACATTTATGTTCTGCCCATTTTCCTTTAGCAAAATCCTACTCTGTTTTATCCTCACAACAACCCTCTGAGGGAGGGTAAAATAAGGTTGCATTCACATAATGTAACAAGCAATCCTGGAACCATGGGAACCGTGATCCTGGATTCAGACAACACAGCAAGCCATGGTGGTATGGAGAAACCATATATACATACACATATATACATATACAAATTCAGCCGTTGGGAAGAGTTCCCACACTTCAGCAGAAATGTATCACCGGGGGAGGGGGGATAGTTCAACCCTTTACTAATCAAAATATCAACACACAGAAAATTGCTGTTCATGTTACAGGTACCTCTATTTTGGCCAAATGATTTAACAGCAATTTTGGGTGGAAAAACTTAGACCAGAAGGGAAAGGTTTAACCTTTACATAACAGCCCCTCTGATCAAATTTGGTGTCATCTACCATCACTATTACCAATCCTGCTATGTTAAGTTCAAAACACTGAGAAATTCAGCAACAGGTTTTATCTTCATGATATATGGCTTGGTTATACTTTACAGAAACTTACATCTGTAGTGGTGAGGAATGTGTAGCCTTGCAGCTGTTCTTACACTGCAATACATATCAGCCCTAACCAGCACAGCCAATAGTAAATGATCATGAGAGTTACATCTGAACAACATCTAGGAGGCTAGACGTTCCCTATCCAAGATGGAAAAAAATGTTAAACATGTAAACTAAGGAGCAGGAGCCTGACTGAATTTACTGGAAGTGCAAATATTAAACATGGGTCCAGGCATGTAACACTCTCAACACTACAGAGATCTTGATGGTCAGCTAACATTTGTGCTCACCATCAAACAGGTCTTATAATTAACATCTCACTGAGCTTCTGTGGCACACAAAACTGCTTAAAAGAATCAACACAACTGCTAGATTGATTAGTTCTTAACCGTTAAAGCTCTTAATCTTCCCAGCAACAGGCACTGCGCAGGCACAGCACCCATATATATGTGCTGCATGGAGACCACGACGAAGAACTAACGCGAGTTGTTTAATCTATGAGTAACCCATAATATTTGGGTTCTCATGTTATGAAAGAATCTCAGATTCAGGGCTTGTTCTGCAAAGTAGCACATACCAGGCATGTGACCCAGCACATTATGGGTTAGTTGATTCTGGTGTAATGAATTGACCCATGGTTTACCACAGATTAACGCAAATATGAGTTTTATAATTCAGCAGCATGCATTCTAACAAGGAATCTGAGCCTGACTGGTGCTGCAATCCTGTAATTCCCCATGATTCCATTGGAAAAAAGGAAACACCAGGATCTTTAGTCTGGAGCAATTTGTTCATTTCTGAAAAGAAGACAAGCAATGTTTAATACCTTTATATCATCTTGTACTCTAAAGAGAGTTTCCCATATTTCAGGAAGCTTATGAATAATGTCATCCAAGGGTCTTCCTCTGAGCAGGTCATTCAGTGCAAGACAGCTGAAGTAAGAATATTATTATTACACAGCAGTAATATATTTTACTAAACCAGAAACAGTAAAGATAAAGTCTGCTTTTCAAAACCTATTATTACCAAACATAATGGACTAAAGCAATTTCAAGACAGTAACACCTGAAAAAATCTCATTTCAGTCCTTTCAAAAATAACTAATTCCTTTTCTTTCTACAAAAACAGATTAAGATACATAATGCCTATGACTTATTCTCCATTTTTAAAGATAGATTATATGCAATTGTGTTTTCACCTATGGTTTATGCTATGGTTTAAAACTGGCTTGTTACAAACGAGTCATAGTTAGAATTAGCCACAGTTTCTCAGTCTGGATGACACCACAACCTGTGGTTAAGCAAAACTGCAATTAAAACCTTCATGGCAGTGTCAGAAGAAAAAGGGTTGGGAAGTGTGAAAGGCTGAGACTAGACACATTCATTTCACATTGAACTTTTCAGCTTGACATCCAATAAATGTAGTCGGTATCCATGCTAGCATGTCCAAAACAATAGCTAAAAGGCAGAATGGAAGAATTTGCCCTGAGAAAAAAGTATACAATCCTGCGGCCCACAGATTGTATTCTAGCTAGGTCTGTTTGTTGGGTTCTCTCTTGGGCACAGTTTGACACTTTGTTTTCACTCATTTGTAGCACTCATTTGTGCCAGCAAAATGGCACAGCTAGATACAATTCCCCATGTTTATAATAAACAATTTTGTCTTCCTTGCACTGTGCTGTTTCAGGTGGTCCCCTAATTTTTCTGAGTTACTTTCTGACAGCAGAGCAGTGGCTGCAGCAGACAAGAATGTCTCAGAAAACCTAATATGGTCATTGAAGCTGCACATGTGATCCTTTGGATCACATATATGCATGTTGTGCATAAGTTGTCACGCTTCAAAACCAAATGTGTTTTTTGTATGCCGCTAAATGTAATTCCAACCAAGTGAATCAAGGGAAAAATGAAAGTTTATGCAGAGGCCCACACTGATAAGCGGCAATGTGAAAGACCAAACCAAAGAGCATGCATCCATGTCAAAATGAGAAATCTCTGGAAAACAAGGCAAAAAGGGAAAAAAAGCAAAGCTGAAGCACTTTTCACAATTCCAACATGCCCATCTTAAACGTTAACTGAGAAGTAGGTCTTCCTGATTTTGCTAGGACTTCTTTCCAAATATGTAAGCTCAAGAATCTTTGCCTCCCTTTCTCTTTCCTTTCTTCCGCTCTCTCTCTCCCCACACCCACCCTCTTTTATATTCCTCAAAATTGTCAAAAATAAATAAATGAATCCAATATTAGAAGAACAAGGCACACCTAGACTCTCGAATCCGCCACATATTGCTGGTCAGGTTGCTTATTAAATCATCAAGGATTTCTTTCATATATTTGTCCACCTAATCAAACAGAAACCAATTGAAATTATTAACATCTTGCACTTCCACCACAGAAAAGATGTGATCCTAAACTAACATTTGCAGGGACTGTTTTGTACATAGCCTACAAGCATACAGCCACATAAAACCTTCATTCATGAATTAATGCTTTCCAAGCCTTCTATTTGAATACGCTGAACATTTAGAAGTACCCTGGCAAAGGAAAGGCAACCATGAACAAATATTTCCAAAAGATAAAATAATTCAGGACATTATCACATAATAATCTCCCTATATAGAGAATGCTGTGTCTAAAAAGGGAGCGTATTATTTCATATATAATATGTACACCTATTTTGCCACTTGTACAAAAGTTGAGAAGCATTCATTATGACAGTTGTCCTGGGACATGTACTGCCTTTCCTAATGGAAACAATATCGATGTGGGAAAATAATCAGGCTGAAATCTTAAATACACTTACCATAGAATAACTTTCATTGAACTCAGGACAAACATCTTAGTAAGTATGTTCTAGTCTGAGCCTGTAGTTACTACCTACAGTCACTGGCCTGGTCCTTTGGAGCAACAGTTAAGAAGCTTCTACTTCAACCCAGACTTTTTCCCTTTCACTGATCGACTTTTAAAGCAGCATCATTTATAGTTGATTTTAGAATGTGTGCTGCTAAGCCAAGTGCTCACATGCGATTGATCCCTTGCTTAGATAAGGTTGGCTGAGAACACAGGGTACATCAGCATCACCCTACAGGTGTACTGTGAGTTTCAAACGTATGCCTCAGTCCTTTCACCATCTTCATGTGGATGCATCCCAAGGACCGGTGCTCACTCTTTCCAGTATCTACTGGCAACACCTCCTTCAATCTTGAGCAGGAGAATGGAAATACTTGCTATTTTCCCCATCCAAGATATGGGGCACATACATCTTACTTTTAATGAAGTATAATCTTTATTTGACTAGCTTTTCCTTTGGGGATCCCCCCCCCCATTTAGGAGAATCATCCAACTATGTAAAACTCTTGACGTGTGATTGGCTGACAGAAAGAGAACTATGAGACTGGGACAGAACAGAGAGAACAGGGACTAGGACAGTGTTCACTTACTGCAGATTTGTCTGTCACTAGTGCATTCCAAATGCTAGTCATCGCTTGCCGTATCCCAATGTTGGGGTCAAACTGGTAACGATACAGGCGAGGCAGAAGCTGGGGCAAGAAAGGAGCCAGCTGTTCCCCAGCTTTGGTAGCTATCACATTAAAACCAAAAGCTGCACCCTGAGGAAAAGACAAATACTTCTGAGTCCCAGTTTTGGTCATGTGTTTCTCCATTACAAATCAACAAAATAATCAACGCAACAGAAGTGTCTTTCATTTGATTTGTTTATCTGGTATATGAAGCCATTCCTGAGCACAAAACACCCCAGGCAGCTTATAACATGTGGGGAGAGTACAGACAGGAAGGGACCCTGGGAGCAGAGGCCACATTCCTTCAGTGTAACCCTGAACAAACACAATGTTAAGGATCCCCATTTGTGCAGCTCTGCCATTCACACTATAGCAGCTACAAATGTATTACCTTTCGAGAGGTCCACATTGCATGATGATTAGCCAAATTCATGAACTTGTATATCAAATCTGGCTGGTTGAGATCACTAGCAAGTGAACAAAGCTCCTGGTAAGTAGAAAGACCCTGGCTTGGGAAAACAGAAATGAACAATTAATGCAACTTAAAACAACAGCAGCAACAAGAAACACATACAAAAATTACCAGAAAACTGAGGTTCATTGTAAATAAGATGAAAGTAATATCCTGGAATGAAAGCAGTTTAGTTTGATCAATTCTGATTTAACTTTGCGGGGCAAGACAATATTAAAGAAAACATTTGCCTCTAAGTTCAAAAATTACAAACAATATCCATTCAAAATTTATATCTGTCTTTTTTCATCCTTCAACTTTCCGGAGGGTAGAGCCTCAGGGAGTGGGAAGAGCTTCAGTGTACCCACTGGGAAACTTGGTAGACCTGAATTTCTCCACTAATGTGGGGGAAAATAAGGATTATTTAACATAAAAACAGAGTCCAAACATTGTAATTAATCAGTAAGCTTACCCATCTGGAGTCTTGCCAAGCCCTGCTCCCTGGAACATCACAGTTTCCCCAGTCACGTCATGCTTGACTCTGGAAAGAAAGTGTATTTTATAAACAAAAAGAAAAAAGGCATGACTCTTAATAATGATAAATTGTTTCTCACCAGTCCTACCATTAAAGCTTACATGTCATATATTTTATTTTTTATACTCTTTTGCTATTCTATATATTTTTATTCATTCACCAGTCTAGATATTTTAATTTGCCATATTACCTTATCTTGGTGTTTTAAAAATATTTTGTTATTTATTTCAGTCTTTATTTTCTTCTCTGAACAGGTCTGTGACCATATAATAAACATTGACTGCATGACTGACTTCTACATGGCTGATTTAACATTTGATTTAAGCAGCAACTCTTAAGATGAGGGAAGTGTACCCTCCAAATTTGTTCTGGAAGGCAGCAATATCCTTCTGATGGTATTATGGCTAAATCCAACTGAGTAATTTGTGCTACAGATAGGCCCATTAATGTAATCATGCCAGGATCAAAAGGAACCTTTAAAATCCTTGATTTTCCATATCCCAAAATGTTGATGATTGGGCTTGCAAACAAATAGGTTACATATTCCATCAAAATTATAGTCTGTCAGAAGCATGAAGGGAAGATGTGTAGAGATCCAGGGGTAACATTGTACATTCCCAATTCAGTTATTGCTTCTTTACTTAAGCAACAATCCTAAAATACTATTGAAAAAGTTCAGATCTTCCTTCCAAAACCATCTCTTCCCAGACTAGCTTTAAATTATTTATTTTCAAAGTTCTGCCTCCTAAGCGCTTACCAATTAACCCTCCCTTCCCTGCTGATCTGCATTCTGCATAGAAGGGTGCACAAGATACCTTTTCCCAGTCATAAGTGTTTCAACAAGAGTAGTAACCAGCTCCTGTTGATCTTGTTCATTCCCAAGCTCATATACCAAACCAAGGCCTTTGGAAGCCACATCTTGACTGAGTTCTACAAGAAAGACATAATTATAACATTGCGATTTTTTACTGAATTTATAGCTTGCCAATGGATGAAATATCAAGATCTGTAATAATAAAGTTACATTAAAATCTGTTCAACACCAACAAAAAGTATGGAACCTCTGAAATATGGTAGGTTATTCAAAGAAAACCACACCATCTCCATTACCATTCTGTTAGAGTACAATGTTCTCCATGTTTAAACAGAAAGACGTATAACCAAAGACAGCATACTGAGGATAGTTAATCCTGGGAGTTGTAGTACTTTGGATTGCATCTTTAGTCCTTTTACCAAAAAGAGGGTAAGAGAGCGAGGGAGGGAGACTTGTGGCAAGCCTAATGATTAGGCCCTAACCCTAATATTCCTTTTAGAATAAAAGTCTGCATCTTATTAATCAAGAAGCAACATTGTAAGTACATTTCTACTTACCATCACTCTCAGACAGAATGGATACAAATGCAGACTGAATTTCTTTGAGATGAGACTGCAAGGAGAGAAGAAAAAAAGGACTTCTTTTATTTTTCAGATTCATTTTCCTACAAGGTTGAAAAAAAGCTTCCCACAAACACACACACTTCAAATTATAATCTAGATTTCCAAATGAGGGACAGTAACTCTGTGGCAGAGCAAGTGTAAAGCATGCAGAAGGTCCCAGGTTTGATCCCTGACATCCAGGTAGGGCAACCTCATGCCTGAAAACCTTGGAGAACTCTTGCTGGCAATGGGTATACTCAAGAACTAGGCTTTATGGACCCATGTTCTGACTCAGTATAAAGCAGCTTTCTATGTTCCTATCCCAACTGCAAACTGAAAAGGAAGAAGAGATTGCAGGGCAAAAAGGTCAAGCCTACATCAGAATTGCCAGCTTGGCTTGCCGGTTACTTTATTTGCATAAGGAAAGAAGGCCATACAAGAAACCAATATTCATTCATTCATTCATTCATTCATTCATTCATTCCCTGTGTTAGTGGAAAAGAAACTTTTGGAAAAAATAGTATTTGGCTCAAGAGGATACTTCCATGCCAGAGATGGGTAACTTGTAGCACTACATTTTAAGCTGACCTTGGTCTAATTTAATACAACTCTCGGCTTCATCTCAAAAACCACTTTAGAAGTGATCAGAACTCTAGCAAGAGTGATCTGGCCTTCTCCTAGCAGCCCAATGAGCAGGGAGGAAGAGGAAAGGAAGAAGAGGGAAAGTGTGGAAAAGAGAGTGAGACGCTCATCACCACTATGTGGTTGCAATCTCCAATCATGTTCTATGTTACTGAAGGGAAGATAGAAGCCCTTTGAGAGGTATCTCTGTGCCTGAGAAAATGCAAAGTTTTTTCAGTTTAACAAATCAAAAATTCATATTCAGTGGCATTAACTCTCACGTATAACAAGGTGTGAGACACAAAACAAGTCACCATATAGATTATCTTAATATTTTTTAGAAAAAAGTGGCATGCCCTTAAAAGTCAGTGTGTTCTATTGCTTTTATTCTCTTTTTGTCTAACCACTTGCTGCACAACAAGGTCAAGTAGGAACACAGAAACAAAACATTATGAGAAGGCAAGCAGAAAGCAGGACAAGGGCAGACAAGTTTAACAAAACCAGACAAGAGACAAAACAAAAAGAGATACTGATTGTTTTTTTCCTACCTTAACTTCTTTGTGAGTGCTCAGCTTTTTCACCAAAGACAAAAGCCAGATGCATGAAGCTTGTCTTATGTGAGGGTTGAGACTGACAATGTGTTTATTCAAAATGGCATCCAAGACCCAGGGAACCACATCATTAACCTTCACATCTATTGTAATTAAACAAATGAGGAGAGGGAAAGAAAACTATTACAAACAGAATGATTTGAAAGATAAAATCTTTGGCCAGTACTTATTCTTTCCAAGTTAAGTAGGCAGCATTCTAGCCCTTACAAGAATTTAACCATGTTCAGGTGTCTTCCTTGGAGCTTGTGTTTATAAAAAGCTGCATTACTTTCAGGATTACATTGACTTCTGAATCACTGCTGGATTGAGGGTCAATGTTTAATGTTTTTCTCTGACTCTTAAATGACATTATAAGTTTTCCAAAGCAATTAATTCTGTACTGCCCATAGCAGAACTTGTGACATGCAAAAATTAAAGACTGAAAAGTACACTTCCAAGATAGATAGATCCTATTTTTACCTAGCCCAAAATTATTATTTTTAAAACTAAATTCAATATACCCACGCATGCTGGCCCCTGTGGCAAGTGTGTAGGAGGTCCCTACAGTCTTTGCTAGATGGCTAAAATGCACAAAGCTGCATCCCAAAGCCTGTGCTGGAGAATGCACCTGGCTCCCTCTTTACCTTGCAATCCAGCCCCACCGCCCAGCACAGACATCCCTCCCAGAATAGCAACCATAATCTGTCTAACCTATCCACCCAGGAACATCCAGACTAGCACCATGTAGCTGCAAGTCTTGCTGGAAGGGTGAACCACTTTTTACTACTACAGCACCCTGTCTTCCAAATGCAAGAGTAGCAATGATTACATTATGCCTAGATTTACAGAGTAAATCTACAGTTTGGTTAAAAAATGATTTTAATTAGACAAAAGAGAGCTGCTAATTATGCACAGGTTTAAAGCTAAGTGCAGATTTTAGGCTATGCAGAGCAATGTTTTGCTTCAAGCAAGTTTTCAAAAGAAGGTCAAAGGCTTAATACAAATCTGGAAATCTGGGATTGTTCACAATTAAAGATGTTTCCCTCCTGTCAATCATGAATTAGAAATATTGATTACATAGCATTAACAGGAAGGGGCTAGATACTGCCTTAATTCTAGCAGGTATTAAGCATCTGAGTGTGAAGCAAGCACTCAACTGGGAGGGTAAAAGAAAGGAATACAGAAGAATTTGTTTCTATTGATATCAGTCTGGCACTTAACTCAGAAAAATTAACTGTTGTATACACAATTGGTCTTTTAAAGATCTTTTAGGTGTTCCCTATACCCAGACCTACCAACAGGTGGGGTATATTCTTCTTCAGCTACCATCCATGCATCTCGGGCAGCTACAGAGCTGGTTCCAACTGCAGCACTGGTAATCGCTTCACCAACAGTGAACTGCAGTTCAATTTGCTTGGCCTGAGAAACACAAACAGAAAAGCTCGACTTTTTGGCTTGTTCACTTGCAAACGTAACAATTCTTTGTGGCCAAAAACCAACTATAATAATTAGAGAGCAAAATGTGGTGTTGTACTCTTTGCAAAAACTTCTTGGATAAGTGTTTCAAAGCTGCACACTCACCAAATCTGCTCCAGAGAGATGGGAAACCTCCTAGGCAGATTTTTGGGCAGCACAGAGAGCTGCAGGAATGGGGTAAGGAGAGAGGGAGAAAGTTCTACTGTGTTAGCAGAATGCCACCGGTTTGTTGTCCAATCTAACACTCTGAATTTCAATGGCTAGTCAATTTTTATCTAATCCTTCAGAGTTCCTCAGGATTTTCAGAAATAGTGACCAACTGTAACACAGCCAATAAGAACAGTTAATGGAATTAAAAATAAGTTTTGGACATTATATGTGACATGCACAAATAATTATGAGTACCATATTATGGTAAACAGAAAACAAAAGTAGCAGACAAAAGGCTTACATTTTTAAAAATCCAAGAGTAGATAAATGTCATAATGCAACCCAATCAAATGATGTCAGAAAAGGTGAAATGAACAAATGAAGAAATAAAGTCTATTTTTCTTTGTAAACAAAGACTGCATTTCCTAAAACACACTTACTAGAGAATAAATTTCCCACAAAATACACTGGTAAATGCTTCCAAATAAGATGGCACCAAACAAACTTAATTATGTTCTCCTTAAAAACACTTACATTCAACATTTACAAATGCTATGGCAGAGATTTTGAACCAATGCTTTAGAAAGGAAATGGATGAAAAATGGAGAAACATTTTATAGGGTACCCATTCATAAGTGTAGCAAGGTTAATAAATGCCAGTTTTAAGCAAAAATCCCTTCATATGTAAGAAGTAATATTAAAGCATTACCTCCACAGAATCCATTAATCCTTGCAGGAGTAGTTTCTGGTGAGGAAAGTCTCCATCCCCCACTGGAAAGTAACCTAGTGTTTGTATAGCTCGTTCTTTCATCTAAAAAAAGCAGGGGGCGGTCTGTGTAAAAGTCTGCCATCTGGGTGGGAAAGCAATCTACACATTCATCACACACATTCTGTTTCCCTCTTGCACAGAGATTTTCTCCTATCCCCCCACAAAAAACCTAGATTACCATGATGCAAGTTTCATTTCATTTTGGGACGTGGACTAAAGAGTTCAATAGGCTTTACAGGGGAAAGTGCAATTTGAGAAGGGATTTGAATACAGAGAGAAAGAAGTGGTCCCTTATATATGTTCAGAGGAGATAATTATTATTCAAAATCCCATTCTTGAATTGCCTGAAGAGCTCTTTAACTAAATGCCACAGTTCAAAGGCATAATTTTCAAAATTTTCAGAATTTAACACATGTAACTACATAAGGGAAAAGATACTCCATCTCACATGTTGATTTGCAGACCCTAAAGACCAGGCAGATAATGTTCCTACAGCAATTGAAAAGGAACTAAGCAAGAGGGCAGGATACACACCTAGACATGCATATTGGGAGGATGGTGGACTCCTGCCAACAATCTGCTTGTTTCTAGAATGTTCAAACCATGTTCTGCACAGTCACAGAACCATATGTGTGAGTCACGAAGACCATGAAAAATAAATAACAAGACTGTTTTTTCCTCTTTTTAAAAAATGGTTTTATAAGCTCCCATCTTCTAATCATAGAAATGCTGTTTCTATCTGTCTAGCAAGCATAAAGCTAAATACACAGAGGCTTTAAAATGAACTGTAACAACACTGCAAAACATTACCTTATTGGTCTCCTTGCTAGAAGGAATTCGGGCTAGTAAACTTTCAACAAGATGGAGCTTTGTAAATCCAGTGCCATCATTGGGGATGGGGAGAGGGGCATTCCTGCCAATTTCTCCCAGTGCTGTACAAGCAGCTACTGCCAAAAGTGGTGAGGTACTATCCAAAAAAGAACCTGGACAAAACAAATAGGATGACTTTTTATTTGTTTCTTTCAAAGGCACTGATTCCTATTTTAAAATCCCCCAAATACAGTAATAATTCCATTCTTCTGCAAGAGATACTGTAAGGAAAAAAGTTAATGACATTGCCCTGAAGTAATACCACAAACATGAAAGGATGAATTCTATGCTGGGATGGGAGTCTCTTTAGCTAGTTGGAATAGCCAACTTAATTCAGAGTAAGTGGAACCAAGGTAAAATAGCTATATATTGCAATACAAATTAACTGTCAGCTAACTGGCAAAGTTTCGTAATAAAGTAGGTGCTGCCTAAAAGAAAAAGGTTTCAGAGTTATGGAGCAACATGCTAAGGCTTAGCTGATATATTACATACATAATCTCAAAGGGATTTTAGACCAAAGTTTGTGCTTTCTTACAATTTAAAGAATTTTCTAATTAGTGAAAGTGACTAAGGCAAATCTTACTGTACCCTTGATTAAATTTTGGTAGAGTTCCCACAGTCCAATCAAAATAGCTTCTAATTAGTTGGACATACTTGTTATAGATAGTGACTAGTTTTGCATAATTAGAGAAGGAAAGTAAGTTACAACAGTATATTTGCCTACTGCAAACATGCCAGCTAGATTACCGTAATTACTCTTGCCAGATACAGTTTGTCATGTTCTCCAAACCTGTCAGGTATGGGGGACAGATGTGTTTACAAACCACCCTGGAACCATGACTTGTTCTTGAGTTACAGGGTTGCTTTTCAACTGTCCCTGCCTCCCACCGTGCCAAGTTCAGGCAGCTCCCAAGATTTTATTTTAAGCACACTTGTTAAAAATTTAGGTATCTTGTATAACAATAATTTTTCAATAGGAATTAATTACAAAGCATCAAACAGTGAAACCTAGCCTCATAGGTCTGATACACATTAATATGTTACGTAATTACATATGCTATTAATAAGTCTTTGCAGAACAGATCCCAGACTGTCAACAGTGTGAATTACGGAGAAGGCAATACAATAGACCAAAACAGAAGTTTCATTTTTCAGATTCAGATATGGAACCAAATGAACCAAAAACACAAGCAAAGCCTGAAAAGTATGGACTGACCTATAGTTTCTGTTGTTGATTTTATCAGTTGGTCTTGTTCTGGCACAACAATGGTATTTGGATCTTCTAGGTCATGCAGTTCTACCATCCTTGTTTTTCTCTTGGATAAATACCGTCCCACTGTGAATCCTAGAGCCAACAATGAACCATGCTGCATCTCTAAATTCTGTAGATGAAAAGTGAAAATGTTAAAAGGAGACACAATTCACAGAGTGATACCCAGTAGCATTTAGAACATTACAAGCAGCTCTGTATAATAGGGATCCCATTTTAATTGGTTAATCAATGAAAATGGCATCCCTAATTAAATCAATAATGTATCTTTAAAATATTGATGACTTTAATAGGTCTAGTTACAAAAATCTTAAAAGAGGCTTAATTTTTCCCTTCACTCTCTCCAGGGCAGAATGTCTCTTCGAAGAAGATGCCTACTATAATTTATACAAGTCTCATCTAAAAATCAAACAAAATGTATCAAAATTAATTTCAATGATCAATTAAGATTCCTTTAAATCAGATGACAGCCTTAGTAAGGACTGTATTTCCACCTCTAATGACCACTGTGGTTATTTGGCAGTACAAAAAGGTTGTTGATGATGATGATGATGGGAAAGGAATGGAAATATTCAAGCTGACTTCAATGGTATAAGAACTCTGATCTCTCAGTAAGGGAGAATAAAGATTTGTTTATTTAGGTGGACAGTCTAAGTCTGCATTATCACTCACCTGGGAGTAAGTCCCATTAAAATCAATGACACTTCTGACTAGAAATGTATGTGATTGCATTGTAAGCATGTTTCAGTGGAACCTATAGAAAAATCTATGGATAAGAGAACTATGGGTCCCAAAACCAATTCTGTTTAATTATTTACAGACTTTCTCAAAGTAAAAAAATGATACAAAGAAAGTCTTATGAAAATATCCTATACAAACAAAGCATAAACATATTTAAAATGTATTTACTCATACATTTTTTAAAGTAACAGAATCTCCAGTTTCTCTAATCATTGTTATGTGCAAAAAATAGTGAAGTACTGTAAACAATCAGTTATCTATGTGCATAGAATGGAGAAAGAAAATATGCCAGGGGCCCATGATGACAAAGTTAAGAAAATACATAAGCATGAGATATGGGTAAAGAGTACAATTAAATTTTAGGAAAGAATTGGCTAAATTCTTAATATATACCTTATTTTTCTGTGTATAAGACATTTTTTCTTAAAAATATTTACATAAAAATAGAGGGGTGTCTTATACACGGGGGGGGGTGAGAGAAGAACCACGGGCATGCTGGGGGGAGACTGGCATGATCGTGGGCACACTCTGGGGGGAGGCGGGTGCAGGTGTGATCGGAGGGGAGGCAGGTACAGGTGTGGGTGTGCTGGGGGGGAGACTGGTGCGGGTGCATGCATGCAGGGACACGTTGGGCGCGCACACACAGCAGCAGCTTGCTCACTCGGAAATCGGTAAAAAAGTGGGGGGCATCGTATCCATGGGGGCATCTTATAGAAGGAAAAATACAGTAGTTCTTTAGAGTATGGTTTGCACATAACGGGAGAGGAAGTGCTATTTACTGGAGGAGGACTGGGAGATGCATTATTTACTATGATTGTTTATTACATGTATTATATATTGAATTTACAGTATTTAATATATTGTTCACTAGATATTAAAGTTTACCGTATCTGTAATAAAATACGAATACCTACCTTTCTGCTTCCTGATTCATTTCTATCGTTTATGCTATTTATTTATAAACAATTGCATCTTCTTCAATTAGTTCAGTCTTTTTTAAATGGGGAAAATACATGGATATACAACAGCATTACTATGTTTCTTATTTATTAACAGACATTTTACAAAATACAAACAAAAATTGCCTTACATGATTATCCTTGGCTGTTTTTATTAGGTGCTGAACTGAAGTTTTAAATTCATTTTCTGACACTGTTGACAACACTACTGAATAAAACAGAGCAGCCAGCTCCCTCATTTCTTCTTTATTGGTATTCATAAGGGTCTGAAAAAGGTTAAAGGGAACAGAGGTTGCTAAATAGCTATCAAATTTTACTAATACTTAAGAGACAAAAAGGTTGATCCAACTTTCCAATTTAGGGCACATATGAACAGGACATTCCTTAAAGTATTAACTGTAAGCTATGGAAAAGTGTGGCATGGGAAAAAGAACCCTGAAGTAGCATTACTGCTGCTGGCTAATTGACAAAATCAGCAGCACTGATCCAACACGATGCCTGTGTACTAAAGTCAGGTTGACTGGAGACAGGAAGGCATAACAAGCACAACTCATCAGTACAGATCTGGGCCCTGAAAAAACCCTCTATTCCATTGTTTTAGTTGTAAACTAAGCAGCTTTACCTGAGAAGCTTATTTTCAGATAACAGCAGATCTGCCATTACCTTCCCTTTGGTTTTCACTCTCATTAGGGTTTCTCTTTAAAATGCTGATTTTTTTCTTGTCATTAAAGGTAACAGCATACCAATATTCCAATGGCTGGCTGTTATATTGGATCTCTAGGTAATTTAGAAAAAAAAACCCTCTAAAATTACCAGGCTACAAGTAAGTAACACTGGCTATGTTTTTATTACTGTTAACATGTCAGGAACCACTTAGACACACACTCCCTCTCTGAGTGACACATACCATCTGCCCTATTGGAGTGAAAAGCAATGTTCACTGAAAAAAATCCATGTCACTTCCATAATATTAGACCAGAGTGGGTCGTCAATTTATTTATGCTGTTAGCCATCCAGAGACGTTAGTAATTGGACGGCATGCAAATTTTATAGATAGATAGATTGATTTTCATCCTGTCCCATTAGTCATAAGGCTTCCTGGCGGGTTACAAAGTAATACTCTTTAACATACCTTTATCCAATCCATTTTGTCTACAAATCTTGCAGCTAGTTTCTCAGGATAGACTGAAACAACCTCCAACAGGCAGTACATCACTGGCAAACCTACAGTGTTATTTAAAACAAAAACAAAGGCACATGTGCCACATGGTCAGATTATTAAAACTGCAAAAGTCTAAACAAGCAAATAGTTATTTTGTAAGCTCTTTCGAACAGATGCATTTGTTAAGGAAATTATTTTCACCCTCAGCAATAGTATTCCAAGCAAATACATAAAAGCAATGTTAAGGTTTTGATCATCTAAGGCAAGGTATATTTTATATGTCAAATCATACAGCAAAAATAAGAATCTTGTATGGCACTGAAGTCCATGTTAAAACTGTTTTATATCATGTTTGCAGTCTTTGAATGTGAATTAAAAACATAATCTTAAAAAATGGGGTAGGGAACTTAGGGTTTTGAGAATACTAAATAAGAGACAGCCACAAAGGCACAAATTAACCAACTGTTCCATATACTGACTTGCAGAAAGATCAGGTGCAACAAGAATCTTGCATGCATAGTACTTCACCAATGTGTCAGGATGCATCAAAAACATTTAGGTAATTCTACCGACATGTCCAATGACATCATCTTCAAAAGGCACAGCATACTCAAACCTGCACATGCACTGTCAAGTCACTTCTGATGCTCCTGAATGCTCCAGACACCCGAGGTTAAGCAATAAACAAGCTACTGAAGCCAGGCCAAATCCTACCATTCATGATACAAAACTCATTTCTGTACAGGCGGAGAGGGGGAAACAGTCCGGAGGTTAAACCAGATCACCTACCTCTGGAGTTCAGAAAATGCTATTGGGTCATGTTCAAAATTTGTCTTGAAATAAACAATTTCAATCTTGAAATAAGCTATTTTAATTGTTTAAATCAACAAAGATTTCCACCCAGAGCACAATTACTGGTACTGTGATGATTCCTTAAAATATTGTAAATTGTAGCAAATGAGTGACCCAGCCTAATGCCAAACCCAATCTTTATCTCTCTCCCATAAAAGTAGACAAAAATCTGAGCATAATTCAAAAGCTGCATGACAGGATGAGAAGCCACACCTTCAATGACTCACCCATACAGAACCCGAAAGCAGGAAAGATGGAAGAATGAGTGGCACAGCTGCCGAAATCCCGCGATACTGGAAGTGATGCCACTTCCGGTGTCGCTGTGATGAGAGGAAGTGCTATAAGAAGGGGATAGGGAAAGCCTAGAATACTGGAGGGAATGGAACACATGCCAAAGAGTGGAAATACAAGGGACATTACTTATAATAGTTGGAAATACAAGATTAGAGGCATTAGAAACAAGATAGAAAAGCAGCATTAGCAACTGACTCCTGAATAGATATTAACAAACCTTCAGTATTTGTACCTGGCTGCCAGACCTCTCCACATTTCTTCTCAAGCAACAGTTATTTGGTTGGATCCAGATTTAGTCATACTTTGAGTAGATTCACTGAAATCAATAGGAGTACCCAAGGTATGATTAAACCTGAATCCAATCTAAGGCATTCCTATCAAGTAACTTACAGTGATAGATAATGCCCTGGAGACACTCTGGGGCCAGGATAATCTAAAATGAGGCAGGAAAATCAAATTCATAATGAACACATGGCTTTTCACAATGAGGAAAGATGGACAGAAATGCAGACGTCTAGGGGTTGTTTTTTTTTTAAGGATGGTGGGAGAATCATGGTGAATGGGTCTACCAATGGCTATGATGCATGACACTTAATGAATCTTCCACATATAGAGGCAGTAAGCAACTGGAGAAGACTTCTTCTGCCAGGGCCTGCTTGCGAGTACCCAGAAGCATCTGGCTGACAAATGAAAACAGAACGCCAGTTCTAATGAGCCTTGGTCTGATACCTCAAAACCATTCTGTGCTCTTAGTAATTAAACTACTCCACATAGGATGAAGTATCTAACAGCAGTCAATAAATTAATCATCTTAAACCAGCACACTGAGAGCTCATTCATGAGAGATAGTTTGAGCAAGTGAAGAAGTGCTTTTTCTTTTAGTACTGTTATTTCTTGGTTTCTTACCTCCAACCCCAGAAAGCAGCTGTTGAAGGAGACTTATATAGATCTGTACAGGGTTGCTTTCGCCACCCTTCGAGGAGGAAGAAGAGGAGGAGGAGGTGGTTATGACATGTCCAGACAGGAGGTTCCTTATATAACGTCCAATGGCAGGGGCATGATCCTGCATATCTGCTAAGCTCTGAGAAGTGGGCACCACACCAGCACTGTGAGCAAGACACATACGGAGGTACAGGACTATCTAAGCAGGAAAAGAAAAAAGGATAAGAATTTAGAAAACAGACCACTGGACAGCAAGAACAGCCATCCTAACACTCAGAAACCTTTTAGCTTAATTCCCTCAGTCTCAACTGCTGATATAGTAAGATTAGCATGTGTTTCTGTAGTTCTTTAGAATGTTCAAAGGATTTCCTGTATCTTGACTCTTCCTACAACTGCCCTGCAATGTTGGTCAACATAATTATCCCAATTTTGCAGATGTAGGGCAGAGCAGGAAAGAGAAAGACTTGCCTAAGAAGATCTTTTGAGTTTATATCAAAGGCAAAATTTGAATCAAATTATCTGTTCATAGCTAATTCCTTTTGCCACTAAAACTTTTCAGTGTTTGTACTGGAGAAAGAAATAACATTTAAAATCACATGGTGCTTGGAACTAATTGCCGCAAAATGTAATATGCACTCTGCAGAGCTAATATAACTAGGAACAGGATTCAAAGTTGAACCATTCAGTTAAATACATAGGATTTTAGTGTGCTTTCTACTGGCTCGTGCCCAGAGCTGTGTGTATGCTGCAATTTCACATAGCTAGTGGGAGGAAAACCTACAGATGCACAGAATAAGGTACTGGGCATAAAATTCAGTTCCTTGGTGATCCCATTTTCAGCCTGAACTCTCTATGCCACTGGCCACATGATGTCAAAAGCAGAAATGCAAGAGCTAAAAAAAAATACTGTCTACGACAGAACACCAAAAGCTGCTATAGAGTGTCTGCAAGCTTATTTGACCCTTTTAGCACTCTGTAGACTCCCACATGCTATTTAATTTGAAAAAATACATATCAAGAACATATGGGGGGATTTTCTAGATTTTCAGGGACCCCACTGGGAGCTGCAGGGCCACATGTTGCCCATTCCACCTGACAGCTTTAAAATATGTATGAAATGTGTGGTAGTTGATACCATACCACCATATCAATAAAATCTTTAGAAATATGAAAAATAGAGAAAATAGCAAAATTTTGCAGAGATGAATTTACATTGTTGACACAGAGTTCAGGGTTCAATTTTTCTTGGTAACAAAGCTTAGCTTATCATGATGCACACTGCTTTTCTAAGTAAGCAGCACACACAGTCTTGGTCTCGTTCAGTGTTTGCAGTATCTGCTCTCAGATCTAACACATATTCTTAATGAAAAAGTAGAGACTTTTTTTCTTTGAGAAAGCTTTGATTCCGTTCATAGTGGCAAAACTGAGCTACTGAGTGCAATAAGAACCCTAGCGATTTCATTTTGATTATCTTCTATGTTGCGGATAGGAGAATTTTCGAAAGCCACTTTTCTGCTGAAATACACAGTAAGTCTTTGCTTACAAATAAAGCACAAATGCAACAACAAAAATCAAGCTGATGATTTTATTAATAATTTTGATTAACAAAATCACCAAACATATTAACACTTAACAAAGAGGATTAATCAAATTCATAATATAGTTGCAATAAAATCAATGCAACAGTTCCAAATAAAGTAAGACAGACACCAAAACCTTTATCTAAAAAATGCCCCGAAGAGGAGGACCGGATCATAACTATTGGTGCCTGCACCACCTGTTGGGCATTCCTCAAATGGGAAGCCATAATCAAAATGATCCTCTTTCAATTCGTAACCAACCTAAGCAGTCAGAAGAAGGCATCCTCCAATGCAAAGATTAGATTTCAGAAGGGGTCCTATGAAAAAAGATTATATCAGAGGATCCACAAAGGACACAATTTTCTGTTATAGAGTTTGGATGCTAGCAAGATTGGGTCAGCTACGACTTCCCCAAGAGCTGAGATTGATACACATACCTCTCCAAAAGTAGCTGGATTGAAAGGCATGACTGTTGTTCCAGTCATATATTTAGCAGGAGTTTTCATTCTGTGAGAGGCCTAAGATAAAAACAGCAACATACTTGACAGAGGTTTAGGCAGCATTCCCTCAACAACCCCATTCTGCAAGTATACCTTAACTCTGGTGCAATGAAAAATGTTCTAACCACCCAAGGCTGTTAGAAGCTGTTGTGCTCAGAGTATTCTAGTGAGACAGAAAAGCATTGGCTATATTCATAATGATCCCAGTCAAGAAAGGAGTTGCATGCCTTTCACACATCTTGAAGACCCACTAATTAAACTGTCTCCAGGTGCATTTTCAGACTAGGCTTTTAAGTTGCCAGTGCCCTCCTGCATACATGGAATTTTATAGGGAGTCCAAAGGGCCTATCTTGTACTTGAAACCCATCTGCATTTTCCTCATTCCTTCTCTTCTTCCTTACCATAGAAAATCTGTCTCAGGAAAAAATTTAGAATTGCTTCATAATGCCTTCCGATTGATGACACTAGGATTCCCATATCAGGGAGCACTCCAAGTCAGTTCTTAAGCAATTTGCTTTAAGGCAATATATAACTGTAAAGTACAGTTCCCATTTTCACAGTGAATGAGTAGAAAAGGCAGGAATACACCACTCCTTTCTCATGCTATTCTTGATTCTTCCTCTGCTTTTTTTGTCCCCCCTTTTTATTTTTTTTGACAGAAAAAACCCATAAATACAATTACAACAATAATAATATAACATAACAAGAACACAATAATTAAAAAAGATTCTTCCTCTGCTTGAACTGCTCACATCTTGTCATGTTCCAATACCTCACCCTCCTATGGATCAGGAAGTACTTAAAATATTACCATATACATCTTCCTCCTGATACAATCTTACATTGTAATGAAATTGGGCAATATATATTCTTAACAGCAACTTCATATCCTTTCCATGGGGATTACCATGGAAACAGCTCTCATCCAGAGGTTCCCAAAAGTAAGGGAATTCATGAAGGGGATGGAGGTTAATAGTCTACTCTTCTAGCCATAAAACAGTGCTGTGGGAAGGACACTCTGAAGATAAAAGTAAAAGGCACTACCATCAGACACTCCTGACTGATTCTTCAGCCTGTTAGGAACATATATCAACAATTCATAGCCACATGCTTCTCTTTGCACCTAAGCAAGCAAGCAAGGAAGGGGCCAAACAATACTCTCGGGGGTGATGGGCAGATAAAATGCCAAGCCCTCTACTTCCTGATCCTACCCTATTGGATCCTAATCTGTTATAGGTGACAGCCTGAATTGTTTCTTCCCGAGAACTCGGCAAAAATGTTACTCTTTCCAGCGTGCAACACTATTTTTCAAATCCATGCTGCGGCCCTCTCTGCTCCTACATCCTCTGCAGTTCATTTAGGAACAGCGTTTTTTGAGCCACCTGCTGCATGCGTGCACGCACACACACACACACCCCAGCATAGAACGTAATTGGATGCATACATTTATTTTAATTTGTATACCATCCTTTAGCAAATGGTTCCCAGAGAAGTCCATAATAAAACATTAATGAAATCCATAATAAGAACATCACAATAAACTAAAACAATTAAATGTTTGCCTTGAATGCTCTCGCAAAAGGAGGACATGCATAGATAAAGCAACAGGACAACTAGCAAGCTGATGGACAAGAAAAGCCCTTTCATTTATAGGTTATTCACACTCCTTGTCAATGAACCTCAAAGACTTTATCTATAGACTTTACCACAGGAATCTATGAGATATAAGATGAAATTATGTACCTTTTCTTGAATATACTGGACCATTTCTGGGAATGAAGGCATCTGTTTACCAGCACTTTCTTTTTCATTTTTACTAGGAAATGTTCTTAGTGCACGTTGTGCCTCTCCATGGACCTCCTCTCGTCTTACAAAAGTTAAAAAAAGAAAGTTTGCAAACAAATATACAGAACCTATCACTCCTATCCTCTCCAATTTATTTATTAAATGGACAAAGTTGCATTAATGAACCAGTTCGCACATAACATAAAAACATAATGTGGTGTTGTGTGCATTAGCAAGAATGAGAACCATGCAGAATGCTAAGTTCTCGTGGTCCCCCTGCCCAATCTTCTTCCTATGTAACCAAAATGAAAAGTATGCCACAATTTAGTTTCATTTTAGTACACGCCCAGTTCATTGCTACGAGCAAACCAGGAATTGCGGTTTTTAAAACTCCTCCAATTTACCAGATAAGCCAGAAAAAGCAGGCTAGGGTTTCAGCTAAGGACTGGCTATGCTGCATTCCATCTGAAGGAAAGCACAGTCTTGGCAAAGCTGCCCTGACAAAGCTTTTTTTAGCTGAACCATTGCAAGTTAAACCATAAGCTACAACTCTTAACGTGCTCTAACTGGGCAATGCATGACAAGCTCACTAAAACCGTAAGTACAAGTTCTTGATTTAGCCCCAAGCAATCAATAAACGTAGCCAAAGGGCAGTTACAGATAGCTGCCATGTGCTTCCATCCATCACTTCTTACTCTGCCCTCTCCCATTTTTCATCTTTACCTCCCCACTGTCAAATGTTTACTGTAAAGCAGACATTTGTTTTAGGGTGGCTCTGCCTATCATGGAAATTGGCCAGTAAAGTGGTAATTAAGTACTTTATTTTATTTGCAAGTAAATGACACTCATTTGGATATGCCAGTAGTAGTGCAAACCATATTATTTTACAAGTACTTAAGTGCCATTGTTCCATTAAGGCAGGGGTCTCAAACTCAACTTACCTGGGGGCCACTGGAAGTAGAGTCCGGGTGAGGCTGGGCCGCATCAAGTATTCCACCACCGCGGTGGTGGTGCGCTGCGCATCCGGAGGTCAGCCCGGGCTCCACCGGCGCTTTGAAGGCTGCAGGGCCCCTCCCCCCGTCCATCCCGGCAATTGGCCCGTGGGCCACGAGTTTGAGACCCCTGCATTAAGGAGTTCACTGGTGCCACTGTTCAGAACATGGTGATGTAAAATCAGAAGAATTCATTTTTTTCTTCCTATTCTTGCATGTACCCTTTAGTATTGTTAAATAGTCTTTGAAAAAAACTGGCTTGTACCATTCTTACAAGATCAATGAATTAATGTTTTTATTAATATGTCTTTGCACCGTACTTCAAACCCAACAATAAACTTACGGATCTCCTGCAGCTAAAAGCAGCAAGTATCTTGAAGGAATGTGGTCTGAAGGGAACACAGTGCTGGCAAACTTTACGGCCACTTGACGTACTTGGACTTGGGGCTTTATAGAAGGGGAAGGGGAGAAGGAAATAATGAGATAGATGAAGAAATATTCAGGGACATGTAAAAGCATTTTTAAAATGTAAGTACATATATAAAAATACAAACAGAATACACATCTGAAGTAAAAATGCAATTACAAAAAACAGTCAATGTATAATTGAACTGGTACAGTCACTTAAAACTTATTAGCAAGAATGAATATTCCTTATACTTGAAGAGCACAGGCTGTCATTTCTTCAACTCCTTTCCCTCTTTTGGTTAGGAATAAAATTAAGAAAGCAGGACCACCACCACAAGGCACAGAACAAAGTTCTGCTGTGCAACACAGTACAGCACATCTTATTTCTACCTTAAAGGGATAGATAATAAGACTAGTCCACACATAATGGGCTTTTAGGAGATAACAAATCTCAGAACTGTCTTCCCACAAAATGCAGAATATATTCCATGAGGCAGAAGGAATTGGCTCCCTAACTGTAAATCTTGCCATATACAAGGAACTGATGTGAAAAGATATTCAGAAGTCCACCTTACCTCTTTCCCATTATCTTGACATACCTTAATCAGGTTTGATGCCACAAGTGCCTCCATAAGAGTACGTGGTGCTCCTTCTAAGCTAGTATATGCCCCAACCATCATGGACAAGGCCTCCTGGATAGCAAGTCTGGTATCCGGGTCTTCCTAAAATAAGTTAGAACCTTTAGTTTCCAGCGTGTACAACTAAGCAAACCATTGCTTGGCAAAAAAGGAAAATCATAGCAATTACCTACCTTAGAAAGAGCTTCAAAAAACTGTTGAACTAATGCCAGGTCCTTGGTGAACAGCTGAGGTATTCGGCTATAAAAGTCAATGCATTTGTCCATTTTTAAGCATGAAGCAAAATATATACACTGTAATTATTCTCTCTACAAAAATGAATATTGGTATTAATATTTGTATAGTGCTTTAGAATTATCAACGAACTCCTCATTTCCTCAGTAATTTTTACAAACAACCTGTAAGCAGCCCAGTGTTACTAGCATACACTATCTACTTATTTAAGAGATTCCAAGGCCACCTTTCAGGGCCATGTCTGAAAATTCATACATCGCTCAAATCCACCAAAACAATATTAGCATAAAAGCCATAAACACAATAGTTTACAAATAAAATCATTAGACATAACCCTACACAATAACTTTAAAACTAGTTTCAACCACTAAAAAATCCATTTAAACAGCAATGCCCAGTATTTGTCTAAGAGATAACTTTGAACAAAAAGGCTGGCAGAGCCCATTTTGAAGGCCTGAATGGATGGAAACATACATTTCTGTGGGGCTAGAAATCCTCAAAAACTGGGCCACAGCTAAATAAATGGGAATCTGATAGTACTAGCCTACGAGTTTACTCAAAAGTAGGCCTTGTTGGTGATGTTTACACATTAATATTAAACTCTGATGTCCAAATCCAGACATTATAGGTTAACTGCTGGTTAAACAACTCACAGCTAATCTAGTTATTAATTCTGGGATTGTTTAATCCATGATTAACCTAATTAATGGAATCACATGATACCCCATCATGGGTAACTAGAGATGGTGGGTTACTCCTTTGTCTGGACCTGAACTGCTTCCTGCAGAATGGCTTTTCTGGGGCAAAAAGCCACCTTGACAATGCACTGTTTGTTCTGTTGTGTCCACAGTGAGTTGCTATGTCATCTGAACCTCAGAGGCCAAACCCATTGTAGGTTGAGGGAAGCAGCAAGCGAGCTGCTCAGCAAGGATGAAAAAACCCTTTGCAGCTCTTGGCAAGCTTGCCTGTGTTGTCACTACTGACAGCCACACCACTGATGTCCAAGCAGCACTCTGGACAGGAAAATATATTCAGATTTCATGGCTGTATATTCCCTGCTTTTTTATTTAAATTAGATGTTTTCAAATAAAATATGTTTTTTAAAAAAATCTATCTGAATATAGTTTTTTATTTAAGATACATTATAGTCCAAAGGTTATCCAACATAAAATAAGGTTTAGTTTTTAATTATGTTGCATGAGGCTGTATATTCATGCAATATTTACATTTTTTGGTAAATGAATTCTATTAATCCATTCATAATGACATGTTTTTACTGAGGTTTCTGTAAGAATATTAGGCATTTTTTTCTTTCTAGAAGTTATCACAAATTGTTGGTTTTTCAGTTCTCAAAACTGTGAACTTGGTGCCTCTTCTTCACAGCAAAAATGTATAGAATAAACATACCAAGTTGAGAAAAGGACCTTAATCCAATTATTCCTTTGCAAATCTATACACAGAATCAACCCCTTGCTTCCTAAGTGCTAAGTTTCAAAAATTCAGTGAATAGAAGAAGATTGTTGAGAGTGGAAAAGATCTGCATAAGAAGCTAAGTGTGAGGAGGGAGGGGCAAGCAGTAACAAGGAATGTGAAAACTTTTGAGCAGAACAATCCACAAGTCTTTGGATCTTTTTGTGTATAGCTTGGGGTTTATCATATTATTCTTTCACTAGAGGAGAAAACCTATAATGGCAGCAGACCATAAAAGAGACCCTGTTTGGGAATATCTTAATTAAGTTCCTCTGCTTAAGGGTAAGGGAGGCATGTGTGCAAACTATGTAGAAAACCATGATTTAAATCTAGTCTTACTGTCTTGTGGTTTAAATCAATTTATCTATTTTATTCTGATCTATGTTGTAAGCTGCCAGAGATGCAAGTAATGGACGACATACAAATGTCATAAATAAATAAATAATCATGATTTGAATTGATTTAAATCAAAGCTACCCTGTCTGATGGCATCATTCACAACAGAGATGAGATTTAAGCCTGGTTCATATTTCAACCTCATAGCCAGTATGCATGGCTAGAAACATAGGAGTTAAATATAGCATAGATCTAAATTGCCTGCTTCTACCAGTAAGAGGCTATTTTCCCCAATAGCCACCAAAGTTAGCTAAAAGTCAAAAAACTGTACAGAGAATTCAATTTTGATAAGCCTTTCAAATAGTTTTTATTCTACAGTTTCAGAATTTTATTCCAGAAATCATTAAGTATGATTCCATTGGTTTTGAAAGATAGATGGCACAGTCTTTAAGAATGCACAGAAAAAGCAATTTTTCAACATGATGCACCTTGATTATCTCTAGCATTCCAATACCCCCACCCTAGATTTAATTTTAAAAGTCCTTGAATTGCCAAATGATCACATCGGTTCCACATACTGCACACCATTACAAATTGTTGTTGCTTTGCAAAAAATCAAAACAAAACAAAACACAACTAGACATATCATGAGTTTTAAAGTATTTACCTGGAGAGTTTTCCAACAGCTGAATAAGCCATTGACAGCAATTTGGGGTCCTTGAATCAGGAAACAAAATCAGGGAAAAGAGCCATATGAGAGAATACACTTTCAGGTTTCCTTATTTATTGCAGACAATTATGTTTTATTTTATATCTTCTGGTATTGTTTCTTTAAAGCATTTTCAGAAAACTACAAGTTCCAGAAATGCAATGATAATCTCCCAAAGTAAGCCTCTTTAAAAACAGAAAAACTGATGGGGCTGTGTTCCACACACAGAGATATCACAGCATATGGCAGTAAAGTTACTTTAACACCTTTTCATCAAGAAGGAAAAAGGAGCCTTGGAAAGTGTGAAACTGCAGATACATTCAGAAAGCATGCAGCAACAGCCTTGAGAAGCACAATTCCACATATAATCTGGATCAGTGTAATACATTTATTAGGCTAACTCAAGATCACAACTGTTTGCATACTTTCAAGATCTTCAGATCTCTTTATCAGGCGAGATGTTATAAAGACTGGGGATGGTGAGCAGGAAAAAAGGACTTGAAGTCATGAAGTCTGCATTATTGTGGGAGAAGTCTGCAGACATTCAAATCAGGCTCTACAAGGTAATGTGATGCACCTGGGGCTCCTTGTAGAGTTGTTTACTAATAGAGGTAATGAATCCTAAGAGAACACAATCTCAATTTCATATGGCATAAAATTCTCCACTGGCAGCACTTTGCTATTGTGAAACTTGAAGAATGCTAAAGTTAACATTCAAAAGCAGGATTTTACACTGTAGAAATTTTTTATACCAAGGATTTGGTATTTTGGATTTTATACCAAGGGATTTTATACAAGCATAAAAACTTACAAGAATAAATTAAATACATGTTTCAAATAAACAAAACCAGAACAAATTGATGGATTATAAGCAATTCATTATGTGAAAAACCAATGCTGCATAAATGTATATTCTAATTAATAGTCAAATTATCTTACTCTGAGTAAATAATACATATACACCATATATTCAGGCACTTGTATGAAATACTTCATAAGCAACAGTGCAGCTTAGAACACAAAGTCACCAGTTAACTATACTAAACAATGGAGTGGTACTGCAGACTACACAAAAATATGTTGTGTAAATCATCATAGTATTTTTAACGAATAGCAGTATAGAAATTCTTAAAATAAATAATAAATATTCAACAATACTGAAGAATAGTGGGTTATCTTAAAGTGTGGCTAATTATCAATATATTATGTATTCACATACTGTAACAAACAATCTAGAATGTGATGATGTTTCTATTCTTCAGAATTCTTCAGAATTTCAAAACCACTGTTTCAATAAATACATACAAAATAATGGTAAATTTCATTTTTAAAAGAAACTTAAATCATCCTGAATGTACATAGAACTGCACTCAAGGGTATATCTGAAAAGCCCAGCAATCAAACCCACACCACTTTTCAGATGTAGTAACTCCCTCTAATAGTGAAATCAGGTTTGAACAATGAAAGAAATCAAGCCAAAATGGAGAGAAATGGACTTACCAGAATGCGTAGAGAATCCTCAACATTTGAAGAAGTATAACGTTCTTTTTAAAAAAAACTTTAAAGGGTGGGGTGTAGGGGAAAAAACACCAAAGTCCAATGAGGACTCAACATGCTCAGTAGCCACAGAAAGCTGTGAACTACAAAAAAAAAAAAAAAAAAAATGACATGACAAATTCCACAGTAAAAGTCACTCTTCTGAACTCACCTCTTTATATTCATTAATCAGTTTTGTCAGTCCATTCAGAAGCATAGGGCCTAGTGGCTTGATCTTACTGTCTGGGCAACTGCAATTCAATGCATAAAAGAATAAGAATTTTCCATGTTTTTAAAAGTTTCCTTAAAAAATAATTATGTAATTCCCTTCCAAAAGACTTGTCCAGCCCAGTTACTGCTCAACTTTTGACAGGCAGTACAAACCTGACTCTTCAAGGAAGCTTTTGAATGATACTGTTGTGTTATTAATTTATTTTTCCAGACTTTCCTTTAAGGAGGGTAAATGGATGTTACAATTCAGAACACCCTTCCCAAGATAACTGTTGTTTTTTTGGTATTTTTATATCATTCCTGGTGTATATGCTTATTTGGGTAAATAATATTGGTTTTATGTATTTTTCTATATCTTTCATGTGTTTATCTGACTTTAAAGTTACATTTTGGTTTATTTACTATGGCTTTATTACATTATTCACCTGTTTTCTTATTTACAAGCCACCTTCAAAACCAAAAGTATGGGATCCAAAATTATTATTATTAAAATAACTATTTCTGATAATATAACATCATCTTGGAGGTTAAGCAGGGTTGGGTCTGGTTGAAATCTGGATGGGCGATTTAAATGTTGTGAACATTTAACAGTTTCTGAAAGTTTCTGCTACAGGCAGTACAGAAATGCAAGTAATAACAATAACAACAACTACTACTCAAGTCCATGGTCGCATACACCTATCTTTCTTAGTTTATCATTATATCCCATTCATAATGCAATTATTTAACTGCAGTTTGACAACCAATGTTACATTTATGCCATTAAAATGCTGCATACTTACATTACACAAATATGGTGCACAAATTGAAGAGACAAAGTTCGCAATTTTGCATTGGTATTGGCACCAAAAAGTCCGTCATAGACAACCTAGCAAGAAGAGAACAAATTAGAAACAATATTATTCCTTTTCCCAATAGGTACCATAACAGTAAGTATAATTATAAGATTAATGTTGATAGACTTTACAATTTCACTTATAAATTCCTCTCACAATTTTCTGCAATCCATTAAAATCTAACATCCTTCCAGATCAGTAAAAAGATTATTAGTACTGATACATGAAAAACAGGAACAGAGGAAGCTGCCTTCTACAGGGTCAGATGACTGGTCCATCTAGCCACTGCTGTTGAAATTGACTGGCTGTAGCTTTCCAGGATTTCAGATAAGAATGTTTCTATCCATACCTAGAATGAACCTTTGGACCTTTGGCATACAAAGCATTTACTCAGCTATGGAGCAACAGTCCCTCCTCAATTGCAAATATAAATCACACCTAGGAAAGTTGTATCAAATTTTATGTTTCTTATAACTATACCACACAGAGAGAGAGTGAGTGTATCTTTTTATACTTCATGCAACTATTTTGTTTAGCATTCAAGTGCTCTCAGTTGGGTACATGCGCTAGTGTGGAAGTATGGAAAACAACAATCTTGGTACCTTTAGAAACGTTTTTCAGAACTATTAGCATGCTACTCTAGCTATATAAACTGCATACTCCATGATCAGAGATACATTACTTTCCTTGATGTAAAGCAAACTTCCCCAACTGGGTGCCCCCCAGAAGTGCTGCCTGCAGTTCCCATTACCACAGCCAGCAAGTGGTGGGATTTATAGCCCACACATCTGGAGGGCACCTAGATGGGTAAGTCTGATGTGAAGGGACAGGGCTAGGCAGAACTGGATTCTCAAAGGTCAACAACTGCTTTACCTGAATGTTTGCAGGAAATGTTTCTGCAGCTTGCCTGGAACGCAGAAGATGAGGGACAATTTTTAACTTCACCCGTGTGCTGACTGGATCACGTTTCAGTTCTGGTTTCAAAACGGCCCCCTAGTATAAGCAGATAAGAGTTAATGGGAAAACATACATTTATTGAGGGTTTAATATCAGTCACATTTTTTTATAATTTAATACAAAGGGCTATAAAAAGAAGAGAATGCATTTAATTTGCATTCTATTAGATGAATTCATTCATATAATGCAAGCATGAATAAACTACTGACAGAATGCAAATAGGTATCAAATAAGGCATAGCTTAGCTCATCCATAGTTCCTGCCGGTCTTGTCTCAGCAGCCAACATGATGGGGCAAATGCTAAGGCCCACAGGTCTAGTGCTATCCATTGGCATCCCTTCCCTTTTTTTCAATTTTGTTTTTTTTACTGGCACTAGTGCTATGAAGAAAAATCCCAACCAAGGTTGGTGCCACCTGCATTTCCTAAGAAGACTGAAAGAAATGACAGCAGCTGGCACTCTACTCATAGCTACAGAGTTCAGGACAGAGCACTGCTGACCTACTCCCCTAGGTAAAATATTTTTACTATTTTCAGTCACTGCCTGTTAAGCTAATTGGGATGTAGTAGAGGGAGAACAGGTTGACAAGCCAAGTGGGGAGAGCAGACAGCAGATCTCTCAAGGTTTCCTCAGACTTGCCACCATCCCTATTGAGTGATAAACTGAATTATAATTTTGGCGTCTCTCCTCAATATCAATAACTTCATCAATAATCAACCACAAGGTAATTTCTTTTTGTTTTCCTTTCTGACACCAAAAGCAGGCTGTAGTGGCCAGACCAATGGCTGTATGGGATGACATTGTCAGCTGGTTCCTTAGGGATGTGCTGCCAGTGCAGGGGCATAAGGGAACCAAACACAGAATCCCACACCCAAAAGGACATGGCCTTGTTCCACATGGATAACATCCACCCATTTGGCCACAGCTGCTGGAAAGTACAGACCAAGAGCATTTCTCAGAGATGGCAAAGAGTAGGCTGCTCTGGGGGAAGGCACAGTTATTTCTCCCTATCCTGGGTTTTGGTACCATGGAGGGAGCAGAAGATGGGTGAATATTATCTATTATAGTCTAGCCATATCTTTAAATATGTTTGATGATATAGAAATCTATTAAAAAATTAACAGAATATGTGGAAGCTCCAGGGAAGGAAGGGGTAGTTGTTGGGCATCTTATCCCCACAACAGCAATCCTGTGAGGTAGGTTGGGCTGAGAGTCCGTGACTGGCTGAAAGTCACCCAGCTGGCTCCATGACTGAGTGTGACCTAGAACCCAAGTCGCCTGAGTCCCAATCATGTGTTCTTACCACTACACCACACTGGCTCCCTTTATCAATTAAGTCACATTTATGGAAATTGTGTAGTTGACACTGGTGGTGTGAAAACAATATGGTTAATACATTTGGTGGGAATGTCCGCTACTTAGCTGATTTGGGAAAAAGATCATTAATTGCACATGTTGTTATCTTGTTACCCACTAACAGTTTTGCCTATTTGTGTAGATGTATATATAGATTTTAGACATAAAGAATTGGTTCAGAATATATTGACTACTGCCAAGATTTTGATTTATAGACACTGGAAGAATAAGGCTATCCCCAATTAGAAGTTTGTTTATCATTTGAAAGGCTGAAGGTGATTAAGTTAACATAATATGTCCATTTAAAAGAAGGTACATAAAAGACTGCCTGTTTTCCCAATGCCTGACACCCCTTTACTGTAGCAGCTAGCCACAATCTTGCTCTAGGTTTTAATAAAATGATTTTATTAATTTGGTCTGTTTTTAATGTGCTTTATGTTTATATGTGTTCATAGCTATTTCTTTCTTTGGGTCTTTTTTTAGAAGTCTCCACTTTAAAAAATATAAACAAATAACATGGTGCTGTTCACACTGTATACAAGGGAAGTGAACACAGACATCACAAACAAACACTGAGAATTGAGTTCTTAAAAAAAGAAAAATGGTGGAATATAAATGTAATAAATAAATATTTGATTCATTCATTCGGTTTCTCTATTTATTCAGTTTATTCTCAAATGTTCAGTTCAGAAAAGTAAAATTAGAATTCTAAAAGTAAAGCTCCAAAATCCCACCATCACCCACAAATCAGATTCTTGGAGTTTCACTACACATCCACATAGTTAACCATTTTCCACAAACTAAGAAGTAGACCTTTTTGTTGAAGGTGACTTATAGTTACTATTTTTAGTAAATTTAAAGAAACAGAACAAAGAGCTAAGTGCAGTGAAAACACTGCCCCATGCCAAAAAGAAATGTAGGGAGAATAAGTAAGGACACTGCCAATGAAGGAATGCTTCCCATAACAAGAACCTCCCCTGCTTAAGATTCTACTCCATGCAGCTTCTGTAAACAAAAGAATGATACTTCAAGCCAGCATCACTGTTTTGTGAGCGGAGGCACTTAGACACACAGAAGGGGGTTGTTCATTTTCACAGCCTCCCACTCCAATTCCCATGCTATTCCAAAAGGTCTCCTCTGCCTTCAAAGATTTCAATAAGGACATGGAGATAATTAATAGCAAGGACATCTTAAGCACAGTTATATGGACAGAAACCCTGCTGAATTCAGTTGAACAAACTTTCTTATAAGCAGGTTTGGATTTCAGCCTCAATTTCCTAATGTATTTCTAAAGGTAATTGTTCAAATATGAAGACAACTCCATTAGAGAAAATATTAAGCCTAGAAAAGGTTTTGGCAAAATGCAAAAAGGAAGTTCTGGGCATGATCCCATACTACTGGATCAGACTGAACATCTGTGTAGTCTAGGATCCTTGAAACACATCTATTTTGAAACATATTCAAAAAGCCTACCCATGTGAATTTGGCCAATGAAAAATAATTGAAAAATACAGCAGAACTGTCACCCAATTATGGCTGGCTGCCTATTGGGGAGAAGCAGCCCCTTGCTTAATTAAATTCTTTCTTCTTCACTTGTAGAGTAGTGAAAAAGAAGAAACAGCATGGGCAGCAGATAACTCACAGCAGGGCCCTGATCACTATTACAATATTATAGCAACAATAACAGCAAATTTAAAGGCAAATTGTAAACACAACACATGCAAGGTAATACAAAAATCAAGAAGTAACGTATCTCTAGGAAAACAAATCTTACCTCCTTGGTTTTTAGTGGTATGTCCCCAAGGTACACTTTGTACAGCTTGTTAATGATGGCTGGATTATTCCAGTCAATTAAGCTAAATAATGTTAAAAGGATACATATGTGGTAAGTAAGGTAGTGGACACAAAGTCAATTTATTGCCAGCAAAGCATTACTTTCTCTTCCATACTATTATACACACCCCACCCCATCCTGGGCTTGTCAAACAAGTAGTATACCAAACAAGAGAAAGCTGGTCTTTGGAACTTGTAAAATTTGGTACTCACTTGACAAATACTTTTTTTTTGCTGCATGATTTCTACCTAGTTTATTATTACTCATCAGGATTTTAAAAACACATATCAGAAAGACATTTATGTTTATAGATGACAAAGACTGATGGTAACAAATGCACAGTACTGCCTGCTTTGCTTTAAAAGGAGCGCAATACCAGACCCTACCAAGGCAATTATGTTTTCTAATAAGCTACAGCAGAATGCATCTAAAAAAACTACGGTGAAGATCCAAAGAATCACCCAACTGGTTCCCAAAGCCATGTAGCACCCTTCCCCAACCAGGGGCTCTCCAGCCATTTTGGACTACAACTCCCAGCTTTCCTAACCATCAGCAACACTAACTGGGGCTGCTGCTGCATAAAGGAAACTTCAAGAACAGTTTGCAACATAGCATGAAGTTCTGCTATTTAAAATGTTGCAATGGTTAAAAATCCCACAGGACACAAATATATTTCCTTGCCTAAACAGTAAGATTCCTGAGGTGGTATTTACCATTTTTGATGTGTGTGGACTTTGCTCTTTCTGTATAAAGTATGCTTTAAATTCCCACAATTCTAGGTGCAATGCTCAAATTTGTATGCACTGAATTTATTTTAATTCCCCTAGCTGACAATTCCCCCTTATCCCTGTTCCTCATTCTGTAGAATAGAATGGAAGTAGAGTTGGAAGGAACCTATAAGGGCATTGATTCCAACCACCTGCTCCACTTTGACATGTGGTCACCCATCCATCTGCAGGCCCATACCTTGCCAGGTTAGCAAAGCTGACTTGACAAACTAGCTTGATGTAAATCTATGCAGGACAACGTTTGTATTCATAGTGATGGCCATGGATTGTTCACAAGACACAACTTTAACCCTTTCTTTGTTGGCGTAAAACTCTGGGTTGTTTCCTCTCAGTAACTCAGAGCTCTGGATTCACAGGTGCATCCTTGGTTCTTTACAAAAGCAGGTATGAAGCAGAAATGGCAAAGCAGCAGGAAGCAGCAAACCTGATTACTTCTAGCTATGGGATATTTAACTCTTAATTGATTATGATGTGAGAAACAGGTCATCATCTCGTAGTATCTGAACATCTTCAAAAGAACTGGTGAGCCCTAATTAGCTTATTTGATCCCGTTAAAAACATTTTGATTTTCCATAGTCATCATCCATTAATATTTTATCCATTACATTTTTCCTACTGCAATTTACTTTACCAGTTTATAGAATTATACTAAATGCCTCAGTAATGAATTCATAGTATTTTCCTATTTTTAAATGTAGGAGCACAGGACCATAGTTCCAAGCACATCATCATATGAAGGCTGGGCTGGCAGCAGTATGAGCCTAACATCTTTTACATACAAATCTGAGGCTCTCAAATTGAACAATGAATTCCTTTACAGATGCATGCTTTTCCAAACTGACATGCCCAACATCACCTCTCAAATTCCAGACCATTACTGAAATGACAACACCAAAAATCAAAACAGATACATGCAGTTACATCCAGATTTAGTCATCTCTACAAGGAACCCATTAAGTTCCATTAACCTCGGTGAGTCTACTGTATATATGAGTAAGCCTGGGTCTAACTCGCTATGAATAAATTGTTTGAGAAAATTGGGAAACATAAATTTACTTCTCAAAGAATGACACATGCTAAAATCCCAGAAGCACATTTTTTCCAGTCAGAATCTGTTTTGTGCAATCCATCCAACATAGAAAATCGCTAACATACACAATCTTATACCTCCCTCCACAGACTCAGTCAATAACACCTGAATACAGGTCTTTTCTCATCAGAAAAATTTAAACTGCTCATTTCACAGTGCACACCCTGTCACATTCTGAAAATCAGATTTTCTACTGTGCAATTAATGCCCAAGAAAATGACTCTGAAATGAATAATCTTATACTGAGTAGTGTAGGAAAAGCAAGCCTCTGCCAAGTTAGGATAATGAATGATTATCATCCATTCTAGCGCAAATGTTTTTAGCATTTAGATTCTAGAACATATGGAAAAATGAGATATCAGAGTGGTAGAAATGGCAGCAGGCAAGATGGTCTTACAATAAGATGGCAGCAACAGTTCAGCAAATGCAATCTCCAGTATATGTCACTATAACAGCAAACAATGATTGCAATAAAGCAAAAACAGTCCAAGAATTTAGCACCACTTTCTATGAAAAAAAGAGAAACCCTATTCAAAGTTTTCAAAATAACATGTGATTACCTTTGCTTGCTTTTCAGTTCAAGATCTGCTGCAGTGGCTACACTGTGCCGAGTGTCACTGGAGGCAATAACCAAATGTATGACAGCTTCAACTTCAGGCACTTGCTCAGCCTCAATAAACTTCACAATGCCTAATTTACACTGTCCATCAATGCAGAAAAAAGGTCAGTTAGGCTGATTGAGCACATGATCTAGAAATGGCAACAGCTAAGATTGGGACTGGATAAAATGAATGACTAATTAAAAGGTAAATGTCCTTCCCAACTTCAAAATATCACCCTTCCCGAGCAGAGTACTACCATTAACACAGACAATGTAGCTAGGACTAGAATAAACAAACTTCCACACTTCTTTCATGTATGGAAGAAAGCAGCTGCCCTCAGAGAATTTACACTAAACTTTCAAAATTTTACATCTTACACTGTTGTGTTTCTAACTAGGATCATGAGTAGTCCAGGCTTCATATCTAATACCTAACCAAGGAACCAATTCAGATAAGAAAATCCGGCTGGGTGGCAGGGAATATGCAGCAGTAAATCTTTAACAGCTGAGTTAAACATGCATTCGTTTGGCAATTTTTAAGAAACAAAAAGTTACCCTTTTGTACTGCAATGAATTTGGCTTTACCTGTTCCAGCTGTTCAGGTGTCCATGGGCTGTCTCCAATGACCCGCTTGGCTGCATAAAAACTCATCCCTGGAGGAGGCTGAGGGATACCAGAACCTCCAGAACTACTTGATGAAGAAGAGCCCTGTCCTGCTGGCACACTTTGGCGACTCTGGGATTCATTCAATACATATCTAGAGAAACAGGAAAAAAGACAAAGCTTTAAAGGGGAAATTCAAATCCCCTATGTCGAGGTGAGTGAACTGGTAGATGGTTCAGTCCAAGAACACCAGAGATTATGCCAAAGTGACAAGTTGTACAGAGTGAAAAACCTAACCAAGCACAGCAGCCCAACCAGACTACTGAGTCATATAATCAGTTAACTGCAGCACCCCATCTGACCATTTACTGTGGTGATGAAGAACAACCTGGCATCTTCCTCCTTCAGCAAGATCCAAGGAATGTATTTCATGACTGCAGATTGTTTAACCTCCAGTAGGCATGTCACCCAGGTTTGGACGATGCAGCAAGCTGGGCCTTGGTGTGATTACATAAATTGCATGTAGCACACATCATTTAAGACACAGTGATTATGCAAACTAGATCAGTAGCCCATCTTGACTGCTCTATACGCAAGAATGCAAGCAAATATGTAAAGGCCAAAGCTTACAAAGAATTTACTCTGCTACCAAAATACATTACAACAAAATATGCTACTTTTTTTTTTTAAAGGAAAACAGAGTTTTCAAACAATGTTTCAAAAAGAGGCAATTCAGGGAGACAAGTCCAACAAACGTTTCCTGTGGAAAGGGCTCCTTCTACTGGCTGGATAATTTTGATCCAGAAAAGTTTTTCTCCTGACTTGAACAGGGAGAAGAACTTTGTCAATTCCTTCCTCTCACTGTGTGCCCAGAAAATCTGCTCCAGAGATTTAGAAACTTCTGGGAGAGTGAGAAAGGGGATACTGGTGTCTGCAGAAGGAAGGTGAATACCACATCCTCAACTTACTTCTGTCATCAAGAATGTTCTGAGCAGAGCTCCACCAAGGAACACTCCTATCAGAATAAAAACTTTAGATACTCTAGATTGCTTTTGTAATGAAAAACAATGGAGGCAATTAAGCTGTTTCTTGAGACTGTCAAGTTCTTTCCATATATCAAATGCATGTTATATAGGGGTTCATCAGGACATATGTTAACTGGAATCTTTCAACTGAATTATCTCAGCGTCTACTGAACAAAATGGGCATGTTCAGACTTCGCAACAACCCACTCTGGCAGAAAGCCAGACCACAACCAACACTATACCTGACAGCCAAAAAGGATCACTGTGTATACCCACCCCTCTCTCCCCCTTGGGTTTCCTGTGGGTATCTCAGGGATATCACACCTCTACCTCCTTGCAGCAATCTCAAGCTGTTACCAGCATTCCATGGCTTTTTTCTTACTTTTAACTTTTTTCAGGTATCTCAAAACCTGACTTGACAATCTTTTCAATACCTGTTTTGACAGCCACTGATAGCCCCTTTAAAGTGCCCAAGTGATATACTTGATGGAGTTGTCAGTACTTGGCAATTAAAAACAAATAAACAAACCTTCAATGTATGGACATTTTTCTTTTTTTTTAGTTTTTCTTGCCACATTTGTACAACTAAAGAGGTGCAAAGCTCCATTTGTGGGGAAGCCTCTGCTGCATCAATGTTCTAGTGGGTACATGCTGTCTAAATGTACCAAATACAAGCCCTGGACACTGACCAGAGAGGCTCTGGATACATTTTTCTTCCCTTTGTTTTCTCTTTACTGCTGCCAAAAGTCAAGTTATCTAGGGAAAGCAAAGGCGTGATTTTCACTTGCAAATGGGATAGTAAGATTTATATCCTCTTGACTCCTTTGTAACAAAACCCATTTTTCTTTTCTCACTAGACTGTCCTAAGAAAGATCTCACTAGTTGTTTCTGAGATTCTCAGTTCTTGGCAATGTGTAAAAGTGTGAGCTAACTCCATTTAAAATCCATAAAGCCTCTGTGTGTCAGAGTTAAGAAACTATAGGGAAGCCCTGTCAAGAAACCCCTTTTAAAAAGAGCCAGATTTTGACAGCCAGCCAAAAACCTGGAAATTGACCTAGCTGAGAGTTCCAAATGCCACATTAACAGTACTGCACACCTCCACAATTGCACAAGTGCAGCAAGAAAGAGTTAGCAATACTGCAGGCATATTTTTTTTAAATTAAAAAATTAATGATTTCTAACCATTAACAGCACCTCCAAAATGCCACTTGGGCACTCTGAAGGAGCTGTTAGCATCTGTAAAAATGAGTGATGTGATGTCAGCTGTCAAGTTGGCTTTACAATTTTGACATAAAAAGGTAAAGGGACAAAAAAGTGGTGAGCAAAACAGCTTGCAATCACACTGAGAGATACCCAGCCAGTACCAGTCTCCCCAAAGTGCCACTTGGACACTTTAGTGCAGCTGGCATTGGCAAGTGTCATGCCAAAATCAGCAAGCATGATAAACCTCTCTTCTGCTGTTGCCAAGTAAGTCAACAGACAGTTTCTGCTATCCACGATGGACTTGGTCACTCAGATTTAGACAATGCAACAATCTATTGTGGTACAACGACGTTAGAAGATCCCTTGGATTGTAAGGTTGGCTTGTTGCCCTCAAATACTCCCCAAAGAGGTCCGCCTGGCACCATCGTTACTGGTTTTTCGGTGCCAGGTAAAGACCTTTTCATTTAAACATCATTTTAATTGTTAAAATATATGATCTGGCCAGGGCAACTTCTTCTTCCTTCTCTTTTCTCCTCCTATATTCTTTATTTACTTAATTTATACTGTTAATTTTAATTTTATATTATTATGTTTGTATTTCAGTGTATTTTTTGTATTTAGTGGCAATTTATTATGTTCTATTGTATTTCAATGTATTTAATTGTGCTGTAAGCCGCCCCGAGGCTTCGGCAAGGGGCAGCATAGAAATGTTATAATAATAATAATAATAATAATAATAATAATAATAATAATAAGCCAACTTTCAGGAATCAATCCAGGTTTACATGTTCTGATAACCCACCGTAGATAACAACCCACGATGGCTGAAAAGTAAACCAAATGGTAATGCATGCACTAATATTAAGAAGTCATTAATGCAGTTGCACAAATTTCCTCAGATTGATGGGCGATTTAACCCACGAATAACCCAAAGTGTTCAGATTCACATGTCACAGTAACCTATGAATGAGCCAGTCAAAAGCTTGCACATTTGATAAGAAAGCTGCCTGACAAATCTAAGGGGTTGATTAACCCGTGATTCACCACCACTATGAACCCTAGTGGAATCTTTCCTACCAGTATTTGCAGGCTTCTCATGCTTGGCCTGGTCTTGCAAACAAGCTGAGCCAAGAGGAAGTCTGCAAATATTTGTGAAATTAAGGTTGTGCAATCAGCAACGTTTTTCCTTATCAAGTGCACCAGCACAAATGTCTACTGCACCTGGCACAGCAGGATGCCACAGAAGAATCCTGCATAGGGCTCCATTCCAGGTGTGCCATGTGCAATCAACTTCCTTCTGCATCATCTGCAGCAGGCGAAACAGTAACTGCACATGGCATGGAAGAATGACACTGCTAGTGATCACATGGGAATTCACTTCTAGTGAGTTCTGTGTGACTGTTAGCAGCATCTCTCTGCCACCCCACATATAATAGCCACTTGACCTGCAGTATCTGACACAAAAGAGGGATCCTGCTTGAGCAGCATGTGGGGCTGAAGTACTGGTAGCGTTTGCCAGAAGCTCAGACTCTGGGCCACTGCAAAGTGGCCCAGAGTCCAGGGAGCCTAGCCCAGCTATCAGACAGATTCCCACCCCTAAATGGATTTCTTACACATTCCTACCAATACTTGTCAACCAGATCCTTGTGTTCCACCAGCTTCTGCAGCACACATTGCATACCTAGAATAAAGCACTTTAACTGCTTCAGCTACATATAAAGTAACACTGATTATTACTAAACAGGGCTTAGTAGAACTAGACCCTAGCAGAACTGCTCAACATTTCAAGTAACTTCTGTGTGGCATAGTATCCATAAGAATCAGTACTGATACATTAACTTCAGTTTATAATTGATCTAAGTTAGAAAATAAGGTTTCATCCCTCTTTAAAGTATTGATCTTGTTCAAGGAGAATGTTAAGGCCCATACAGCTAGTTAGGGGATTTAAACATGGGACTCTTCCCCACTTCCCCAACTGCTTTTCTGCTCCATTACTTACCCATAAGGCATAAGGAGGACATCCAACATAAAATCCAATAGCAGCTGTACAGTCTTTGGTTTCTCAGCAAGATTAAACGGAGATGCTGCTTTCAGAGGTTCAACAGGATATTTCATGTGAAAAAGGGTTGGTATTAGAAGGTGCATTAGGCTGAAAAACAATTATATTTACTGCAACTATTTAATGAAACAACAAGATGCCAATTGAATTTTTACACTAAGCAAATTACCATTGGTCAAGCATGCCTCTGAAGCTCACCTTCATAATATATCTGTTTTCACTGGATAGTAATCACGCTAACACTGAAAGTGAAAACATATCCAGTAGGATAGGAAAGTGAAGACTGGCCCCCTCCTCTGCAATGGATACCCATAAGCTTCCATGTTTGGGGCCTTATGTTCATCATCATAGAACTGTAACCTAAATCTGATGGTGATTAGTAACTCTGCAAGTTAGACCCCACATTACAATTTATCTACATATTGTAAGACTGTTGCTTGACAATATTTAAAATATTTAAATACTGTAATAACTCTGGGACAAACTGGCTGTTTTCACAAATGACAAGCTAGACAATCTTGCAACAATAATAAAACAATCTTGGCTTATTGTTTTTTTCTGCTTTGCTCCACCCACCAATGGGAGCAGCTAACCTAGCCAGAATCAAAAAGCCTATGGTACAGTTTAAACTGGAGCTCTTGATTTGTCACTCCTGAATAAGCCAGAAATCATAAACCAAGAGCAAATCCTTGCCTGCAATTCCCAATTGTAAAGGCTACAAGCTGGAAGCATCAGTTCAGCCATGATTAAGCTTTTGGATCCTGGTTAGTTTACCTGATATCATGAAAACAACTAAATGCAACAGCACAGTTCATTAACAATAAGCCAGGATTCTCAAAAATTATGGGTTATCATTGTTTGCAAACAATGGTCATAGGCTCTGTAACCTTAAGAACAAACTAATTCCAATGCTTACATTTCTGAAATGGCCCAATACACAAAAGAACTCAAGTGCGACAACTAAAAAAAGGAAAAAGTCCCAGTCTTCTCCCTGACATGTTTACATGTCTGCGTGCAGAGAGCATTTCAAACTGGAAAACTTTAAAACAATATTAGCTCCCCACATATGTAATCTCAAATGGCAGTCCCAGAATGCCAACTGCGTATGATTTTTATATGCCATGTATCTAAGGCATTAAGTACCATCAGCTCCAACAAGGGAAATCAATGCTTGTAAAACTGGACAATTAAAATAAAGGTGCGAAAAAGGAAGTTGTGTGCAAAGGATATCGTACCTGTCTTGTTGGGGTTGCGGTTTTCCTTCCATTGCAGTAAGGAGAGTGGGAGCCAGTTCACATTGTTTTTCCACAGGTAAACGAGGGTAACCCATCTTAACGTATATTATTGTGAAATTCTGCAACATAGAAGATACACCTACATAGCACCATAGCAAAAGAACAGCCCTCTAAGACAGAGGAGAAAAATTATTTTAGCCCAAGGATTAAAGCTTTTGGATGCCACCTTCCAGTGGACAGGACAAAACTCTTACCAGCATTTTTTAGCTTAAAGATATTTCTGTCAGTAACTAAGCTTTAACTTTCAGCCTTCCAAAAAGGGGGAAATAAAAGCTGCACAAAAGCTGGGAAACAGTCAGGGTCAGATTAACATGGCTGCAGGATGGAAGAGTGGCCCTCTGGAGAACCCTGAATGGCCAGAACTGGTCCCCTGGTGTATCAGATCTGGCCATTGCGCCTGACGTTCCGTACCCCTGCCCTAAGACTTCTGCATAAACATTTAATAAACTTGTTCTTGAAATTCCTTACTACTGGTTCCTGAAATTTCCTTACTGTTGGCTTTAATTTCCATAACTTAACCACCTTTATAAACTTGAATGACGTTATTGAAATGTACTCTAAATTGGCCTGAGTACAGCAGCTCACCTCCTAACAGAAGTGGAGTTCATTCTTCTGCACCCCAGTGACTGCACTGTCTTCCAGGTAAAACAGAAGGTTCTGCTTTGAAGACCTTAATGAATAAGGCCTGTTATATTTAAGAGATTGCTTCCACCTCTAACATTCACCACAGTCTCTACAATTTACTGGAAAAGCCCTCACTACTACGAGCTAATTGTTTGAAACAACAAACAGATATTTTCTGGTCACTGCCTAGTCATTTTCAGCTTCCTATCCCAGTGACCCACCAAAGCATAATTGCCTTCTTGATTTTGTTTTTTAATCTGAGATGACCTTTGGCAATGGAATCAGATAGGCTATAAATCTAAAGAAATTAAAAAAGATAAATGCCAGCAGCCAAATTCTTCAGGAAAACTTTAAAATTCTACATACATAGAGAGATATTTAGAAATTAAGGTTAGCAAGCTCTTACTAGATGCTTACATATCTCCTAATGGGGAAGGGTTGACGCTCATTAATAGAGCCCATGCTTTAGCTGCAGAAGGTCCAGGTTCAATCCTCAGCATTCCCTGGTAGGACTAGGAAAGATTCTGTCTGAAACCTAGGACAGCCATTGTATTCAGTGTAGGCAGCAGTGACCTAAACAGACCAATTGTCTGACTTGGTATAAGTCAGCTTCCTAATGGAGTCTTCACCTAGACTGGGCTTGATTTGACAGCAAGAGAAATATTAAAGGTTATACATGAAAAACCCTGGTAACAAACATTCAGTATATGTTTCTTCTATCTGTTCCAATGACTTAAATGTTAGAGGTTTTTAAAATAATAAAACTATGTTCATGAAGTTACTGAATGACATTTCTAACTGTAAGAGATCTTCAAAGAAAGTAAGCACTTACTGTAACAAAGGACACTGCAGAAGGATCTTGATACTGCACCAATAAGGTTTCCACTGGAAGCTGAATTTTGGGTCGACTTTTGATACGTTTATTCAGGTGAACCAACAGTTCCATAACCTGAAAGGGAGGAAATAATTCTTGATTTTACTGGTTTGGATCCTATACTTACACCTTCCAAAAATTTAAAATATATTGAACTAATAATGTCTAGATTATCAAGAGAACTGCTATCAAATACGCATATACTATATATTTCTTTCATTATAACCTCTTCCAGAATGAGTTCCATTTTGCATATCTTTTGCCTATATACATGATGAAACCAGGGAGATAAGCTGAACCTGAACCAAAAAGTGAACCAAACCATTATATTTTTCTGAACCAGAAAATAACACTAAAATAAATACATGTAATCAGCTCAAAATAGAAATTTAACTTTTTTAAAAGCCTGAGATGATGGTGCACACATTGATCTGGTTCGCACATAACAGCAGCTGTTCAATCCATAAATTTGTCAGGTCTGAACAAGAGCAAGGATGAGCACTGTCTTTCACCCACATGCCACTTCTGCGTACATCCAGTTTCTTAACACTCCAAAAACATATTATGGACTCAAAATCTGGTTTATTTGACCCTCAACTACTCAAAGTTCAGGTTTCAGACATTGTATCTAACAAACCTGGAATGCAAGAAACTGGATGCCAAGAAATGGCGAATGCATAAGAAGCAACAGACTTACTTGTTCCTTGCTTGCTCCCTGATAGCCCAAGGATTGTCATGAAATGTGAACCAAGTGACTGGCTTTGACTGAGCTAGATCACAAGCCTGTGAGAGAATGTTCGACATTTTGTATCTCCCGAAGCTTTTGTACCCAGAGAGTCATACATACCTTCTTACGTACTCCTTCCTGTGTACTAGAAAGTTTGAGAAGAACAGGGGGCAGAAATTTGGATATAATACTCTGTAATTGCTCATCTGTTTCTGCATGCCCAAGACGTAAGAAGACACGTTCAAGCTGATCTGTAACAAAGTAAGAAAGACTCATTCAGAACTACAAGTCTTTAACAAATAGTAAAACAGCTATATCCCAAGCTCAGTTTTAATTCTTAGTATGTTTCTAACACAATCTGTTTTAATAATGCTTTCAACATAAAATTCCTAAAGCAATATGATCATTCTGCTATACTGATAAGTTACCTATAAATAATAGAAACTGTGCAAACTTATGAATATGAATAAATGTGGCTGAACACTATATTGAAAAAATTCTCAAAGAACATAGTCTCTTTACTTGATATATTAGCTGTTTTACTAATATATACTTTACTGTATTCACCACTAAGCTTAAAGAGACTATATTTTAGTATTGTTTAACAAAGGGTTTTTGTTGTCAAGACTCCTATTTGTTTAAATATCTTAGCATCCATCAACAACAGTGCCAGCATAGTATCCCACAGAACTGAGTGCAGATATTGAATATTAGAGAAATGGAAGATATTCCACTGCACAGCAGTCATACTCTTCAATACCATATAAAAACACCTGTACCAGAAGTAGAATCACCAATTGTCTTATTTGCTTTAAGTTACAGCTAGTCTGATCCTAAAAGTTAGTAAGGATAACAAAATGTTAAAAATATTTTAATTACAATGATTAAAACCCTTAACTTTGTCACACTTATCTGTGGACACCAAAAGCTATAATGAAGAAAAGCATATTACACTGCTTCAGGAACACAGGTTGTTAAAAGATTTGACCAGCTATTCTGAGAAAACCCCTTCATCAATAGGCGAATGATAATGTTGCAAGCATTTCCAAATCATATTTTGCAATCTGTCACCCAACTTCAGCAATGCATCCTCCTTCAACCTCTTCTAAGCCATTCCTCCCTCTGCTTTTCCATGTATTTACCATGGTTCTGTGTTAGATTTATACTGATGTGAACCACAGTTAATATCAGAAAGGGAGAGGTGAATTGCTCTGGGGAAGTGAAAAGAAGAGCACACAGTTCAGACAGTGGCTCCAAACTGGTATCCACATTTTGCAAAGCATCTGTATCAGTTTGAAAAGGCTTGCTCAGCACAGAAGAGGAAACCACATGGAAAATATACAAATGCTGAATCTGCTTTCCGATCCTATGTTTTTTGCTTCCTTTGCCCAAATCATGACATTTGCCAAAGCTGAAAGCTTTAATAGTTTTAATTGATGTATTAACTGACTAAAGTATTAGTTAATGAATCAAAGGGTGCCAATTTAATTCAGCTATGTCAAAAGTGAATGGCATACTTTATTTTTAAAAATGAGATCCTGGTGTCTTACTTTAATAGGATCTAAAAACAAATGATTCATCCATTTAAATATTGATAATCAATTTTCTGTTCTACCTGCTCTAGATTGCAATATTTGGTTCTCTAGAACACTGAAATACCCAACCTACTTAAGTTCAAGCTCTTCTCCCATTAATTCGTCCTCTCTGCTCAGTTTCCAACTATCACAGTCCCTCCACAAGGGAAGTAACATACTACTTTGTAAAAAGAAGATGTTCATTCCTGGGCCTAGACAACCTTTCCCTAACCAGGTACTCTTCATACAGTGACTTAATACTATGGGAATATTTCACTTTCCCTATATAAACACCAGCTTAGACAATCTGGTATCTGCAATCCAAGTCATGGTTCCATATATGTGATTGCTAGTGACTGCCATCAATTTAAGTGTGGCAACTGTTGACTACCCACTTCTTTCAGAAAGCAGAAATAAATGAGATACTTCTCTACTACTTGTTCCATTCGTCACAGTCTTGGAGAGAAGTGCAATACTGGAGGAAGATCATAAATGTCAAGGCACACACTTGCTATTTCTGGCCCACTCTTCCTTAAATGTTCTGCATGTACTCAAACCAAGGATGAGAATAAACTGAAAACAAAAGCTATCCATAAAACTCTATCAAAATCTGCAGGCCAGGGAACTGTATAGCTAGATTATTAGTAATAACATATTTTTGAGACTGGTAACCATTTATTTATGATAATATCTAAGACTTCTACAGTAACTGAGTATATTACCACGTGTAATCTATTTGTTCAAGATCAAGCATAATATTAATAATATAATGCTTGGTTAATAATAATCATATTTGATAAATATTAAATCTCATTACGGAGAAGCACAGGGAGTGTAGAGAATTGATATAGTTCTAACATCTGATAGTATATGTCTAAAAAACTAAATGTCCTGGCCATTTTTCAGGTGTAAGCTGAATGGTATATGAGAAGTGTAATTAGAAGACATATATGACTACAGTATGATCTCCACCCTTAAATGTTAATCCATTCCCAGTGCCATGTAATATTTCACACAGTAGTGTACAGCTGTCCAAAGTATTATATTTTTTCAAAAGCTTATCCTTTACTGTCTTTCTTTTTCAGGCTCTCTATATAAGTTGTTACCCACTTGTGTCACAAAGGATGGGAGAGGCCCAGTTCCTAGTACGAACTGAGCTATGCTACTGCAACTGAGTATTTCTACTTAGCATGAGCATCCTGCTTGGTCATTCCTCAAGAGTCCCTGATTTGCAAGACGTATATAGGTGTTACAGTAATACATTATATAGGTACTGCCAGCAAAGATGCTTCTAGGGGTATGTTGATATAAACCATGGATCAATCTGGGAGAAAAGAAGCACTTATTCCAAATTTCTGTAGTGAAAAAATATCATGCAAAAGGTTTGTAAATAAGAAAATCCACTCATGGATAGTAGCCACCCACCCTAACTTCCATCCCCTTCAACTACTGTTAACTCTTCCCCTAAGGCTTTAAATTAATCCAACTCTAGGCTGATAGCACAGTACTAGTGTAAGGGCAGATTTTAGCAGCAATATTATACAAAGAGACCGCTTGTCATCCCTTGCAAAAGCGTAAAGATTTACCCCAATTTTGAGTAACTCCTTTTTTCAAAGCAGCCTGTTCCATTTCGTATGCATGTGCCAATTTGTGCAGATTCATCTTTCTGTCAGCGTGGATTTGATTTAAACCAAATCTATTTAAATCATGATTTAAACCACTAGATAGTTAAGACTAGATTTAAATCATGGCTTTCTACATAATTTGCATACATCCCTGCCTTAACCTTAAGCAGAGGAACTTCAGTAAATATTTCCAAACTGGGTCTCTTTTACTGCTGCCATTATAGGTTTTCTCCTCTAGGGAAAGAATAATATGATAAACCTCAGCCTATACACAAAAAGATCCAAAGATTTGTGGATTGTTCTGCTCAAAAGGTTTGACATTCCTTGTCACTGCTTGCCCCTCCCTCCTCACACTTAGCTTCTTGTGCAGATCTTTTCCACTCTCAACAATCTTGTTCTATTCACTGAATTTTTGAAACTTAGCACTTAAGAAGCAAGGGGTTGATTCTGCATCCATAGATTTGCAAAGAAACAATGGCATTGAGGTCTTTTTCTCAACTCTGTATGCTTATTTTATAACATTTCTGCTGTGAAGAAGAGATGTGTGATCTCTACAGACACAAATTCAGTTTTGAGAACTGTAAAACCAAGCATCTGTGATAGTATCTTCTAAATTAAAAAATGCCCAATAATCTTGCAGAAACTTCTGTAAAAGCATGACATTATGAATGGATTAATAGATTTCATTTACCAAAACATTTAAAAATTGCATGAATATACAGCCTGATGCAAAAAACTAATCCTTATTTCATGATGAAAACTATAGTTACATCATTTTTCCCAAATGGATTTCATTTTTTAAAAATCCAATTTAAATAAACAACTCTGATTTAAATTTTTAAAATCAGCAAAACAGCAAAAAAAAAAAAAAGATCTCCCAAATTATACCACTGAAATTAAGAAAGCTTGGAGCAATCAGGAGTATTTTTGTGAATTCTGTTCAGCTCTGTTACTCAAGAAATTCCTGGGCTAGAATTCTTTGATTTTAAGTGCACGTCCTCTGAACGTGACTCTAGTTGGCAGATCTCATGCTTATAGTTAAAAACAAAGTGGTTTTGGCAAACCTGAGGTCTGTGCTAGTTTCGTAAATTAGTTTTGACCAATATTAAAAAGAAGGCATCAATCTGAAAAAGATGTCTAGATTCCAATTTTATAAGCAAAAGGAAGAACCTTGTTTAAAGGTAACTTATTTCAAAATGCATCAAGAAATACTGTATGTTGATCCTTAAAAAATTTCCCCCAAAGCCTGTCAGAACTAATTTAGCTCTTCTTGATTGTACTATTTCTACCACAATTTTCTGCTTAAAAACATATACAGCAAAATGAGTAAAATGGGGGTATATAAAGAAGAGAAGTGACAGGATTTCTTTTAAGATGACTAGAGTTAGAGCTATATAGAACATAAGCACAACAGAGTTTACATTCAATCTAAGACAGCCCAAAAAGAAGAGATAGGGCAAGGTGTGGACCTCAATTTTATTACCTATTTATTCTGTCCTTTAACTCTATTGTCAAAGCCTTCAGTTGCATGAAAAATAAATATTAAAAAGAAAATTTCACAGCCAAATGCCTCCCTAAAAACCTAGACGGGAAGGATAGCAGGTAAAGTTAGCCATACTACTAACAGAGTTAGGCAGTCCATCACATGCAACGTTTTGTAGGGTTTCACTAACATTGTACCTTCTTTAGTATATCAATATACTTTTATCATCAAAGGGGGATGCTCTGTCTCCAGCCTCAAAATATCTTCAGTCAGGGAATGCAGAAAAATAGAGCTATGATGGTCTAGGGAAGACTTCACATAAGAAATGGTTTTTAATGTGGACTCAAAGAGTTGCCAGTTGGTTTGATAAAGGAACACTGTTCTAAGCATACAACAGAAAACACAGAGCCAAGAGTTGAAGAATGACCTTACTTAGGATCCTTCTGATGCCTTCAAGTATGGAGACAGCTCTGGTATGCATCCTTCCTAAACCACTAGAATGTGAGAATCCTCTTACTCTCAAATGCAGCTCTGTCCTACAGAAATGAGCTGCCAGTTTCCAGAAAGGGCTACCCTGGGATGTCCCCTTGCACACTGCCCAGTGCTTCTTGTGCTTACGGAGCACTACATGAGCAACTGTGCTGCAACCATTCCCATCAGAGCCCACAGCCAGTGAGAATAGGAATAAGGACATTGTGGAACTATTTTTAAAATGGAGTTCATCATCAGGACTATAGAACCTAACCTTACTCAAGCATCAGTAGCTCATATGTCATATTCTCAAATAATGAAATACTATTATTGCAATTATTTTCCAGCATCATTTTTGCATGTAGTGGAGAAGAGGTGCATGGGTTTTTTTAAGTTGGGTTTTAATTAATGACAATGTATTGGTAGTACGTAGGTAAGAGAAATCTTATTCATATTCAAGCATTATTTTAAAGGTCTTTGTAAACTGTCACAAAGGACACAAAATGTCAAGGATGCCAACAGGTGTCGGTGACACCCACTTTTTGATTATCACAATAGATGTGTGCTGGGTGGAACAGGCAGCAACATATTGCCATTTGAGCACTGGGAAAATTTTGATTTCTTGTTTCAAAACTGTGTCCCCATGGACTTGCACAGAAATATTAAAACAGTAGAGCATGTATTGATTTTGAAATTTCACAAATTCACTGGAACTATAAGCACATTTTCCAGAAAATACTTAATGTAGAACTAATTCTTAGTCTTACTTCTGAGTAAACATGCTTCGGATTGAGCTGTGTGTCACTTTAACAAAGCCACTGTCTCATAGTCTCAGTCCCATCCATGTGTAATATGACACCAACCTATTGTATACGCCAGTCCTAAATGTACTGATATGTAAATTCTATGTATGTGTATCACTTTGCATTGTACAAGGTAATTTTTGTTACAGTGTGCTCAAAGGCATATTTTATGCTTAAAAATGCATGCTGAAGACAGTTTATAAGACAGGGTGTTTACTTCTGTGCTAAGCCACTCAGAAGAGGAACATAAAATAACCTTAATTTTTATTTACTCTCTTAATGTGTATATGTTTCATTGAAACATTTTGGAACAAGCATAGAGTCAAATCATATCATTTCAAACACAAAGAAATTAAGGCACGGAGACAAGGACAAGGGTTACCCAAGGTTCGGCAAGATTTATTTTGAAGACAAACCTAGAGATCTGAAGACTTTTATTGGCTCAAGTGCCCCATCCAATCAGCTCAAATACCACAATTACAGCTCAATCCTTTGCCCTTTAATTCAGAAATATGCATTAAATATGCATATATGCCTATGCATTTTAATATGCCTATGCATTTTAATATGCATAGGCATATATGCAGGCAGCTTCATCAGTATGTCTTCTGCAGCGATGAGGCAGAAACATGTGAAAACTATGGTAGTCATTTTCAGAGAGCCCAAAAGAAAAAAGAACACAGTCAACCCCATTTCCCAGCTTGCCTCAGTGCCATGAACTGCAGACATTTCCTGTCACTAAGAATCATTTCCCCGGCATGCCACGCCTCAGCAAGGCCTCCATCCCTTTAACACAAGCGGTGGGGAGAGGAAAGCACTGAATTTGGAAAGGCAACTCAGAGGAGGGGGGGCAGCAGCAGAGCACGTTAAGAAGCAACATGCTGCCCCTTGCACTTGCTGCATCTTTTCTCCGGAAAGATGCCCAGAGCTGAACGACTGGGTCTGTTGTAAAAAAAAAAAAGGGGGGGGGTCGGGATGGGGGCAGGGGCGAATGAACCAGAGCAGATTCGTTACCTCTCCCTCCGCTCAGGTGATCTGCGATTCTAGAAAGACTCCTAGAATCGGATATAAACCCGGAAAAGCCAAGTCATTACGGCTGCTCGGCCTGCCCTTTGCATATAATAATAGCCTTAAGAGAAAAAGAGGGGGGAAAGTCATTCAAATTGGGAGGGGGGGTTAAATTCGCATCCCCACAAGAGCAAAAGCAGACTTTTGCAAAACATAATGGCTTTTTTTTAATCCTTGTATGAACAAGGCACCCGTAAACACAACTAAAATCGGAGTGACTCTTACAATTTAAAAAAAAACACACGAAAACGAGGAAGGGCAAAGGAGAGAAGTAGGGTGTCGTTACATCTAAGTCACAGAGGGCTCGTTTTGGGGAAAGGCCCTCAAAGCACTCTACCGAGCCACCGGTCCTTCTGGAGGCTTTACTTCCAATTCCCGAAAATGACTTTGCACAACTGAGGCCTAAACGTCCGGCTCCTCCTCAGCCGCCTCCTTATCTCGCATCCTTTCAGGGCACCAACCACCCTGAGCCTTTTCCCCATTTCCACCCCCGCCTCCAAGAAGCCACCCAAACCCTCAAAGTATTGCAAAAATATATAAACGAGTCTCATTCCAAAATCTTCCATCAAGGCCCATAACCTCCCCCCCTCCACACACACACACGCGCGCGCGTCAAGAACTGAGGCCTCGACCACTCCCCTGAAGCACGGACGTCTGCTTTAAAAGATGACCCCTAAAAGAAATGCAGGCAGAGAGTGCGAGTAGACGAGGAATAAAGCCGGTCAGCCGCGACAAGCTCCCTCCCTGCCCATCCGGGCACACTTGCAGCGCTTCCCGCAGCACCGCAGGAGCACTTACTCAGCTCATCCTGGGCAGCAGAGGCGGCCGCAGCCATGTTGTCAGCTGGGGAGGCGAAGGAGGGAGAATGAATCTTGGCCAGGCGTTCTCCTCACTCGGGGGGCTGCTGTGCAATGGGGTGGGCCCAGGAGATGGCGCCGACGACGGGGTTTCCTTCACCCCCTTCTCCTTTCCCTTCTCCTCCCTGTGGCTTCTGAGAGTGAGCGGTGGGGGGGGGGGGAGGACTGGCGGTGACTTTTCTCCTCCTCCCGCCTGTGACTCTCCCTTAAAACACCAACCACCGTAAGAGACGGCAGCGCTTATGCCCTGCGACTCTCTCCTTTTCCTTCTCCCTCCCCGTGTGTATCTGCCATAGATGCACACACCCTTCCCCCAGTCCACCTCCTCGGGCTTTACTTTAGTTTTATATTTAGAAAAAGCTGAGCCATCGTGCCACCCCCACTGCCCTCCATCTATCTCTCCGCCCCTCTCTCCTTTGCAACCTCCAGTCACTCGGATCCCTGATTCTGGGAAGCTAAGTATAGAGCTCCACACTCTGATGGACTCAAGGCATTAACATCGAAGAAAAGTGGAGGGGGTGCAGGGAGACTCGGCTGCAATTTGCTCACGGCTTGCGAAATTTTCTCTTTCTGTCTCTCTGTCATCTGTATTCGCTCTCAATGAGGGTGCTAAAAGAAACTGACCTAAGTCCATGCTGACCTCCATGCTGGACGGTGTGGTATATGCTTTTCCTGCAAAATGGGTAGTGGAGAAAAAGCACTCAGGAAAAAAAGACTTTCTCCCCCTATCTGCAGAAGGGGATTGTAGCAGTCTGATTTATTTCTACCACGGAAGAGATTTGAGTGACATGTTCAGGAACAAACTTAAGATCCCTTAAGGAATATGTTACCCGTTCTTGTCATATTTGCAGTCAGAAACAGTTAAAGAACGCTCAAACAAAAGGATGGATTTTTTAAAACCCAAAATTTGCATGCCTGTATATGAATGAAACGAGAATGTTTAAGTCTGTTAGTGGCTCTGATTATGAAACAAGGGGCAGAAGTTACTCTATATTCCATAAAGGCCTTTTACAATATCATCATCATTAAATTGCTGTTATAGGAAGGACTTGTACGTTTCAAGAAACCCGCTTAGGTGGAAGGAGTTGAATGTGTGTCCTTATACTCTGTGCACAAAAACAGGGTGCTTCTGGTCAGAGAGATCCTAGCACTAATTAAAAGGTATTGTTGAGTTGCTTATTTTTTGCTTACTTAGAATGAAATCTTATGCATGTTTAAACAAAAAATCTCATGCTGTTGGTTCTTTTTCTATTGAAACATGCATAGGATTGTACGATTAAGAGCTTTTTCTGTGGTAAAAAAAAAAAAAAGCAGCAGTCATGGGAAAATACAGGGGAGCCCTCTGTCTTTTGGGTATCTCAGCAGCTGGAAATTAAACCTTTTCCTATTTCTAGTTTCTTCCTCTGCCTCTCACACCATAGGACCTCCAACATGGTGTTCATGGTCACCAATCTGCCCATAGACATTCATCATGGTTCCTATCCTGATTTTTGTTTTATGATTTTAAGCATGTATTTTGAAACGATTACTGGGGGCTGACACACACAAAATGAAATGTTGCCTTCCAATACCATCTTTATTTGTGTTCAAAAGATTGGTTTGATGTTTTGGAGCTTAAACCTCACCTCTACTTTGAACTTAAATTACTAGCCAAGTTACTTTCTTATAATCTTACTTGTTTGCCTTCTGGAAAATGTATATTTTGTGACTGAGCTTGCCTACCATGGCAACCATTTTATAAACAGGTAAGCTTCACCTAGCAGTCATTTTGTGAGAGAACCCACAACAATCCCTTAAAATTTCATATGACCCACCAGTCCAAAAAATTTGGACTCATCTGTTGTAATCTACATTTGTATTTTTGTTTAATTCATCCATACGCACTTTCTGAAACCTCTTTTAACTAGGACTAAAGATTTTGAAGCAAAAAAGAAGGATTGCAGAGCACTTCTTCAATCAGGAATTATATTGCACAGGAAAAATCATCCCAGACCTCTCCTTTGGTACTAGAGAGAACAGTGAGAACTAACAGTGTAAAAAGACACATTGACTACATGACACAGTGCAGAGTGCTTAAGTTAGTTGTGCAGCTATGTATGTGCCACCAACCCACAGATCTATTGCTTTATAGAAGAAGAAAAAAGTAGGACCAGTAGTGGAACATAGATAACTGTGTTAGGCTTTCCAGAAAAGTTAAAACCACATAAAATAGATTTATTTTTTCCTTAAGGGAAAAAATGTTGGAAAACCTCAAATATCTGAAATCTTTCACAATAAGCACCAGGCTAATGCTATTTAGCCATTAAGTGTAATGATATGAAAATATATAACTTTCAGTAAGGAATAGGAAGTAACAAACATACTACCAAACTAGAATGTATGTCTGCAGCTCTGAATAATATGGTTTAATTGTGTAGCTCCTTGTTCAAGCAATGGGAAATTCAGCTGAGCTTTTACAGAGTCAGGATGTCCTGTGGAAGAAAGAGAATTTAAGACTGAAGACATTATGGCTCTTATTCTTTCCCATGTGTCTGGGTGTTGCTTGTGATGATTCTCTCAATTTAAAAAAATAGGTTTGATGGAATGTGTTCTTGCATGTCAGGTTGCTTTTTCACTCTTCATCACTTTATCAGATTCTTCCCCTTTTGGCCCAGCAGCAGAAGCCAAGGGATGCTTAAAAGGCAGCTAATATTCCCTAGTTTCAACAGTAGTTCTGAACTGTCCATATTAAGAAAACACATTAAGAAAAAAACCAATGGCCCAAATATCTCAGGAGCAGTGGTATCAGTATAATAGCTTTAACATAACTTGTTCCATACTGCAGTCCTCCAGATGTGTGGGGCCATAACTTCCCCCATCTCCAAGAAGCATGGCATATCTAACACAGCACAAACATAACTCATATATAACACATCTGGAAGAGGCAAGCTTGGAAAGGCTGCTTTAGTAGATGTTTGAATTTTTTGATTCACTTGTATTTCTCAAGAAATGTAAGAACCTTAAACATGCAAAGCAATGTCCCAGCCACAGGAGTGTCATTGTATAGGCTGACAGTTTTGAACAAACATGCATTCTATTCTTATTGTTCTTATTGTTTTTGGAAATACCTACAATAGAAATGTCAGTAATGTAAAGAGTGGTTACCTTGACAGCTGCAATTTAACAAGACTGTGAAAATAATCTGGAAAGGTTCCTTTGTATATCATATAAATATTTCAAGTGAAACTAGTTGAAATATGAAACCCTGCACACAGCAAATTAGGTACCGTTTATTTTTGTATCTATATAACTTACAGCTCTTAGTAAATCTTTTATAATATAAGACCCTTAAAAAGTATGCCAGTAAGCCAAGTTTCCCACACTGGCTTTGCTTCATGTAAATTAGAAATACTCTGGTTCAGTTCCATTGTGTACAGCCAGTGTATGGCATAAAACACTTTCATAGTGTTTATATATCACAATCCAGTATTGTTTCCCTCCTGATACTGGATTAAAGCCAGAATATATCTTTCATTCTCTCCTGGGACTGCCCATATCTTGCCCATAAACCAGATATTATTCTGTCAGCATATCCTATCATACAGATACACACAGACTCATCATTCATAGCCACCCTTGTATCTTCTACAGTACAAATTATATTCAATTTGTCATGTCATGCCAGTGCACTAGTTCTAATTTCTTCTTCAACTAGGAACATAGTAATTACTATGTGGTGAATTTAAAGATGGGTTCCGAGAGTATGGCAACTATACCATCCAACTGTACAGATGGTATTTTGCTCGGGCTTCTCATCAGGAGTATTTTTTTTTCTTTTTATTATTTTCCTTAGAATCCAGATTTCTTGTGAAAGGAGGCAAAGAGACAACATTCTAACCATGTTTTATAAAAACAAAATCTCCCAAACCCAGCACAATACTTTTATCTTGCAGGGTAGTGGAACTTTTACCTTCCCTGAAAATAGAATGGGAGAAACAAGTTCCAATCCAGTGAAGCTACCTGAAAGACTGCATTCTTCAATGCAAGCCTGCCTGGGTTTTGAGGAAGCTTTTCTCTCAGTCCTGCCATCATCACAAGTATATTTGCTGTGGATACAAGAGAACCTTCCTTGTAGATGCTTCCAAGCTCTGGAATTTCCTGCCAGGGGAGGTTAGGTTGGATCCTCTCTGTTGTCTTATAACAATTAGTCAATTTTAAAAAATCAAACCAGTCTTTGGCACGTAAGCTGGTTCAATTGGGTGTTGTTTTATTTTTGCATTGCTGCACTTTTAAACTGTGATGTATTTGTTTTTTGTTTTGTTTTGTTTTCATGTCTTTATTTCAGTCCTAGTTTGATCATTATTAGCTGCCTTGAGTGCCATTGATAAATTGATAAATGGGTGGTTCTTGCATTAAGAGAATATACTGGCAGTAGACTGAAACTAGCAATGGCTGTAGAACCTATGAATGTGCCTCAGACTACTGATCCATTTAATTTTCTACTGTTTACATTGATTGAAAACAGCTCTCCAAATGTGTCTGGCAGTATTTAATAATTTCTGCTAACTTTTACATGGAGGTATGATGAACCTTCTATGTGCATTACCAAACCACATTCAGTGGATGTATCAGTATGTCTTGTAAGCTGCACTTTAAAACAGAGTGAAGTGTTTATCTACGTCCTCCCGCTCCCTAAGATCTGCAGCAGAGGCCCTGCTCTGGGAACCCTCCTTGAAGGAGGTTGGGAGAGTGAGCTCCCAGAGGCGGGCCTTCTCTGTGCTGATGCCCCGACTGTGGAATGTGCTCTCCAGAGAAGTTCTCCTTGCACTTTCTTTTCTTTTCGGTGCCAGGTAAAAACCATTTTATTCGCCCAACATTTTAAGGTTTGAATAATTTAAAGCTAGTTTTAATATGTTTTATTATATTCTCTGTCACATTTTGTTATTGCATTTTTATTGTTTGTGTATTTATTGCCTATTTATATTGTAAGCCGTCCTGGGAAAATTGGATTGTGTAGGATGGGATAAAAATATTCCAAATAAGTATTCTAACATAGATTTAAATGGAACTTAATTTCAGCTTAGGTTACAGTCTATACCTGCTTACTGATTATTGTGCTTAGCATCGTAAGCCAAGATGCCCTGGGGAAACACTAATCAGGTAGCAGAAGCACACAACATTATAGACACTGCACTGTTCGTCTCTGGAACTTCAAGCCATAGCTTCACAGTTTTCCATTCTAATGCCCTTTCTCACAAGGTACTAACCAAATTGTTGATTATACTGCAAAGGCGCTTTGTGGCCTTGTGCCCTCTGTTTGTCCTCTCCGTATTTGTATATTAGTTGTCACCAATATGCTCCCGTGTTTCACAGATGAAAATAAGGGCAGGCTTTGGCACTTCTAATAGGCATACAATTCTTATACAAAGGAAGTGTCACAGTCCAGACCACACACATTTGCTGCTAGTGCAGAAGAGTCTGCTCAGAAATTAGCAACCTGGTATCCTCCAATTTTCCTGGGCTCACCACAGACAGGGACTGCAGCCAAGAAATTAAAAGATGCTTGCTCCTGGGGAGGACAGCTATGGCAAATCTAGACAACATACTAAAAAGCAGAGACATCACCCTGCCAACAAAAGTGTGTATAGTCAAGGGTATGGTTTTCCCAGTTGCAAGGTATGGCTGTGAAAGTTGGACCATAAAGGAAGGCTGAGCACCAAAGAATGGAGGCCTTTTAATTGTGGTGCTGGAGGAGACTCCTGCGAGTCCCTTGGACCGCAACGCGATCAAACCGGTCAGTCCTAGAGGAGATCAACCCTGACTGCTCTTTAGAAGACCAGATACTGAAGATGAAGCTCAAATACTTTGACCACCTAATGAGAAGGACTCACTGGAGAAGAGCTTAATGCTGGGAACAATAGATGGCAAAAGAAGAAGGGGAAGGCAGAGGATGAGGTGGCTAGATGGAGTCACTGAAGCAGTCAGGTGTGAGCTTAAGTGGACTCCGGGGGATGGTGGAGGTCAGGAAGGCCTGGGGGAATGTTGTCCATGGGGTCGCGATGGGTCGGACACAACTTCACGACAAGCAACAACAACATCCTCCAATTATTTTGGGCAACTCTCATGAATCCTTACCATTGGCCTTGTGAACTAGGACTGTTGAGAACTGTGGTTCAAAGCATAAGGAGGGCCCACAGTTTGCCTATTTCTGGTCTATTCTGAATGCTGTAAGACATTTTTACTCCTGTAACAGCATCTCTTCTACCAATTTCCAATTGCACCATTGGCCATCCAAACGCAATAGTATTTACGTGGACATTTGTGCTGACAACCATCAAGCTGCCATAACAAAGGTATGACACATAGCCCCATTTTTGTCCAAAGCTGCCTTCTCCAACCTGGCGCCTTCCAAATGACATGCATTATAAGTCCCTCAGTCCGTATCTCGGTGGGAGAGTGTAGGATAAGTAAATGATCGGGAGGGGGCATCAGGCTGGGAAAAGGTGATCCAAGGAGTTGAACAGCCCTGGCCCACCAAAAAATCGGGAGAATGATAAGGTCCCTTTAACACAGATTAATTCTGGAACGCCTGAAGCAACCCACCCACTTTGCAAGGGGAAACCTCCCAAGAAAAAGTAGCTCTACTTCCACAGCTGCGTCATTCTGTATCAATGCCTTTAATTCTTCCATGCTCGCAAGTACTGCTATTAACGTCTGACGGCTACTTTTTTTTTTCTTCCTTCCACCCTAAGGGCACAATTTGGACAGGAACAAAAGTCTTGCAACTCCCAGCATTCCCCTGCCTGCCTTGCCGAGAACGGTGGGGAGCATGCGTGTAAACGTGCACAGGATTGCGCTCTAAAATAAATCGTGCGCAGTGCTATCCTTGCCCCTTACTTTCTTAGGATAAATCCTCTTTCTGTTGCTACGTCTCCGCCCCGCCTTCCCTGGCCACGCCCCCTCCCTCGCTCTCCTTTCCCCCCACTCGTCTCCCTCTCTCCGCCTGGCCTGTTGGCTACTCCAGCGTGCTGCTTCCCGTTTCGTAAACCCTGCCTGCCAGCCAGCTCGCTTTCCAGCTCACCGATTGGCCACTCCTGCCGCCATGTCGGGCATTCCTATTTGCCCCGCTCGGTCTCTGACGTTCGGCGGCTTGCTAACGTATGGTTCTCGCCCGGTGCCTCCCAGCCAGCCCTTCCGCTTTGTCCACGTCCATGTGTTCTAGCCCCGCCCCGCCCTGGCAGCCGGACTCGAGCGAGGAGGCACAGCAGCGGCGGGCGACGTCGTGCGCGTGAGGCCCGCTGGTGGCCCCTCCCGTGAGTGGTCGCCCTGGGCTACGGGCATGGCGTTGGCGCGGCGAGCGCAGCCCCCGTCGGAGGGGCTGCTGCTGCAGCGGCGGCGGGCAGCGCGCTGGCCTCCGTTGCTGTTGCTGTGGGGAGCCCTGTGCCTTTGCCCGCGGCCGGCGGAGGCCCTAGTGGAGGGCTTGTACTGCGGGAAGCTGGTGTGCTACGACGTGCTCGGCGTGAGCCGCGATGCCAGCAAGGCTGAAATCGCCCGCGCTTACCGGCAGCTGGCCCTGCGGTACCACCCGGACCGGCAGCGCGAACCGGACCCGGACGGCAGAGGAGTCGAGGGCGCGCAAGAGAAATTCTTGCTCATCGCCACCGCCTACGAGACCCTCAAGGTGAGAGAGCGGGGCCGGGACCGCCCCCTCCCTCCTCCCGTCCCGAGCGGATCCCTCCGGTAAGACACGCGCCCTCCCCCCTCCTTTTCTCCCCACACGAGCCGCCTTGAGAGGATGAAGCAGCTGTGTGTGACAGGAAGGACCGGCGCCAGCAGCACGCTGAAGATATTGCTGGTGTCCTCCCGCTGCCGTGGACCGCAGCTCCCAGCATCCCCTGGCCATTCACACAAACCGAGTGCACCAGTGCTCTAGTCCTGTCTCTCTTATTAAGAAGGATTAGATTGGCCTTCCCCCAACCTGGTACCCTTAGTGGACTTAACCCCCAAAGTACCTGCACTTTGCCGCTGCTGAAGCTTGGGCTTTATAGGGTCATAAGAAGAGCCATAAGGGACAAAGCTGTAAGACCCATCTAGTCCGGCATCTCTTTTCTGGAAGTCCTCCCCATGGTTGATTCATTACCTTGTTGTGGGCCTCCTACAGATGTTAGAAGAACCGTTTTTCAAAGGAACACAGGAGAGCTGTTACCTTCATGTCTGTCTACTGGGTATCTTAGAAGCATTTGGCAGGCCACTGCAAGTAGCTGGCTAGATGAACTGTTGCTCTAATCCAACAGGGTAGTCCTGATGTTTGGGGAGAGGGCCTTTTTCCATGTCAAATACTTGTTGCTCTTCTTTGTTTCTGCCTTGAATATCATGACATGGCAAGGTTCGAGATTCAGGACAGAAAGAGATGATGTTGACACTTGGCTTTCCCTAAGCTGGTGCCCTTTAGATTTTGGGTACTAGAATTTGATGCATAAGGTTAATTGTGCGAATGGTATTTGTTTTGTAAGCTGCCCTGAGGCTTTTTGCGAATGGGGCGGCACAGAAATATTTTTAATAATAATAATGCATATCTGACCATTAGTAACACTGGCTGGGACTGGCAGGAATTTAACTCAAAATGCCTGGATTGCACTAGCTTGGGCAAGGCTAGTTCAAAGTTAGCAACCTACACAGCATTGGTGTAAGACAGATCTACGGGTATATAGTTATCCATCTATTGCAAAATGGGAGACTGAAGCTGGAAGAAGAGGACCTTGCATAAGGCCATCATGGCAGGGCAGAGCAGAGCTCTGAAGTAGGGTTTTCCTGGTAATGAAAAGGAATGCGAAAATTGGCTTGTATATTAAAGATAGTAACCCATAGTGCAGTCATAGGGACTGCCACCTATGTACAAGAAGGGAGCTTCTCTCACCTCCCTGGTCTGGAAATGGATTTCTAGGGTTATTTTTTGAAAAATAAAAGTTCCATGGAGCAGGTGGTCAGTCATGTGAGTCCAGCAAACTAGCAGAGATGGAGCAGTCCAACTGCCTTGTAGGCATGAGCTGATCCTCTGTCCTGCACTGTAAATCATCAATACAGGACAGGTCAGTGAGGTATTGTGCCAACTTCTTTGCTGATTTCTAACACCAGCACTTGGTTTAAAGAAACTATGAAATTTAGGTATAAGAATGATGATACCCAAGGAACTACATGACCAAAATGCAGTTGGACTGGTTCCCCGCCCCTCCCCCGCCTTTTTTTAAAATGTCTGTCAAAGTTTTAGCTTGTTGGCATTTGGGAGCATGTCTCATCACAGGAGTGGCTCTTACTTGTTCTGCATGGGCAACATCAAACTGTTTGTTTTTTTTTTCTAATTACCAGCACTAATGGTGGCACTCTCAGGCAAAGAAATTCAATTTTCTAAGATTAGGAATTAGGGAAATCAGTCCACTTCCTGCTTCCTCCTCAACCTGAATCTTTCTGTCTTAAGGTACTTTCTGGAATTAAATTCCCCCTTGCCCCTTTTCATGAATCCCTTGTTTTAGAAATAGGGGACAGGGTTCTTTAAAGATACATAGACAGACAGACTCTGGAACCTAAGCAAATGAGTACTGTTGTTGTCCTGTGGGTCTTTTCTCTGGATCTGGCACTGCCCCTTAAAGTAAAAGTACCCTATTTTGTCTGTGCAGTTGCAGAATCCACCACTTGCTCAATCAGTCTTTTGCAATTCTATAAATGACCCAAAATGAACAGGAACACTTATTTCCAGGATGGAGCGCTTCAGTGGAGTTCACAGAAGTCAGTTCCACTGACATCCCCTGATCTGCAAACAAGTGTATCTTTTAATTACAAAGTTATGTTCAGCAGTGCAACCTCCCCATTGTCCGCAAGCACAGTGGAACCAATGGAGATGGCACTTCCCCACTGGATAAAACCCAATGGAATTGTGCTTTGGAACCCAGTTGGAAATGAGGATTTCCTATTGCCTTGGTTGCCAGTTGATTATTTATATGAGTTGCCATACCTCTTCTTTTGTATGGTGACACCTGGATTCTGGTTCTTGGTTGTGCTCAAACGTTGGGAGGTGGCCTACAGACAACATGCAGCATGGCCATCTTTTTGACAGTATGCGAAAGGAAGGTATGAGTATTGCAAAAGCCCCTGGCGAGGTGCAGTAACTGTAATCTGTTTGCTTTGCACACAGATATGCATTGTCCCCTCCTGTGGAATGCCTGTCAGTGCATTGGTTTTAATAAGTTTCTGTGGAATGAGGAAACCACCAATGGTAGGCTAGCTGTCTACCATTATCAATTTTCCTCTGTAATGTAGAAAGCAGCGTTACAAGAAGCAATTTAAGTCTGGTTCATAATGGAAGAAAAAAGGGACAAGTCAAGTCTGGAAAAACAAGAGTGAGCGTCAGTTTCTAGCAACACAGAGGTACAGTGTGTAGGCTAGAATAAATAGGAGCTCTTATGCATACCGTGGTGTATCTGAACAAGTTCCATCGATAGCACCTGGGGTTTCTGTACAGGCATATAATTACAAGTGTACCTTTGAAGGTAACTTACATTAACAAGCATAAGCACAATTTTAGCTTGTCTTTGGCCATGACAATGAATAGCATTGATTATTTTGTTTCAGAGTTTAATTTGCAAGTAGTGTTTATTTTGTTTACCTGTCCAACTGGGTATACATAACATAAAGTGCATTCTGAAGCACTTGCTTAAACTAACATGCTATCTTTTTTATTCATCGTTTTCAAATATAACAACTTACCAATCATCCATTTCAGGATGAAGAAACTCGTAAGGATTATGATTATATGTTGGATCATCCTGAGGAGTATTACAGCCATTACTATCACTATTATTCTAGAAGATTGGCACCCAAGGTGGATGTCCGAATAGTGATTCTGGTCACAGTCTGTGCCATCTCTGTATTTCAGGTAAAATGTTGCTCTCCTGCCAGCTTCAATGTTATCTTCTAATCTGGAAAATACTAAATGATGAAGGGTTGAATTCAAAATTGCACTTGTATTCAGGATAAGAGTGGATAACTGGTTTTTGGCAATATTCCTCAGGGACTGCAGACCCCTTAGGAGCATTGAGGGGAAGTGAGGTGGGTCTTTATCAAGAAAGGGGAAGTAGTAAAAACAAGCCTTTGTAGGGAGCCTCTGCTGTATTTTGGTGCCTTCTGTGAATGCAGCAGCCAGTCTGTTGAAGCCTAGTATAGCTTGTTCATTAGAAGTGTTTCTCCTTTAAGTAAAAGGAATTCTTTGTGCTTAGACCAAGTGTTTCCTCTCCATTGTATACATGAAAAGGATATTATTGGCTTTAATCTCATTATTTACCTGGTCTTGTTAGAAATCTCGGCCAAAATGGCTTTATTTTCACACGTGGGGTGGGTGGGTGGATGGCATCACCTTGGCTAAAAAGCCATTTTGTTCTGAGAAAGAGCAGTCAGAGGGTAGTGCCTGGGTAAAACAATCCCTAGTATGCCAACAAGCCACCCTGTGGGAAATAATATGGGTTTGCACAACATGACAACTCACCATGGCTTTACATCACAATGTGCTGTTATGTCTAGTGAATTGAGATGGTGCTGATGGTGATGGAAATGGCTTGAAATCTCAAAAGCGGAGAAATAATCATGAATGAAAACTATGCAACACAGTAGAACAAGTTTGATATAGTGCATCTTATATACTGCCTGAGTAACACAGGTAGAGTAAATCTATGGCTTAGTATTGTCTTACAATTTTGTATTTCAGTTCTTCAGCTGGTGGAGTAGCTACAATGAAGCTATCAACTACCTAGCAACTGTGCCAAAATATCGTATACAAGCCACTGAGATTGCCAGGCAACAAGGGCTATTGAACAGAGCCAAAGAAAAGGGCAAAAATAGGCGGTCCAAGGAAGAAATACGCAAGGAAGAAGAGGAAATAATCAAAGGTGTAATAAAAAACAAAATAGATATCAAGGGTGGTTACCAGAAACCCCAGATATATGACATTCTTTTATTTCAAATCATTTTAGCACCCCTTTATCTGTGCAAGTACATAGCATGGTATTGTTGGTGGATTTATTCTTTTAATATCAAAGGACAAGAGTATGGTGAAGAGGAGAAGCTGTATATCATACGAAAATATATGAAAATGTCACAGTCTCAGTTTGACACTTTGGAAGATCAGCAGAAGGAGACTTTTCTTGAGCGACAGCTCTGGATAAAAGAGAACTATGAGGTGAGTAATGGAGAATAAGGGGTAGAGCACATAGGAGGCAAAAAAGGATCTAATGTCTTGATTTCCTATATTACTTTGATTTCATTTTAGTACTGCTCACTTACACACTTCTGAAGTGTCTGTTCATGCACTAAAAGCAGGCTGCTTGGCAATGATCAATGCTCCTAACAGAGCTAAAATGCATCTGATGATTTCTATGGAGACTGTTCAGATTTCATCCACAAAGTTCTTTCATGGATGTCTTTTGTAGGCCTTTCTCAACTTGTATGTATAGCTTGGTCTATTGCATTAACTACATTCATACCTTAGCATAGCTAGAAAGCATAAACAAAGCAGCAACAATGTAGTTGTTCACATCGGTAAATAAATTTCATGATTATTGCATAAATACTGATTTTCGTTAGAGGCTGTGTGACTTTTTTATTTCTTGTCTTTCTAAAAGTGTTCTATTCAAAACTGTTTACAGACAGAATCAATAAAGCAACCTGGTAAAATAAAAATAAAAGCAAATAATAACCGTCCAGTTGAAGTCATAGTTTATCAGAAAAGCTCAAATTCAGCCCTCTAGCCAGTTTTGTCTGGGACATCTTAATTTGCTACTTGGCCCTTGAAGCAGAGCACCACAAATTCCTTACAGTTAATACTACAAAGATAAGTGAACTGCCCAGAGAGCCCTGTAAGCTATGGGGCAGTACAACAATGTAATAAATAAAATACGGCACCAAGATGGAAAAGGGCTTGCTGCAGACTATTACGATACAGGAAATTGTGCTGTAGAATTTTGCTTAGCCTGGGAGTTTGTTACATATTCCAATGCTTACTGGACACAGAACTCAACAGTTACTCTGCACAGAGGTTCTACTAAAGATCTAAAAGGTTGATTTATCTACCACAGTGCAGTCATTCTATGTGCTTAACAAGTGCAACAGAGCTGTTGATTTCAGTCCCACCTGCCATTTTAAAAAGCAAACCAAGATCCTGCCAATAAAAGCCTCAATGCAGAGCGGCCCTGACAGTGTCCTGAGGGAGTCAGCACTGGCCCCATTCTGTTCAATAACATGCAAGTATCATTGCGTTCAGCTTGTTGTGTTTTATACAGGCAAAGCAAATGCTGGCTTCAAACATACACAAACTTTGTGAACAAAATCCAAAAGGTGACACCAATTGGAAAATGCTTTTGTATTAGCTTATCACTTACTGGGCCATTCATTGGTATAATAGGTACTGAGACTTTTGGCAATTTGCTACTTTTGTTTTCTCTACTTTTTGTGCTATCTAGTTGCTTAAACCATTGGTAGGCAAACCTCCGATTGTAGGGTTCATTTTGAGTTTCTACAGAGGTCCACAGGCCACACCCAGACACAGAAAGGTGGCTCATGCACTGACTTCAATTACCCATTGCACCCCATGAAACATTAACTAGGATATGTCCACATCTATGTGCAAGTTAACAAAAATTAGGAGTTCTAACATAACACAACTAAACAGCAGAACTCTAGTAAAAACGAATTAGTGCTCCTGTTTTCCAGATGATTGGCACTAAAATTGAGAGATAAGCAATGAGGACAAGCCTAATGGCTGATTTTTTTTTCTTGGCCTTTTTTTAATTTGCTCTTACGTTGAGAGACAGAAACATCTTTGAAACCATCTGAAAATAATTCAGAGATTTACCAGTAGATCCTAGTCTCCCTGCCCCAGTTGCTCTTACACATTTACAGTGTATTTCCCAACACTTGTTCACTCAGTGTTGTTTGCATCACAATACTGAAATAATTAATTTTGCAAGGAATATGTAGGTGTGGGTACACATTGAAGGCTAACATTGCTGTCACATTTTTTTTCTCCCTAGGTTTACAAGCAGGAGCAAGAGGAAGAACTGAAGAAAAAGATGGCAATGGACCCTCGATGGAAAAGGTATCGGCGGTGGATGAGAAATGAAGGCCCTGGAAGACTAACTTTTATTGATGAATGAATTTGCTGAAACTTAAACAGTCCTATTATAAATGATTGGCAAGAAAATTCATACCTAAAATGTTCAGAGTTTAACTGCTATGTCACAGCAGTGTTCTAAAACTCAGGAATTAATCAAATCAGGCAGAAAATTTGTAACATTTTATGCTTTTTATATATAAATATTTATAAAATAAAAACAGATCTGTTAATCATATAATTGTTTTGCTCCACTGTTGACCTGGTAACAAATTAAACATGCATCTGAGACTGGATTGTTACTATCTTCCATATTAGTGTGGTAATAAACATACAAAGAGATATAACAACAAACATCAGTTGCCCTAAAATTTAGGTATCAGTAGTTAAAGCCTTGAGGACTTGCCACTTAAAACATGTTGTCTTGACTTGTGCTTTTTAAATTTTCAAAGCTCAAAGGCATGTGTCATGAGGCTTCAGTTTTGTTTCATAAAGCTAAACACATTGTAAACATTTTACGATGTTTCTCAAAATGCTGTTTCAGTACCCTTGAATTAGGGAGGAAAACAGGAGTGAGCACCTGTAGTGAGGAGGGGACAGAGATAGGTGGGGGGTACTGAGGAAAGCCAGAAGGAAGTGACCTTAGAAGGTAGGTTGGAAGGGGTGATGGATGTGTAGTTGTGTCTGAATATGTATAAGGGAGAGAGAGAATTGTAGGGTGATCCAATGGTGCTTATATTTGTTTGCCTTTCTGTTAAACATTATTTTGTAGCAGCAGTAAAATTTGTGAGTTCTTAAACAACCATTTTGTGACTCTCCTCCTGTTGCAGCCATTTTTTTGTGTCAGGGCTGCTAACACTCTCAGCAATCAAAATGTTTCCATGGCTCCAAAAGGTTGGAGACCTCCTCCTCTATTCCATCCTGTTCTTTACTTTCAGTTTTCCATCTGATGCACAGTAGTTGTTGTGGAATATTGGGTATGTTGATTCCTCATTTGGATGTCTTATAAATGAACAAGCAAAAATATTATTTCATCTGCAAACTTCACATATATTTATTTGAAGGCTTTTACCCCACTCTTCAACCAAAAGGGCTTCAGCAGTGGCTTAAATAGATCAGTAGAATGACAGCCCCTTTCCATAGGCTTACAATTAAAGTACATGACACACCAGGAAAGGGTTATGGGAAACAAGGAGGAAAAAAATAAAATTCAGACACCAGTTCTTAACATGACAGTACTTCCTACAAGCATTTGGGATGGAAATGGTTTAGGTGTAACCTAACGGAATGGCTGTTAGCTAAATTTTACATAGACACTGTCTAATCTTGGAAGCTAAACAGGGTCAGTCCTGTTTAGAATCTGGATGAGTCACTTGAATCTACGATTGTGATTATTGGTGTAAACTGCCCAGACAGCTTCAGCTTATGGGTGCTGTAGAAATGTAGTAATAATAAAAATAATATAATAGCTGAGGAGAGATAAATGCAGCCATGTGGTGGCAGAGATGATGGAACAGCCCTGCTTTGCTCCCTTGAGTATAGTACCAATACCTCCGTTTTGCTTTGCAGTAGGCCTATTTTGTCAATGCAGCAGTTAGCAATCACTGTGATTTAGTTATTAGAGCCACAGAAACAAATTAGATAATCCAAGATTTATGAACGGTTTTTGAACTATATACTTTAAATGAGCTCTGGAAGAATCTTGGTTAATAACAGCTTTGCAAAATACTTAACACTGGCTTTTATTTCAGCTCTAGAGATACTTACAGTAGGGAAAAGCATATATATTGCTCCCCTCTTGATCAAGCATAACTTTTCAAGGTTCTATCACATGAACTGAGGAGTGGGAAGAGGGAAGCAGCAGTTGCCTGGCATGAGCTTTCTCTGAAGGGCTTCAGACAGCAGTCCTTACCAGACCTATCCAGGGACTGAACGTGATGTGCTCTTAACCAGCTGTACTGAGAATTTCTCCCATACTTTTTTCAACCATCATTCAATAGGTGAAAAATGCTTTGGAAAAGAAAATAGAGGAGTATTTTGGATAAATTCAGATGGTCTAGGTTTGCAGCTCTTGTAGTTTACCTTACTCAAGATGTGGCCAAGAGTGTCCTGTTTTTCACTGTGCAACCATCTCCCCAGCAGCCCGTGGCATCCTCAGCTTCTTGCATTAGCTCAGGGAAAGACATCAAGAGGTAATTTCTTCAATAGCATTTTTTCAGATTTAGGAAGTGCAGGCAGCCTGGACAGCTGCAGAGAAAGAAGAGAAAACACAGCACTCCTCAGCCACCTTACAATGATTATGTAAGTTCAAAACCATCATGAAGCGACATTCAAAATAAGATAGAATGCCTAGGGAATGCAGTAAGAAAACCTTTCAGGACATTGTGAGGGGGAACAAGATTTTGACATGGCATTCTAGTTCTTCCCTAGAGCTGGAGACTGTCTCGGTATTACAAAGTTCTGAGGGTTTCCCCACTCTGTAGAAATAAAAGATCACGTTGTAGTGCCCAAATGTCCTTCATTTTTTATGGTGGCCAGCTTCCCCACCCCCACAAAGCCCCAGAACAAAGCAACATATGGAACATTGCAGAGGATGCAAAATGGAACCGGGAAGCCTATGGAACCAGGATGCTGATGTTGCCACTTGTAACAGCAGTGCAAAACACACCTGTGGGGAAAAAAATATGTTGTGCTATACACCCTGCTAGTGGTGACAAACTGTTAGAAAATTTGTTCTCTTTCTGAAGAAATTCAGTGAAATTTTTCCCCATTCTTAGGAATATAATTGTTAGATAATTCACCATCCTTGTCTGATGTACAGCTCACTAAAAGGTGACTGAAGGACATAGAACTGTGTGGGAAGCAAAAGGCATAAATATAGAACTGTGTTTATTAAGGATTTAAGGAATTCTCCTTGGAACCACTGTCTTATCAATGACGCTTCTTTTGCATGCAGTTGAGCTGGTTTGTTGTTGTGGAGGATGACTATGTAAGCTGCCTAGGGATCCTCACAAAAGGAAAAAGGCATGATATAAATGCAGTGTTATAATAACTGCAATCAACTGTGCCTGACCTCTTGCTTAGATATGAAATCTTATGTCAGATTGTCTACAGCTTGTAGCCTGTAGGCTGGCGTGGAAAAATGGCTCAGAAAATTGGTTAGAAATGAAGGAAAACTAGCTGGTCTGAGACTCAGGAGATCTGGATTCAAGTCCCCACTCAGCCATGAAGCTCATGGGATTTTAGGGCTAGTCACAAAACTCTCTGCCTAACCTATCCCACAGGGTTGTTGTTGTGAAGATCAAATGGAGACTACCATGTACACCACCTTGGGTTCCTCACAAGAGGAAAAAATGCAAGATATAAACGCAAGGTAGTTGTCATTGCCATCCTCCTCCTCCTCTTCAAGTAGAAGAATCAAAACATTCTAGTTTTTCTGGGGTTTTGTTAGGTGGGGTGTCTGTGTCAATGTTACCTTTGCTAAAACACCACGTGTGTAACAAAATATTGCAGTTAATGATGGATGAACCTTGCTGTAAGCATTTGGAGCCTTTATCAGCTCCCAAGTTTTGCAATACAAGACTACTGGGTCAGGACACTAGGCACCCAAGTGATTCTGACTGCAGCAAGCAGAAGCTCTTGCCAACATGGCCAATGGTCGGGAATGTTGGAATCTCAGTCCCAGAGATTTGGAGATCTACTTTCTGCCCACCTGCCTCTTAAGTCGGTCTTATCCTCACAGTATTTTTTTCTTTGGATCAACTCTAGAAAAGTAGCAAAACAAACAAAAAACCCTAAACAGTCATGTTACGTGTCAGGAATAGCCTATTCATTGTAGCATGAACAAATAAATTAATCATTATAAATGGACTATACAGATGGGCCCAGCGATGAGAGAAGCGCAAAATGGTGGCGGGCAGAAACCTTCAACGTCAGAGGAAAAAATCAAAACAAAGGACGGAGAATTCGTTCCTCCCGGAAAGAGCTCGGTCAGGGTGGGGGCGGTGGGGGGTCCAAGAAGCGGCCGAGCCCCGCTTCGCTACCGGGCTGTGCCGACTGGCTGCTTGCTCGCCCGGCTGGCCGCAGACACAGAAAGCCCAAGGGTGGCGGGGGGAGCCTGGGCGGCGCTGGCTCCTCTGCCTCCGCCCCTCGGCTGCTGCCTCGGTTGGCCGGGGGCTTTTGTGCTGGAGAGATCCGGAGTCGCTCGGGAGAGGGAGGTGCGTCCTTTCAGCAGCTGCCAGCATGTCTTCCAACTCCAGCCTCAGCACCATGCAGCGCCTGGTGGAGCAGCTAAAACTGGAGGCTGGCGTGGAAAGGATTAGGGTAAATAAAGGAAAGGGCCGCGGCGGCGCTTTAAGCTGGATCGAGCGCCGATTGGCGCGCAAGGGAAAGTCGCGCGGTCGGTCCGCTTTCTGCCTTTGGGCGAGCGAAGCATCGCGCTCCTTTTTCTGGGCGCAACGCTTGGAGGCATCACCACGATGCCTCCTTTTGTCTTCTTGGTCTAGCCCTCGCAGGACCCGAGAGCTCCGGGCTGGAATCGGGAGTGCATGGCGTCCTTTGTTTTGGGGAGATCAGACTTTTGGGAGAAGTTGATTTGCAGAGAGGGGCCTGGATCCAGACTTTCTGCTTTTCCCAGAAGTCTAGCTACAAAGAGAGTCTCTCGGCCCGTACCAAAAATGCACGCACCGTAGTTGATTTGGAGAGATCGGGCGACAGGCCATAGCTGTGTGCGTCCACAGTAGCGGAACTTTATTTAGTCATCTTCGCTTTTTTTCCGTGTCGCGATATTGTTCACTTGCGTTGGAAGCTGCTGCGAATTCAAGTCGGTTCGGCTTTCTTAGATTTGTCTTTTTCGCTCCTAGTTTGAAATGGGTGGGGCATTCCTTTGTTTAGGTCTCGTAATCCGAACCATCGAACCCAGTTGTCCGATATGAGTATATTACTGCTGTCATTGGCCTGCATTTTGTTATATTTCCAATATTGTTTATTGGTCTGGGTTTTGTGCTTCTTGAAACGGTTGGCATATTTTGAAGTGTGACATCGCTAAATTGCCTGTGTTGTGTTTCAGTGCAACGTTTCCCAACCTGATGCCCTATGTATATGATGGGCTTCAACTCCCATCAGTCTTGGCCAGCATGGCCAATGGTCAGCATTTTTTCTAGTCCAAAACATCTGGCAGGCACCAGGTTGGGGAAGGCTGTTTCAACATATTCTCTTGTCCTTTTTCTCAACTGTATTTAAACGGTCTATTCGGAGAATCTGAGTGCATGCCTATAATTGTGGAAAATGGGGCTAGCCAGATAATAAACCAAGTATGGCTATTATCCCCATTTATCCTCAGATGACCTTTATGATCATGTGCCAGAGAATGAGTGAATGCATGACAACTTCCTAGTCCAGAATGAAGTAGGCACTGAATACAACAAGGAGTTTATGATGCAGTTTGTATGGTTTAAGGTGTTTTAGAATTTTTCTTTCCTGGTGGTAGCTGTACTTTGGAATTTCACTGGAATGATGATCCTTTTGGCCACCCCTCTGTATCCTTTTTTGGAATGTGCTTTTCTGTTCAACAGTAGGAATGATCTTTAATTTAATGATCAATTAGTGGCCATGGAAGGGACCCACACTTTTTTGTAATGGGGACAACATTTGTGTCAAAAGTTGTGGCAAGATCTTTCAGAGTCCAAATCTATTCTTAGGCCAATTCTCTCATGCAATTGCAAAAGCAAAGTAAACTTCCAAACTTAATAGAGCTCTTCTGGATAAAATGGCCTTAATAAAATGGTATGGTAGTAGAATATACAGTGGATGGATGAGCACAGTAATTAAATAAAGCTCCTCTGTTGAATCCCAGGCCCTTCCATGAATCAAGACAGGTATCTTTGGTTCAAAGACACCTAATTAGGAGCCAAGCCAATTGTAATTAAGAGTAATATCCTGGCTTGCAGAATTACATCCTGGCTTGCAAAGGTAATTAAGAATGTCTGACTTGCAGACTGAGTAGGCACTTTGGTTTTTGCAGATCTAGCTGGGTTTTGAAAAGTTCTCTCTCCCTCCATGTCTAGTTTAGCCCTTTGGCTTTAACCTGTGTGATACAGACCTATGGGCCCTTTATTCAGAAGTTCTACTTTATTCAATAGGGATTACTTATTTGTAAGTATGTTTAGGAATGTAATCTTCCTTGGGTTTTAGTTCAAACATGCATTTAGGAAACATGATCATACTACTGAGTTACATCATGAATCCATCAAATACACTATTCCCTGTTCATGCAATCCTGTAGAATTCGGTGAATAAAGCAAGGTAGTGACACAACTAAAGTTTCACCTGGAAGGACTCTGAGACAGAAGGCTTTATATACCCGGTCCCCCCAGTTACAAACAACTGAGTTAAGAACAACCCCTACTTACAAACAAGCAAATCCGGAAGTCCCACCTCATCTCTGAGCAGCAAGCAGGTGCCTACTGGGGGTGGGTGGCAGGGAGAGGAAGGAAGGGAAGAATAGGAATAGAGGAGGGAAAGGGAAGAAGGAAGGGAAAAGCAGCAAGTGGTGGTGTCGGAATTAGTTCTGTAGTGGCAGAACTATAGTAGTTTTTCATGCTCATGAAACACTCGTGTATCAAAGTGTGTTTTAGATCACATGGAGTTAGTGACAGTTGGGACGATTTTAAAGGATAAAGGAATCTCACCTCCATCATCATCATCCAGTTAATGTTAGGCTTAATGTTAGCTCAAGAAGTGCTAACCTTTAATAATCTTATTAACTATTTTTCTAGCTAAACTGTTTTAAGAACTGTACTGTATATCTACACACATATGTACAGATTCATTCTCTCTCTCTCTCTCTCTCTCCCTCCCTCCCTCCAGTGCCTGTAGTTACTTTATTATTACTGTATTTTCATCATTAGTAAAATGCTGTATTGTGTTTAAGATGTTTTAGTGTATGTGGAAGTGTTTCTTATGGGTTTTATATGCTTTTTATAGATGTAATCCAATTTACATACAAATTCAAGTTAAAGACAATCTCAGGAATGGGACTTGTTCTTGACCCAGGGACCAGAGGTACATCAAAGGCACAGAACCTCTTCCAGACCAGGAGCCAGATGGGTATACCCTTTGGGTCTGCACTGCAGTGGAGGGAGAGGCAAAGACAAAGGGGGTGGGGCCACAGTACCAGCCTATTTTAGCGTAAGGCTGTTATCACCAGTAACCAACTACAGGAGATGCAGTTCTGCCTTTTAGAAGAAAAAACTGCACAAAAGCCAAGAAACTACTATTTTTTTAATACCAGTTTATGCTTATTATTGCAAATGAGCAGAGGTTGGAGGAAAAGGATTGAGGCCCCTGGGGACCGGGTGGAACCACAGAGCAGAAGCTCTGCGCCACTCCTATGGTATATATGCTGCCCAGATTTTCAGAAATGTGGTTTATCATTACAACTTTCCACAAGGGGTGCACTTCAGCAACTACCAACCCTTGGTGTAGGGAGGGTGGATGCTGATTTTCCTCATATACTGATATGTTTCTTTGCCACCCAGGGGGCCCAAATCGGCTAGTTTTGCTGTCCATCAAACAAGCCCTTAACCAGTCACCCATGGGGAGTAAAATTACTTTTACATGACTAGGAAGACAAGCTTCTCCAAACTAGAAATTTTGGTTCTTTAAAAAGTAAAAGAGTAGGGAACTATTGAGATGCCACAAATATGTGGATAGAGGACTAATTTTCTAGGATGTGGGGGGAGACTAATAAATTTATCACTGTAAGCTTGAAATGCCTATGCTGAGAGAATGACGCTTCTGGATTTAAATTAGGGGTGCAGAACCTCAGGCGTGAGGGCCACATCCAGACTTCCTGAGCTCCCAATCTTATAGGGTTCCCCAGGTGGCCATGGCCTCTTCCTACACACTGTCCACTTGCTTTTGATCACCAATTGTTTGGTGGTTTCCCTGATTTTCTGCAGCCCTCTCCATTTTTAAAGGAAGAAATGCTTCCCCTAAGTCTTCTAGTAACTGGCAGGAAAATATTTAAGCTAAATTATACTAGGGTGTTATTGTTTGCATTTCAACCCTACACCTTTTGCCTTTGCCTGCCCCCAAACTTCGCTTTCCTATGAACTTCTTTAAAAGGGCATCCAGTCCTCAGGTTAGAAAAGGTGCTGTACCCCTGATTTAAAATATGTGTGCTTGTATTACTCCGCTTCTTTCTTTTCACCAAGTCCAGGGTACTAGGGTACTGTGATGCTTATATACAAGTCCTTTTTCATCATGAAGCATCCTTATTAGGTCATTGTAGATTTTAGTACTGAATGTAATATGTCCTAGCAGCTGCTGTTGCATCATTCAACCTGTAGGAAGCTTTGCTGTTGGCAGTTACAAGTGAGCCAGATGTAAAGGTAGGTAGCACCTGATGGTCATGTGTAGCTGAACTAAGGACTGGCTCCTCAACCATCTTCAGTGTACTGACTGAGCTGCCTCTGTTTTGATGACTTCTTAGCATGCCTTTTGCTCAGAGATCATTTTGCCCTGGGGACATTGAAAGGTCAGCCACTCTGCCTTGAATTGGGCTGGCAGGGAACACAGGAAAAGATGGTAATTTTCTTTGATTAAAGTGTGCTCCTGGGAAAGTGCAGCTAGTTGCTGTTCGTGGCACTTTCCCTGCTGGAATGCAGCGGGCCTGAGTGGAGCCAGGAAACCAGTGGCGCTGGCTAAGGGTAGCAATAATTTATTATACATTGTTCTTTATCATCAAAGACGCATCAGCCGTTGTTGATCCAGCCATAACTCTTCACTCCACAACACCTCTCATTCCTTCTGTTGTTTCTCTGTTCTGTCAAACTCTGGATAGTGACAGGGAACTTTCAGATCTCCTGCTCTCCTGTAAGGAGCCATGCATATTGAAATGGCATAATAATAGTAGTAGTAGTAGTAGTAATAGTATCCATTACATTTGTATCCTGCCATTTTACATCTTACAAAGAAACCAGAATGGTCTTCCTCCTCTCCATTTTATTCTGAGAACAGCCCAGTGGGGTAGTTTAGGCTGAGAGCTGGTGACTGCTCCAAAGTCACCCAGTGAGCTTCATGGCTGAATGGGGTCTAGAATGCAGATACCCTGTGTCCTCAGTCCAGCACTCTAACCACTATGCCACACTGGCTTTCAAATGATGGTGATGAGGATAAACAACATGGAGTCTTTGATATGTAAAATCTTTCTCATCTTTGTTCCCACAGGAACCCAATGACAGAGGTTACTAAGAATTCTGTTTTACAGATGAGGCTGAGAACGAGCAAGATCCAAACACAGGCCTCCCACACTGTTATTT